TCGCCCTGCGATATTTCTTCGTGAAGGATGAGATCGAGAAGGGGAGACTCGAGCTGTCTTACTGCCCCACGTCCGAGATGGCAGCTGATTAGTTGACCAAGAAACTCGGAAAGCAGAAGTTCGAGTACTGCATGCTGCTGACTGGACAGAGCCACATCACCAGCAGCGACACTCCAGAAGCGAAGGGGAGTTTTGGAAACAAGTGATTTAAGCGCCTCTGTCGCGTCGAAACACTAAGTCATAAACGAAGCGAAACACAGCGAAGCATCAGCGAGTCAACCCTCGGAGGTTGAGTAACTGCTGGGGGTTACGCGAAAGTCAAAGGTCAGCGACCTTTGACCTGACAAGTACAGCACGACAGCAAGGACAAACAACTGACTCGTTATCGAGCAGTTGCCCGAGTCGTCTCTGTATCGAACCGCAACAGCAAACAGTAAAACAGTTATTAGTTGCATCTTTTCATATTCCTTGTACTCTTATAAAAGCCTTGTATCTCTTTGATTAATCAATCTACTTTGCCCTCACATACCAGCGCAAGGTGGTTCACAGGCTTCTCATAAAAATTCTTCCGCTACTACATTGTTCCTACTTAGAGTTTAGTCCTGCAAAGATCCTAAGGGCTTTTCTCAGCCCAACAAACTTAAAGCTCGCATCTCATATTTTTCTCCGTTTTACACTTGGTTGTGTTTAACACTTGGTTGGGTTACGTGACTGGTTGACGAACGACAAAATATGTGACTAGCTGGGGTGCGCTTCTGGCGGAACCAATCACGAACGTGCATTCCCAACCAAGTGTTAAATGCATGTAAATACCGTATGAGACGCGAGCTTTAACAGCCAGTCACTTGAAGACTACATCTGAACGTAACACATACTTGATTCCAGCCTTCACTTCCCTGGCTTCATGAAGCAAGCACCTGGCCCCATGCCGGTGTAGCAACGCCATTCCAACCTCCGGACTCACCTGAGGAAACAATGGCAAGGGAGAGGGAGGAATTGAGGGAGATGAAAGAGGTATGAACAATTACTTCATCTCTGCCTTCACCTCCCGGGCCTCATGGTAGCAAGCACCTAGCCTCATGCCGGTGCAACAACGCCATCCCCACCTCTGGTGACCTGCCCTCATGACGTGCCCTCATGACCTGCCCTCATGACCTGCCCTCATGACGTGCCCTCATGACGTGCCCTCATGACGTGCCCTCATGACCTGCCCTCATGACGTGCCCTCATGACGTGCCCTCATGACCTGCCCTCATGACGTGCCCTCATGACCTGCCCTCATGACGTGCCCTCATGACGTGCCCTCATGACGTGACCTCATGACCTGCCCTCATGACCTGCCCTCATGCAGTAAGCGCCTGGCCCTGCTGTGCTGCTGCATCAACACAATTCCCACATGTTTTTTTGTAGGAATGGGAGAAGGAGGAACGAGGGGAAGGGCAGAACAAAAAGGTGTTCCCAACAAACATCTAATATTAATATATATATATATTAGTAATATCAATATCTATATACATGTATATATATACACACACAACACAATCTCACCTCAAAGCTCTCCTGTGACCGTGCCCCCACATAGAATACCGTCTCTCCTCCCACCAATTGTTCCTGATGCTGGTGTTGCTGCTTCCTGACTCCACCCTTCCCTCTGCCTCCTGCTGCTTCCTTCTCTCTCCTCCGCCGCCCCTCCCCTCCATCTCCCTCCCTCACTCCCTCCCCAGCCGTCCCCTCTCCGTCCCTCTCACCACTTTCCTCCCCGTCTCCCTCCGCCCCAACCTCCCCTTCCCCCACCTCCTCCCCTCCCTCCCCATACCCCTCTCCCTCCTCCTCCCCCCACCCCTCCCAAGTGGAAGGAGCACCAGAGAGGTAAACCAAGAGTGTATACTCCGTCCTTCCTCCCCCCGCTACAGTCACGCTCTCGTCTATGTGTGCCCCGAACTGCTGGCCCCGGCCGTAACGGTAGACGCGCATGTTGGGGTTCAGACGCACCGCCTTGCGGTTACCAGCTTGCAGCGGCTGTAGCACCGGGGCTAGTCGGTCCCACAGGTGTGCTGCCCAAGCAAAAATAAATAAAACACAAAAAACATACAGAAAAACACATAGGGAAACAGAAGGAAGAGAGTCAAATGGGGGGGTTGATTTAAGTGTCATGGTTTTTAGCTTGCTTTGCTACAGCCAGTCATGCTCTCATCTATGTGCGCCCCGAACTGCTGGCCCCGGCTGTAGCGGTACACGCGCATGTTGGGGTTCAGACACACCGCCTTGCGGTTACCAGCTTGCAGTGGCTGTAGCACCGAGGCTAGTCGGTCCCACAGGTGTGCTGCCCGTTCAACGGAAAAGCAGAAAGGGAAAGCACAAAAAGGAAAGAGAACTTAGCGGTTAAGAAAAGGGTGACGCGTCGTTGCCTTGCGGGTTACCAGCTTGTGAGGGGTATTTAGCCTGGAAAAATCGGGGGGAAACAAGGGCTGCTTAGGTCACTCACCCTACCACTCTCCTCCTTTCTCCCGCCCTGACTCACCCGCCAGCTCGTAATCTTCAACGGATATCCGGTGGTTGTCTCTGTACGCCTCGCCCTTGGGGCTTCCTTATGACTCGCACATGCATTACCACTCTCCCCCCTTCTGCCTGCTCCCTGACTTCTTCCTACCCGCCTCTTCCTCTTGCATGACTCACCAGCCAGCTCGTTATCTTCAACAGATATCCGGTGGTTGTCTCGATACGCCTCGCCCTTAGCCGGACCACCGCTGCCCTGCCACTGGAACCCCACGCGCTCTCCTTGCGCAATGAACTCCGCGCATTCCTCTGGGGAGAGCGCTCCTGGTACCTGGCGGTGGGGAAGGGGAAGGGGAAAAGGGGGGAAAAGGGGAAGAAAGAGGGGGAGGGAGAGGGGAGGGGGGGGGAGGGGGGGAAGGGGGTAGGAATGAAGGAGGGTTCTGAAGTAGCAGAAAATATGAAGGCGTTTGTGAACAAGAAAGTTTGGAGATCTTAGTATTCCGGATTTTGAGTCGTTTAAATATTCACGAGCGTCGGAGTGACCTCACAGTGAACACTTCGCAGCCACGGATTAGTTGCGGCGTCAGGTCGCGGTGCCGTCTCAGTTTCGGCCAGGAAATGCGTGTGGCGGGTACGTTAGGCGGCGCGCCTCCGGAATACTCCTGCTGCTGCTTTTTTCCTTTCTTAGCCATTTTCCGACGCTGATATTGCCGGGATTTACGGCGGAGAACGAGGAGAATGTGGAATGATGGACGCATTGGTGTGAAAGGTGGGGGAGGGTCAATGTAAGTTGATTTGTCTCTCGATTTAGTGTGATGCGTTTTGCGTTTATGATTGTTGGAAAATTGGGCTGACAAAGTGGTTTGCTCGAGTGTTTTCTTCCAGCCAATAGCGAAAGCGTTCGGGCGGCGAAAGTCCAGGTTTTTTCCCGCCAACTTCATTTTGAGACGTGGGGCGGTGATTCGTCAGGAAGCGCTCCGCTGACAAACTCAAATCCCAAGGACCGCTACCTGGCGGCTACAGTAGATTGTGCTCCGTCTGTACAGTTTGTTTTCGCGACAATATCGACGAATCCGAGCTTTCGTTTGAAGCGGATACCGTCACCTCTAACGACACCTTCATCCACACGTCACGCCACGTGGTCGATCCGAATTACCCTATCCATCCATCCATTTCGCCATCCGTCTCTCGCCTACCGTAGTGGTCGACAATCCCAAGGTTTGCGACTTTCCGTCTCTTGGGTTCTCTCAGGTTAGGGATCTATCTAGTCTATTCTCCCATACGTCTGTTATCATTACACTAAACCAGGCGTTCCGTGTTCACAGATTCGTCATCCAGAAGTCAGGAGGTGTTCATAGTTCCTTCTTTCCAGTTTACTATTTGACTTAGCCCGTCGCGCAACCTTGAGCGCTCTCATCAGACTTTAGTAATCTTCCTCATCTGTTGTATCCGACGTTCACAACTTTGGGTTTGCATTCTGTGGGCTAGTCTGATTCCATCCTTCATCCTTTTCCAGTGTTCCTTAGCCAGGTTTACATATCTTGGTTTCTTCTTCTTCTTCTCAACATGGGCTCATCTAGTAACCATAACCATCCAGAGGATCAATCTCTGTCATTTCTCGCCGAATCCACCGATTTAGCTGAAACGATGAGTGGTCCAACTAGAGCAGTGGGAGATTCATCCAGTAAACCTGACGGTGAAATTTCCAGGAATCTTACAAAAGCCGGTGAATCTTCCTCGGCTCCCGTCTCCGCTGAACGGCCGGAAGTATCAGGCGACGTCGGGAATGAGCTGAACGAGACGGTTGTCAGTCAAGCAGACGGCGATGTAGACGGCCAGTCAGGAAGCGAAGACGGAAGTCGTCGTCGAACGCCGTTCACGGAGAATAGCCAGTTGGAGGCCGACTTGGCTCTCGCTCGTGCGATTCAGGAACAGGTAGGCTTCGCATTGACCTGCGGAGGACAGTTAGGCTTCATCTGAGGAGGACCGTAGGCTTTGCATTGATCCCAAGAGGACCGGTAGACTCTGCGCTGATCAAACGAGGGAACCTGTTCAGTAACTAATTATTCAGTCTGTCGTCATGCGATTCAGGATTCGGCGGGCTGCACAGATGAAAAAGAGGACAAGCTTGTTCTTACGAATCTGTTTATGTCGTGATTCTCCAATCGCTGATTTCATCCTCCGTTTTTTTATTTTCCTGTTCACAGGAGTGTGCATTCATGATGCTTTACCACCAGCAAGCATTAGCAGCAGCGTCAGCGTCAGCCTCGGGTTCTCGCTCTGGCTCTAGAGGCAGCTCTAGACGGCTTCAAGGCCGTCAAGACCGTGAAGTCCGTCAGACAGGCTCGTCTGTAGATAATCCCATTGTGCTGCTGAGCGAGGGAGAGGAGCTCGAGGCAGACGATCCCGATGCCGAGGAGGAATTCGCAGATGCGGACGACGATGAGTACGGCGAATGGGAGGAAGCTAGCGAAGACGATGGCGAAACAGGCGAAGATGGCGAAATGGGCGAGGTCGGTGAACGAGGAAGCGAAGCTGCGGACGAGCCAGGCCGCGAGTCACGTGGACAAGTCAGAAGTGCGTCGCTGCAGCGGCAGCTGTTCCAGAACGGCGGGAGCGAAGTGGACCAGCTAGGACTCGAACCCGAGACCGCTGCGAACATGTCGGGAGTCCTCAGGGACGGGAGAGGTGATGGCGCCGAAGGAGCTGGGGAAGGAGCGGAAGGGATTGCAGCTGGGGGGGGTGCTGAGGGTGGGGAAGCAGGGGAGGCAGGGGAGGGAGGGGAGGGAGCGTACGAGGATGACGAGGCGTTTGCTCGTGCGTTGCAGGAGGAAGAAGAGCGCGAGATGGCTCGCAGGCTGTTCGCCATGGCTGGGCTGCAACTGAGCGACGGTCGAGGTGCGTCACAGTCGCCAACGGTGGCTGGCAGCCGTTGATTGCTTGCCTTTATGCTCGAATACGTCTAACATTGCTTAAAAAAACCCTTGCCTGGTTGGGTGTACTGCAGAATCTCATCTGATACTGATGGTCCTTTGTTCCCAAGTTTTCGTTATATTTTTCTCTTTTTGTATGCTATTCAGGGTCGAGCTCGAGGAGGAGAGCGGAGATGCTGGCAGCAGCGCATGGCGTCGCCTGGCCTTTCGGCGAGGGAGAGGTGAGTTGACTATGAGTCATGTAAGTGACCGTTTGATCAAGTACATAGTGCTTTGGCTTGAGACTGAGTGTAGAGAAGATGGCAGCAGCTCACGGCAATGCTTGGCCTTTTGGCGGGGGATTTTGAGATAGCTGCCTGGACTCAAAGCTTGCTTGTTGGTCGGTTTCTTTGAAAATTGTTAGGAATTAGAATGCGAGGTGACTTGGAAGTCAAATCAAGAGTGACTTACAATAACAGGGGGATGGTAGAATGTGGGAGGGAGGTGGCGTTTGTTGAGACAATGGTGGGCTGACAGTAAGGTCGTTTTCCATAAGAGGGGGATGGGGAAGTCGGTGATTCGCGTCAGAAAGCAAGCATGGTGGGGGAGGGGAGGATGCGCTCATGCGGGTGCAAGCAGGCATTCAACCTCTTTGTTTCTGGCAGCGAAAGCTGTTTGCTATGTCTGTTCCTTTACCCTGTCTGATCAATCGCACTTGTGTCATGGGCGTTTGCTGGGCTTGCAGGGTGATGAGGAGTCGGAGGAGGAGGATTCAGAGGAGGAGGATGGGGAGGATGAGGATGCACTGGATGTGGACGAGATGACGTACGAGGTGAGAGTTCCAGTTTCTAGTTGACTCAAAAATAGGATACGGAAGAGGAGGATGGGGGTGATGAGGATACCAAGGAAGAGGATGGGGAGGAGGAGGATGCACTGGATGTCGATGAGATGACGTATGAGGCGCGAGATTGTCTTTGTTTTAAATGTTTCTAAGAAGCATGGTAGGTCCATCCGACATGTGGCATGGCATGGAATGGCCTGATATCGCATGGCATGGTATGCCATGGTATGGTACAGTATGAGATTTAGCAGTGTGAGGAAGAGCCACGTGATAAAAGTTGAGTTTTGAGAAGTCTCAAAATTTTAACTTCTATCGTATGGTACGGTATGAGATTTTTGCAGTTTAGGAAGCAAGGAGACGAGGCGTGTGAAGTGAGGCACCAGGTTTCCCAGTGCGATTTGAGGCGCCGGGATACATGAATTGTTCCCAGTTTTGAAAGCTGTGCGGAGCAGCTCACAGTTCTCGTTTTCACTAGGGTGGGTCCAGGAAGGGGAGAATCCATCACTTGTTTCATCACTCATCACTCTTTTCTGTTCTGTGTGTCTCTGCAGGAACTGACTGCTCTGGGAGAGGTGATTGGAACAGAGAGCAAGGGGCTGGCGCAAGCAACCATTGACGCACTGCCACGTGTTGCGTACAGCACCAAGACCCCCCTGAGGCGAGGCGAGGACATGTAAGATACTTGCTGAATTATAAGTTCCAGCTTTGTGCATGAATACAACCCCCAAGTGCCACATTGTATGTTCACTTCTTTCTGTAACCCCAAGCATCTTCGAAGCTTGACTCTTTCACCCGTCATGTCCCAACCCCCACTCTCTCTCCTCCCTCTCCCCCCCCCTCAATCTCCCCTCCCTCCTCCTCCGCTCCGGCCACTCGGCTCTCTTCTGTCGTGTTTTTTTCGTTGCATTTCCCCCTCAGTTGGGCCATATTCCAGCTGGAGTATGTTTTTTTTAGACGCCTCCAAAGTAGACTTTTGTAATCGTGTACTTGGGTGCTTTTTTTCTCAGGTGCGCCATTTGCCAGCTGGAGTATGAGGAAGGGGAGGAGTTGCTGCTGCTGCCGCCGTGCCACCATTCATACCATGAGGCCTGTGTCTTGCAATGGCTGGGGCGGAACAAGGTGAGGGTTGAACTTGAATTTACTCAAAAGCAATGGTTGGGACGAATTATGGTGAGGTTTAAAGTCGAATAAAACAATGGGGACGGAACAAGGTGATGTTATGATTAGTTTCGACTCAAGAAAACAATGGATGGGACAGAACAAAGTGAGGCTTGCCAAATTTGTTGAGGTGTTGCTACATTTTCTTCTTCTCTCATCCTGCCAATGGTTTTTTATTTAATTTAAAGTTTCTGGTTGCCCGCAAGTGTGCTGGTCATGCTGCTGCTTATAACAAGCTTTCTCACATCGCATGCCCATCCTTGTTTCATCCATCTGGCAGGTTTGTCCTGTCTGCAAGGAGGAGGTGCAACAGCCCCCAAATTAACTGTACTACAAGCGTGCATGTGATTGACGGCTTTTTTTAACTGATGCAAGCTTTTGTAGACTAATTATTGACCTATAGACATCAGGGCTTTGTTTTGATAGAAGTGAGTGGATATGGATATAAAAGGTTTCAGTCTTCAACCCTAGACTAACAATACCGCGGACGACTGAGTTCTGCTGGGGGAAAACGGGCGAACTTCCACACCAGAGACACTCGCTATAGCCGTTTCCGTTTCCACGTAGTTCAGCTACTGGCTCTCATCTCCTTGATCTGCCACTGCCTTGTCCGCATTTATTTGTCCAAGATCATCAGACGCGATATATGCATCTACTTCAAAACAGATTGCAGCATCACATAGTGAGACGCGTGTGCCTGTGCTTCTGCCATGCTTTGAAGCCACTTCCCCGCTCCACCGTTGGAAGCGCACCCACCGCCGCGAAGAAATTAAAGCATTTAAAAGGTTTTCGGCTGTAGCGTCGCGCCGTGGTTTGTGAACCGCAGGCAGCAGGCGGACCGGATCACGGAGGAGGGGCGAAGGGATTACATTATCACCGTTTTAAAGCGCCGTACGCAGCACGTGCAAGGCCGGGAGTCGGGGGGCGGAGAAAAACCGTAGAGCGCGCGCAATTCTTGAGACTTCGATAATCATCACTCGCGATCCCGAGTCAACACGCGGACGAGAGGTGACTTTTGAGGCAACTCAAAAGTCGATTCCTGAGACTTCCGTAGTCATCGCTCGCAATCGCTAGTCGGCGTACAGGCAAGAGGAGCCGGATCACGCGGCGACCATGCAACATGATGACGTCATCTGGAGCCTTGTCGGGAAGGGTCCCTGCAGTTACCGAGTCAAGTACGTTTCTCTTGAACCCTATCCGTCAGGAACGGTGACGGATAGGAAGTCTGGGGTTTTTCTTTCTATCCGCTCCTCAATCTGTACGTATAGGCAAGCCAGCAGCGTCGAAAGATCTCGGCAAGGGTTCCGAAGGGTTCAGGGTTTTCGAGCGATTTAAGGAGTCTCGTCAGATAATGCTGATTCGATTTGTGTGCGGCACGAGCCTTCCGTGTGCCGGCCAACTGTCTGTTTGCCACGTGTCTCATCTATGTCTGCCACTTGTGTCTCTGTCCGCCATGTGTCACCCTCTGCAGACAGCAAACGGACACGTTCTGCAGACACCCGTTCAACCTGAACGCCATCTGCAAACGTGGCGTGTGCCCATTGGCCAACAGCCGCTACGCTACAGTGCGCGAACATGACGGTAATGCATTGATTTAGCCCCCTCACCCCTGTCCCCTCCCTTCCCTCTCTCCCCGTCCCTTTCCCTCCTCGCCTCCTCTCCGCCCTCCCTCGTCCCCTTCCCCTCCGCCCTCTTCCCCATTTCCCACCATCCCTTCTCTCTCAAATTCTCCTCTCTTTCGCACGTGCCTTCTCCTTGCTTTGTCAGTAGCCCTCTCGTACTTTTTGTAGCTCTGAAACTGTCTCATTAGTAAGAACTCTGCACTGTCTCATTAGTAAGAACTCTGCAAGTCGTGACCTCACGTTGACACGGTTCGGTTCGGTTGGGAGAGCCTGGGAGAGTGGGCATGTCTTTTTTTGTATTCTTCAGATCCAACCCTTGTCATTACCCCTAATCGACATGGCATCTTTATTTTTTTCCTTGCACCCACACACAGGCGAGCTGTTTCTATACATGAAGACCATTGAGAGGGCTCACATGCCCAACAAGCTATGGGAGCGTGTGAAGCTTCCGAGAAACTACACCAAGGCTCTCGAGGCAGTAGACAAGTTTCTGGTGAGTGGATGGTGACTTCACTTATTAACAAGTTTTCACGGCTCCCCCCCTCCTAATTTTGAGGCGCCTTTGGTTTTGAGACGCCTCAAAACTACACCAAGGCACTCGAAGCAGTAGACAAGTGTCTGGTGAGTGGATGAATCCCCGGTTCCCCAGAAACTCACCAGAAACTTGTCAACTCATTAACAAGCTTTCACAGTTCCCCCCCTCCTTGGATCATCGTCTGCTTCCCTCCTTTTCCTTCCCCCTTCCCCCCACCCCTCTGCATGGTTGCAGCAATGGTGGCCGCCCTGCATGGTCTCGCTGGTGAAACTCCGCTTGACCTCTCTGATGTGTGCTAGCTACCTTCCTCCTGCCCCCTCACCCCTTGCTCTTTCCTTCCTTCTGCTGCTCCCCTCTCTCCTCCCCTTCCAGCAATGGTGGCCGCCCCGCATGGTCTCGCTGGTGAAGCTCCGCTTGACCTCTCTGATGAGTGCAAACCGACACCCCCCTTCCCCTCCTTCCTCTGTTCCCCCCCTTCCTTCTGCTCTCCTCTCCTCCCAGCAATGGTGGCCACCCCGCATGGTCTCGCTGGTGAAGCTCCGCTTGACTCGGTTGACTCAGTACCTCATTCGAATGCGCCGATTGGCCGTCAAGATACAGTGAGTGGGTGTGAAAGAATGAATGTTTTCATGTATTTGTTTCTTGTCAAGTGCTGTTTGAATGCATTTACTCGGTTGACTCAGTACCTCATCCGCATGCGACGACTCGCCATCAAGATACAGTGAGTGGAAAAATAATCGTTCTTTATGTTTAGTTCTTTGTCAAGTGGCATCTGATTTGCTTGATTAGCTTGACTTGGTTGACTCGGTACTTTATCCGCATGTGAGGAATGGCTGTAAATATTTCTGTGAGTGGAATATATATAGATATATATATATACATGTATATATACGTCCACGTATTTATTTGTATGTACATGTAATTGTATATCCTTCGACATGCATCTCTTACTGCTAGCAGAGAATGGTGTTCGTATCGAAGCTTCGTCTTAGCTTGCTGGAGAGTGGAGATGCTTCTTGACTCACCTCACCTCGACTCTCCCCTGCCCATTTTTGAGGCGCCTCAATTTTTTTTTAGGCGCCTCAAAATTCGTCTTAGCTTGCTGGAGGAGATTCTTCTTGACTCACCTCGACACTCCCCTACCCATTCAGGCCCAAGTTGACTTTTGAGTCGACTCAAAAGTCATATCGAAGATTCGGCTTAGCTTGCTGGAGGAGATTCTTCTTGACTCACCTCGACACTCCCCTACCCATTCAGGCCCAAGCTCGTGACAATGCCAACGAAAATGAGGAAGCGGGATGAGAAGAGGGAGGCCAAGGCAGAGACAGCAGCCAAGATCGACAGGGTGAGTCCCAGGGGGAAAGGTGGTGGTTGTTTGGTGGATGGGGTAGGGTGGATGGATTTTTTGGGGGGAAACGAAACGAGTACAGGGGCAAGGCAGCTTTTGAGGCGCCTCAAAAGGTGGTGGTTGTTTGGTGGATGGGGTGGGGTGGGGTGGATGGATTTGTGGGGGGGAAACGAAACGAGTACAGGGGCAAGGCAGAGACAACGGTTTTTTAGGCGCCTCAAAATCCGGTGGGGATGAGAAGTGGGAGGCCGAGGCAGAAATGGCAGCCAAAAATGACGGAGTGAGTTCAGGGGGGTTAGTGCTCAAGCATGACTTGTTTGTGCATTTGTGTGTGGGGGGTTGTGAGTGTGGGTGTGGGTGTGTGTGGGTGTGTGTGAGTGTGTGTGTCAGCTTGGGGAGTGAAAGCGAGGTGAAAGTTTACTTTTTGTTTTGTGCAATACACCGATTGTGAGTCTTAATATTTATGTATACATGTGCATCCGCGAATTACACGTATATGTATACACACATATACATATACATACATCTATATCTGTAATGTAACCTTCTCTTTTCTTGCATTGTCCTCCATTGTACAGGCCATTGAGAAGGAGCTGCTACAGCGGCTACAGAGCGGAACGTATGGCGAGCTTTATAACTTCCCGCTGAAGCAGTTCCAAAAGAGGATAGAGGAGGAGGAGAAGGAGGAGCAGGAGGACGGACCAGTCAAGAAGAGAGTGAAGGTGGTTGGAGGGGAGGAGGGTGTGGAGGATAGAGAAATGGAAGAAGAGGAAGAGGAAGAGGAGGAGGAGGAGGAGGAGGAGGAGGAAGAGGAGGAAGAGGAGGAGGATTATGAGCCTCAGGTGGAATTTGTTGAGGGGTATGATTTGGAGGAAGAGGAGGATGAGGAGGAGATTGAAGATATGGGGGATCGACTGGCATTGCCTGGGCGTGGGAGGAGGGGAGGGGAGGATTATGGAGAGGAGGAGGAGGATGAGGAGGAAGAGGAGGAGGAAGAGGAAGAAGAAGAGGACGATGATGAAGAGGAGGAAGAAGAGGAGGAGGATGAGGAGGAGGATGAGGAGGCAGAGGAGGAAGCGGAGATGGAGTTTGAGAGAAGTGTGCAGGCAAGATGGGGGAAGCAGCAAGCAGGGAAGGGGGCAGCACCAGGGGGAGGGGCAAGGAAGGGTGCTGCTGGTGCTGCCGCTGCTAGAGGAAAAGGAGCTGCTGCAGGCAAAGCCGGAAGGAGAAGACACATCGAGGTGAGTTGAAAGACAGGCAACATTAAGGCTGCTTCAAGCGTTGCGCAGCATTGCGACAAGGGAAAGCATTTGTGCAGCATTGCCTCCCACTAACCCCTTCCTCTTCAAACTCTTACCTTCCCCTCCTCTCCGCTGCTGAGAGGGAAGACAGGCGGGCACGAGCAAGGCTGCTTGTTAGAGGGAAAGTATTTGTGAAGTGAAGCAATGTGAAAGGAGAGAACAAGTGTGAAGCATTGCCTCCCTCTAACCACTTCAGCTTTAGACGTCACCTTTCCTTCCTCTCCTTTGCCTTCACCCCTCCAACTTCCCCCCCCCTTTCCCCCTCCCTTCTCCATCCCCTTGCTTTTCCATCGTTTTCCAACCTTTCTCATTCTCTGTGTCCTTGCATCCATTCTCCACTACCTCTGTTCTATTTCACCCCCATTCATTCCTCATCTCTCCTTTTTTTTTTTCCAGCTGGAATACGAGGAGGAGCGTGAACAGGCACCTGCATACTTCTAGTGTACTCATGTTTCGTACAACGCGTCCACTAGAATATGAAGAAGCTGTTCATAGTGTACTCACCTTTTTTTGGTTTGGCTGGAGACACTGGAAAAAGCTTTTGAGTCGACTCAAAAGTGTACCCACGTTTCGTACAACGCGTACACACCTATTTCTGGTTTGGCTGGATGGAGCCATTGGAGGGAGAGAAATCGTCTTTTGTTTTGGTTTGGTACTACCGTATGAGCAGCTTCTTTTGAGAAAAATCGGAAAGAATGTGAAACGGGACCCGAATAGAGTGGGCTGGCTCATATTCCGTTCTCTCTCCTCTAAACCGACTCACCGTGTTCTGTAAGCGTTCTTGGTAGGAATAATTGTACCAGCAACATAATTTGCTTAGCACAACACATGTCACTCACAACAGTCGGTCGGTACCATCACATATATAATCTGTCCAGGCTTTGATGCTTGAATATAGAAGCATGGCAAAAACAGTATCCAGGCTTAAACATAACCTGTTGCTCATTAGTATTGAAACTATAATAACTAGCAGATTGTTACGAGCGATCTATGCCTGTATCCAAACGTTGCCCGTATAGCATCGCGTTGGCAGCAACCTGTTCTCTGCTTTGGTTATTCCATCCAAGGCATAAGCGTATCACAATAAGTGTCTCTACACCTTGTCATGTGCAGTCGATCCCTATGTCCAAACTCTGATCGCCCAGCAACACATTAGCAGCAATCCTTTTGTCCAATTCGGTTACAGTATGTAGAGACATAAGAATTCCACAATACCGTACCTGTCTACGGTACTACACCTTGTCATGTGCGATCGATCCCTATATCCAAGCTCTGGTCGTTCAGCAACACATTGGCAGCAATCCGTTTGTCCACCTTGGTTTTCCTCCGCTCCTCGAACTCAGCGTACCCCTCCATTTGCTCGAATTGGTCTAGTGTAACCGCATTGCCTCGTAGGGTAACCGTGTGTAGCCGCTGACACTTAACTAAAAGCTGTGCTGGAAGCTGTGTGGATGGAGGGTTGGTTGGACATGTTGCAATGGGGGAGGATGAGAGGGAGGGAAAGCGGGGGTGAGGAGGGGGGTGAGTAGAGGTGGGAGGAGGAAGGAGGGAATTAAAACGGGGTTTCATACGTCAGTGAGTCGGCTATTATCGAGGCCAACAGTACGAACGTCAAACACAACACCCATTATGAGCCCTTGTACTTGAAGGGCAAATTTTGAGGGATAGAAATGGGAGGTTGACATACGTCAGTGAGTCGGTTGTTATCGAGGGCAAGAGTGCGAAGGTCTGAGAGTTGAACCACCGAAGGGGGGAGACCTGCAATGCGGTTGTCTGGGGACAGAAGGAGGTGTGGGGGGGGGAGGGGGGTGGGTGTAGAAGAGGGTGGAGGAGGAGGAGGTGAGTAAAGGAAGGAAACAAATATGCAGATAAATGTATGTGGGTTGGCACACATGTATAGTATAGTGTTATAAATCTACTATGCGAAGCACGAACTGAGTCGTTATTAGCACCTTGTACTGAGGTGTGCTGTAGCGAGGTACGGAGTGAGTTCTGGTATAGCAATATCTCCTTACGAGGCACCTTGTAATGAGGTACCTTGTAGTGAAATCTCTTGAAGCGTTGAGCAGCTACCGATGGTTGGTGGGAGACTGGAGAGACTGTTGGAAGAGACGTCTAGAGTGACCAACTGGAAAGTGCGATTGGTGGAAGGAAGGGGCGGGGGAGGAATGATTTCATCAAGAGAGGGGAAATTGATGGAACCACATGACAGGCAGTGAAGGGATTGATGGGATATTGAGAATCCTAAAAAAAACAGATTGATGGGATATTGAGAATCCTTAAAAAAACAGATTGATGGGATATTGAGAATCCTAAAAAAAACAGATTGATGGGATATTGAGAATTCTAAAAAAACAGATTGATGGGATATTGAGAATTCTCAAAAAACAGATTGATGGGATATTTAGAATTCTCAAAAAACAGATTGATGGGATATTTAGAATTCTAAAAAAACAGATTGATGGGATATTTAGAATTCTCAAAAAACAGATTGATGGGATATTTAGAATTCTCAAAAAACAGATTGATGGGATATTTAGAATTCTAAAAAATCAGATTGATGGGATATTTCGAATTATAAAAAAACAGATTGATGGGATATTGATGGAAGATTGATGGGAGCGAGGGGTTGTTGGGGATTGTGATTGATGAAAGAGACAAGCCGCAATGTTGCGGTAGGGAGGGAGAAACGGCCAAATGCTGAGCAGACGAGGCAGGGATTTAGAGTGCTTCACATACTGCTATGAGCTGGCCGATAGAGTCTGGTAGGTGCTCTAGCTTGTTGCCGCAACAGGTGTGTTGTGTATGCGTTGTTTATGTGTTGTGTACGCGTTGTGTACGCGTTGTGTAGGCATTGTGTATGCGTGCACATTATGCTCTGAGCAGGTACATATGAGAGCACGTACTGCTATGAGCTGGCCAATGGAGTCTGGTAGGTGCTGCAGCTTGTGCCTCGTGTATGCGTGCACCTGCGTGCACATACACTTTTGGACGCCTCGAAACAGTCTGAGCACATACAGCTATGAGCTGGCCAATGGAGTCTGGTAGGTGCTGCAGCTTGTTGCTGGCGAGGGATAGGCGCTCCAAGCGAGATAGTGAGCCGACTGGGATAGGAGGGGAGAAGGGCGGAGGGGGGGATTGGCGGTGGAAGAGAGATGAGTCAAGAGTCCGTTCATGTGTTCATGTGCTGGTTCAGTCTGGTAGGTGCTGCAGCTTGTTGCTGGCGAGGGATAGGCGCTCCAAGCGAGATAGTGAGCCGACTGGGATAGGAGGGGAGAAGGGCGGAGGGGGGGATTGGCGGTGGAAGAGAGATGAGTCAAGAGTCCGTTCATGTGTTCATGTGCTGGTTCAGTCTGGTAGGTGCTGCAGCTTGTTGCTGGCGAGGGATAGCCGCTCCAAGCGAGATAGTGAGCCGACTGGGATAGGAGGGGAGAAGGGCGGAGGGGGGGATTGGCGGTGGAAGAGAGATGAGTCAAGAGTCCGTTCATGTGTTCATGTGCTGGTTCAGTCTGGTAGGTGCTGCAGCTTGTTGCTGGCGAGGGATAGCCGCTCCAAGCGAGATAGTGAGCCGACTGGGATAGGAGGGGAGAAGGGCGGAGGGGGGGATTGGCGGTGGAAGAGAGATGAGTCAAGAGTCCGTTCATGTGTTCATGTGCTGGTTCAGTCTGGTAGGTGCTGCAGCTTGTTGCTGGCGAGGGATAGGCGCTCCAAGCGAGATAGTGAGCCGACTGGGATAGGAGGGGAGAAGGGCGGAGGGGGGGATTGGCGGTGGAAGAGAGATGAGTCAAGAGTCCGTTCATGTGTTCATGTGCTGGTTCAGTCTGGTAGGTGCTGCAGCTTGTTGCTGGCGAGGGATAGGCGCTCCAAGCGAGACAGTGAGCCGACCGGGAGAGGGGATGCGTGAGGGGTTGGAAAAGGGGCAGGGGGAAAGGGTCGGGGGGGAAGGGCAGGCAAGAGGGGATGAGAGAGAACCTCTCTACCTGCTTCCATCACCCTGCTCTCCTCATTTGCTGGTTCGGGTGACTTTTGAGTCGACTCAAAAGTCACCTCGCTTCCATCAGTCTTCTCTCCTCATTTGCTGGTTCGGTTTGGCAGATGCTGTAGCCTTGAGAAAGGAGAGCAGAGCGATGGACGCAGGCAGGCACCCCTCTGAACCTTTTCACTCTTCCAGCACTCACCACAACTCCCTCCAACTCCCTCCTACTCCCTTCTACTCCTTCTAACCTTGTCAGTAAGTACTAACTTTCGTTTGGAAGCTCCGTCAATCTGTTGTTTTCACCTGAAAGGCTTTAAGAGAGGAGAGTAGTCCGATGGAAGAAGGCAGGCACCCCTCTGAACCTTGACACTCCTCCTCCAGCACCCATCACAACTACCTCCTACTCCCTCCTACTCCTTCTAGCCACTGGTCATAGTGCTTACTTGCACCTGGATGGACACTCACTTTCGTTTGGCAGATCCGTCAACCGGTTGTTCTCCAGTTGAAGGGCCTTGAGGGACGTGAGTAGTCCGATGGAAGCAGGCACTCATCATAACTCCCGCCTACTCTCTCCAACTCCCTCCTACTCCGTCATACCACTGATTAGTACCCACTTTCGTTTGGCAGATCCGTCAACCGGTTGTTCTCCAGTTGAAGGGCCTTGAGGGACGTGAGCCGAGCAGGACGATGGAAGCAAACAAGTACCTGTTTCAACCTTACGTCCAGCACTCATCATAACTCCCGCCTACTCTCTCCAACTCCCTCCTACTCCTTCATACCACTGATTAGTACCCACTTTCGTTTGGCAGCTCGGTCAATCGGTTGTTCTCCAGTTGAAGCACCTTGAGGGATATGAGCAGCCTAATGGAAGCAGGCAGGAGCTCAATGCGATTGGTGATGCAAATCAATGCTCTCACCCCACCCACATCATATGCACCCGTCCAAATGCCCACTTTCGTAGGGTAGTTCTGTCAATCGGTTGTTCTCCAGTTGAAGCACCTTGAGGGATATGAGCAGCCCAATGGAAGCAGGCAGGCAGCGCTCAATGCGATTAGTGATGCAAATCAATGCTCCCATGACCTCACCCACTCACTTTCGTTTGGAAGCTCCGTTAAACGGTTGCTCTCAAGCTGAAGGGCTTTAAGAGAGGTGAGTAGTCCAATAGAAGCAGGCAAGCGCTCGATGCGATTGGAGGGGAGCACCAGCCGCTGCAGCGATGTCAGCCGTCCGATCGCTTCAGGGATTTCAACTGAACGGTTGAGATGGAATGGGGATGGTGGAGGGGCGAAACGGGTTGATGTTAATTGGCAAAACGGATTCGGTTGAGGCAGACACAGAATGAGAGTGGTGATGTTTTAGTGGTTGGTTTGGTTGGCAGGGAGAAACCAAGTTACCACTCACTGCAGTGATGTGAACCATTGGATTTCAACTAAAAGTGACACCTCATCGATGTGAACCGTCAGATTGGCACTGAATCACACACCGCAGTAATGTGAACTGTCACAACGCCACTGAAAGCGGCGCACACGTAACACAATGTGTGGGAGGGTGGAAGGGTGGGAGGGTGGGAGGGTGGGAGGGTGCATGTGTGCAGGTCATCGATCAGGTGCTCACGAGTATCTACCCTCAAACTCACCTGTATCTACCCCCGAAATTCACCTGTGCACCATGCATCTAACCCCCCAAGAATACCTATTCTGTTGTTGGATGCGTCTAGAGTGCGAGCTGAGCCTGCTGCTTCAAACACTGCATCGGGTATAGACTGATGGGAAGCAATGCAGGAATGAGGGGGAGGGAGATGAGGAGGAACCGGGGAAAGAAGCAGGAGAAAGGGGAAGAACGGGGGCGAAAGGATGAGTGCGTGCTGAGCCTGCTGCTTCAAACACTGCATCGGGTATAGACTGATGGGAAGCAATGCAGGAATGAGGGGGAGGGAGATGAGGAGGAACCGGGGAAAGAAGCAGGAGAAAGGGGAAGAACGGGGGCGAAAGGATGAGTGCGTGCTGAGCCTGCTGCTTCAAACACTGCATCGGGTATGGACTGGTGAGAAGCAAAGAGGGGAAGGAGGGGGGATGGATACGAGGGGAAACAGAGGGAAAGAAGCAGGAGAAAGAGGGAGGACAGGAGCGGCAAGATGAGTGCGTGCTGAGCCTGCTGCTTCAAACACTGCATGGGGGATGGACTGGTTGGAAGCAAGGACGGAGAGGAGGGGGGTAGAGACAAGGGAAAACGGAGGGAAACAAGCAGGAGAATGAGGGAGAACAGGGGCGAAATGACGAGTGCGAGCTGATCCCGCTGCTTCAAACACTGTATCAGGGATGGACTGGTGTGAAGCAAAGAGGGAGAAGAGGGGGAGGGAGAGAGGGGGAAGGGGGGGAAGGAAGCAGGATAAGAAAGGGCGAGCAGGGGCGAAATGACGAGTGCGAGCTGATCCCGCCGCTTCAAACACTGTATCAGGGATGGACTGGTGTGAAGCAAAGAGGGAGAAGAGGGGGAGGGAGAGAGGGGGAAGGGGGGGAAGGAAGCAGGATAAGAAAGGGCGAGCAGGGGCGAAATGACGAGTGCGAGCTGATCCCGCCGCTTCAAACACTGTATCAGGGATGGACTGGTGTGAAGCTAAGGGGAAGACGAAGGGGAATGGAGTAGGAAGAAGGACAAAGGAGAGAGATTCAGGGCGAAAGGATGACTTGGGCTGCTGAGCCTGGTGCTTCAAATTCAAACACGGCATCCGGGACAAACAGACTCCTAGGAAGGAAGACGACTAGTGCTATTGGTATAAACCAGAACATCCCTTTAACGTCCCCCCAAAACCAGAACATTGTTTTTAAGCTCCCCCCCACCTTCAAATGAGCGTCCCTGAGGGCGACAATCCCGGTGGCCTTCCAATTCGCTGCGCGCTGAGCGCTCGCCGCCGCTCTCCCCCCGCCCAGCGCGGCATTCCCGAGGGAGAGATTGGATAGACCCACGGAGTCTAGCCCGTCCTGGTGAGAGGAGATGGCGGTCGAAAGTAGGATGAAAGGAAGACAAGAGAACCAAGTAGGACGTAAGGATGACGAAAGGACGATAAAAGGAGGATGAAAGGAGGATGAACAAGCAAAGGGGAGGGAAAGGAACCAAGTAGGAGTATGGAGAAAAGGTGAAGCGTTTCAGTGTTTTACGACGGCCAGCCGGACTAACCTTGACATTCACGTTCCCCATTGCGAAGGGTGACCCTCTTATCTCGCGCAAAGGACGGCGGCGAGAGGCTGGCCCTATTTCGCGAGGACGGTGGTAACAACGGTTGAGAGGACGGCGACAAGAGGCTGGCCTATCTCGCGCCGTCAAGAGAGCTTAAACTCGAGCTCCGGGAAGAAACGCGCGGCCCAATAACAATTAGCGGATGCTTTTCTTACGTTCGGTTGCTGAAACGCGACGCGACCAAAATTACTAGCAGCGTCGCCGCTGCGATAATCAATCCTACGGTTCCGTCGTGTGGGTTGCTAGTGGTGCGATCATTTGGGGAGCATGCGACTCACTCTGCGACTTGAATTGGGGACAATAAAGCGCATTATTGGAAATTGAACGAGCAGTCGCAAAGTACCGGTACGACGGAACCTCCAATCTCGCGGATTTCGGTTGACTCGTTACAAGTAATGCACGGATGAAGCTGACAGATTATACATTTACTATCCTACCATGAATGCTTCAGGCATTCAGAAAAAGCAGGATAATCCTGCAGTTGTAGTAATTTTCATCAATGCAGAAAAGATCTAAGGGCAGCAACAGGATCCCCTTGGTGTTCCCGTAGCCTTCTCTCTGCAATCTTCTTGTCAACCTGAACACACGGACAGGAAAGACAAACCACAGTTGAGCGACAGCACATAAAACTGACACAAAACAGTAATATCGGAATGCGAGAGTGGTACTGGGGTAAATAGTCAGGATGCGGAAAACGACAAAGGAAGCAGCGAAACAACCTACAAGAAATGATGGCAACTTACCTCTATTTCTGAAGCAATCACATCAATGTGTACCGAGTCTATCTTCACTGCAGCCAGCTCCTTTTCCCTGCAATACCAACCCAACCAACATGCCACGCAAAGCAAACAAAGGACATGAGCTGCAACACATGCAACGTGCGATTCTAACACAATCACATGAGTGTAAATCATCCCTTCAAGCAATCAGCTCCTCTTCTCTGCAATGCCACCCAGCCAACATGCCACGCACAGAAAACAATGGAAATGAGATGCAACACATGCTACAAGCAATTCTGACACAATCACATCAGCTGCTCGTCCCAGCAGATCAAGCACACTGTAGAGCCTCCCTCACACCCTGCTCATCGTGTCAGGGAGGCTCAGCATGGTGAAAAGTTTAGATAAGGCCATATACACCCTGCGATCCTATTGGTCCAGATACACTCATGGTAATCCATGTTCCAAGGTCGTACCTGGCTCGTTGAGCCTCCCTGTCCGCCGCAGATGACGCCGCAATCGACGCCATGGCCTGCACCGAGCAAGAAATAAGCATCAGCAGAACAGAGCAGGAAGACAACAAGACCGATGGCACTACTGCAGGGCCTGCGGAAACAATTGTTGAGGCGCCACAGCGAACGAAGGAGGAAGACGGAGACTGACGGCAGCGCAGGGCATGATGAGAGCTTTGACACGTCTCAAAACCAAGACTGACAGGGCCTGCTGAGATCCAGGCCAACGTGAACTAGCACGACCAACTTAGGCCATGCAATGCTCCCTCATTATTATCATGCTTCGCTCCTTGGGAACCTGGGGGTTCCGCGACAGCATTAAATAATGCCTGCGAGTGCAATGGTGCAAATGCGAAGACCCTGTCTGAGCCAAGTACGCGAAACCCTGAACCATTCAAATCGACTTTTGAAACCCTAGAGCATGGCTCGCCTGTTCGGCTTGTGCATAAACGCCGCAGAGTTTCTACACTAGTCCGAATTCATTCCGTACCATACCCCGTGTGCCTCTCACTAGCAGTCCGCCATATTTTTCCCTTGAGCTCGACGAGCATCTAACCTTGTGGAATCTAGTTGTCTAAGTCCGGGGTCTCTGGGAGCCGTGAATAAATTCACACCACGGGCTGCGCGTACCTCTTGGACTCGGCGCGCATCTAGTTGTCGCTCCTCCACATGGTCAGTGATGGAATCTAGGGCGCGACTCTGCTGCTGCATGTCGCGCGACGCGTCCTTAGGGACATCATTAGTCTCAGTATCGTCCGACATCGTGTATATTTAAAAGCAAGAAGCGACGAATCTAATAGGCGCCAGCGTGAGTCACAGACGTGTAAGGGCGCGAGTCACGGAGTCACGAGCTCGACAGCAAGGCTTCTAGGTTTGCCAGACACAGAAGTGGAGTTGGGATGTGGTGGAAATATTAAATTTGTTGGGACTTTGCGATAAACACACCTCTGCTTTGATTGCAAGTGGATCTTTTAAGTGAAGTGCTCTGTAACGAGAATGGTGCGTTTCATTTGGGGCTTGTGCTCGCCAGGTGGATTTGCCTGCGCTGACGTTTGCATTGACTGCGGAGCGGACTCTCAAACTGAACGAAACCCGTTACAGTAACGCAATCCACCACCGTCGACCTACCGTTTTTCGTCCGCAGGCTCGGTCGTGCGGGGCCCATTGACGGATTCTTTCGCCTTTGACGACACCTGCACGGTCACGCTATTGTCGTTTTCCGATTGCGACGCACGTCGGATGCGTACGCGAACTCCCGCTAATCTCGCATTTGTGTTTCGCAATCCCATCACACACGGCTGTGCTGTCGCACGTGCCCGACATATTCTCGCTAAACAGAGACATTTCGTCCGTTGCCCCCTGCGCCTCGCCCGTGTCGCTCAACAACCTGGCGCGCTTCGTTAGAACGGCGTGACGAACCGCGTTTGCTGGTTGGTTCGGGTTCGGTCGGAAAGTGTTTTACCAGACCAACACTTTCTTGGTTGCCGAACCTAAAATTGCGCGAAAGGCGAAAGTAGCGGAAATTCGAATGTCTGAATGATGGTTTGGCGAAATTGGTTTGGGAAAAAATCGGTGTTGTTGCTGTACGTTGGTTGGGGTTGGGTGGGATTTGGGATCTCCTCTTGTTCGCCGTTGGAATATACTCGAGTGCCCCAAAGGATCTAGTGAGATTCAGTGAGTGCTGTCCGTTTTCAAGCGGTTTATCTAGAATCTAAAACGGTGTATGTGAGTATTAAAAACAGCCCCTCATCAGTGCGCCATGTGCCGTGTGAATCCTGGATCAGTCTGATGATCCCTTCCTTGCTTTTGTGATGGGTGTGCTGCTTGCCCGAATTGGCAGTGAGCAATTGCCTTTGCCTCCACCCGGCAAGGGGGTTTTGGATGAAGGATGGATGACGCAAAGCACTTGAATTTGGGATGCGGTGCGGCATGAGTGAGATGAAAAAGGACAAGGGTGAGGAGACGAGTAGATGGCGAACCGAGGTGACACCCCCTGCCCATGCCCTTCCAGCCCCATCAACCCGTTGCCCTCTCAGTCTCCCTAGAAAGCTGAACGAGTGTCCCGCATTCCTCGTGTAGGTGGCAATTGCCTCGCCTCGTACATCTCCCCGAAATTCATATTTGCTCACCAGACCAGATTCAGGAGTACAGTATTTATTATGCGAATTCCTACTTCACCTCCCATTGCTGGCGACCTGCCAGTATAGTCAGCGCGAATTCTCTTTCCTACCATATGTGCTAAGATCCTTCCCGGCGTAGCGTGTTCCTTGCCCGCATTCAGGTAAGGGTTCCAGACTAAGCTTTTAGCCCGGTATAGCCCAGCCTTATCTCCATCCGCGGACCGCGGCGTTCCGTTGTGTGGTAGAGCTAATGCCGAGAATCTCTACATACCAGTCTCGCACTCCCGCGCTTAAGTGCCTAATCGCGTTCTTAGCCGGCACCGCAAGCTGAAGGCTTTAATCGCACACTCCCTTCTTCATGCTGGTTTCCATGTTGGTTCCGCATGTGCCTAACGATGACGATAAGCTACTAGAATCGTATTTGGACGATTCCGCCGCGTATAATCGCCTCGCATTTCACAAAATAGGAAGCACTAGTACCTCTTAGCTCCCATATTTGTTCTGAAGTCCATAAAGCCGCCTAGCGGATGTCAGTTTGCTTAGCCGAGTTTTCCATCCTGCTACTGTGCGTGTTTCGTGAATCTGCCCCATCTACGAGCTTCCACGCTTTAAGCTTTTATTCGTAACAGTTATTCTCTCTTCTATTTTATGCCGTTGGAGTGTGAAAACGGCGAAGGTTCTAATCCGTGCAGCTGTATTGCCTTATTCATCCTTCCCCTTTGTGCAGAGACGACCTCGCTTAGGGAGAACGCGTGACGCTCGCGAATTCCGTGCTTCGGCTAAGAGTAACTCGATATCCGGCTTCTCTGTCACTACCCCTGGGTGTTGCGGTCGGAGTTAGATGGGGGTCGAAGAATGATAGTGGCGGAATGAGCGGTTCCTCCTTCTTTGGGAGACGGTTGTTGTGGACTGAAACGTGATAGTGGCTCAGCTTCCTTCTCACTGCAGCCTCTGCAGGCAGAGGCCTAACGCAAGCCGTCACTTTCTTTAAGATTGACGCGTTCTGTTGAAGTTGCCCTCCAAAAAAATAACTTTTTTCCGTCAGTCAACACGGCGCAGGGACATTTGCGGCCGGCTCTGCTGCGAGCCGCGAGCGGCAACGGCGGCTGCAGCACGCTGGCAGCGGCAGCGGCGGCAGCGGCAGCGACGGTGGCGGCTGGGGTCACGGCGGGTTCAGATTTTGGAGGGGGGTCGCCAGGGAAGCTGCGAAAGATGCAGAGCTGGAAGAATAAGGCGGTGGTGATGTGCTCCAACAACTTCTGTCGCAGAACGTCCCCTGGCGACGGACCGTAAGTACCTCAACCCCACCATTGCCAGTGGTATTCATCATATCTTCCTATGTGTTTCTTTCTAACGCATGCCCGACACTTTGCATCTCAACTGCTTTATTAAGCTTTTGTTTTATGCCTAGTAGCTCTAACCAACCCGAATACCCCTTCGCTTTCCGCAGGACTTGCCGCTGGCACGTGCGAAACTACGGCAGCGAAGACGATCCCGTGAATGTTACCCTATGTAACGCGTGCAAGATCAATTTCGATCAGGTTCGTATAACTATCAGGAGCTGGTATCTCCAGGTTTCCTCTAGCTACGGTAATCTCAAGGTGGGAGTGTTTCCAGGTTCAGACTGCCTCGCGGTATTCCCAATGCCAGGTTGCTTTCAGGAATTTGGTTAGTCTTGGTCCGAGCCGCCTTGCGGTGTTCCCAGTGCCAGGTGTTTGTACCGCGCCGCTCCGAAGTTGGAGATTCAAGACTGAACCGAAATCTTTCTTCAGGAACAGCCCAAGGCCTTGCGGTATCCCCAGTGCCGGAAGGGAATCACGTGACCGTGTCTGGCTGTGTTTCTACAAGGTTTAAAAGCCCTGTCTCTTTGGCGAATGTCTTTCAATCCGGCATTGACTTGTCTTAGCCTTCGTTCACTCAATTCTTTATTTCTTCTTTCCGTTCTTGCTGGTTCTTGGTTCTCGTTGTTGTGTGTATGCTGCAGGGCAAGTACTGTCCCTTCTGCGTTCAGATCTACCGCGAGAGGGATCCAGACAGCTTCGACAAGAAGCAAGTGCGTCTTCGGCTTAGATATGTCCTAGTCGCCAAGCATGTTCGTGGTGTCAGCGTCCCTAATCGTCCGCGTTCATCGGTCCCCGTTAGTCCTTAGTTTCCCTTCCCCTTACTCGAAGTTTTCCTAGGTTCCCTCGATCTCCCCCTTCCGTTCCGCTCTTTCAAACGTCGACCTCATTCGTTACATTCGTCCATCTGTCCCTCAGCCTTGCACCAGTATCTATCAGCTGCAATAAAGCAATGATAGTCATAATTGGTGGTTCTCCTTAACGGCTCTTATTGATGGTTCTCATTGGTGGTTCTCACTTCCCCCTCCTCCGTCTCTCTCCTCCCCTAATCTTCCCCTCACAGTGGATCGGCTGCACCAATCGCAACTGTCGCCGCTGGTCGCACGAGGAGTGCGAGATGGAGTACGGAATCGACGTCTCCAAGATCGACCGTCGATCCTACCAATGCCCGGGATGCCGCGACGCGGGCAAGGTACGGGATTATCGTAATCACGCAGTCGAAGCCCTTTCCAGAGACTCTCTTCTCACCCATGTCCAGCACTCTGACCCCAACGGCCGCCGCCGCAACGCGCGGGTTACCTCAGTGTACCTCATCCCCCTCCTTACCCGCTCCCCCCTTCCCCTTCCTGCCCTTCCCACCCACATCCCATCGCTCCCTTCACGTTCCCCACTCCCTTCTCACCCGTATCCAGCACTCCGACTCCAATGACCGCCGTCGCTTGGGCCGCCACAACGCGGCGGATCGCCTGGCGATCGCGCAGGCCGCAGCAGCTGCCGCGGAGGCAGGCGGCGCATCCGGGGGAGAGAAGGACCGCGGGGGAAGAGGGGGAAGCGGAGGGGGTGCGGATAAGGGCGGGGTGTCCGGTTCCCCTGGGCGGATACTGTTCGGGGGAGGGGCGGGCGGAGGGGGAGGCGGAGGCGGGTCGGTTCCTAGTGGGCGGCGGAAGAGTAGGCAATCCAGCGGCGGTGGCGCTGCTGCTGCTGGTGGGGTTTCTGGTCGGAACAGCCTGCTTGCTGCTGCTGCGGCGGCGGCTGTAGCTGCTGTTGCTGCTTCCCCCGCATCCCCGCTATCAGCAAGAGGCCAGGGTACCGCAGGGGGGACAGGGGGAGCAGGGGGAGCAGGAGGGGGAGAGGGAGGGGCAGGGGGAGATGGAGCGGGGGGAGGTGGGAGGAAAGGGGCGGGGGGCGGAAGGGGGAGTGGAAGTGTGAAGGTGCTGTTTAAGGGGGTTGCGGGGAGGGGAGGAGGAGCAGGGGAGGGGGAGGGGGAGGCGGTGAAGAGTGACGAAGGGGGGAGTGCACAGCATGGCAGCTGTAACGACACTGACAGCGACACTTTCCCGGTAAGCACCCGTTTTGCCCACAACCACACGCCTCGAAGAATACCAACCATCCCTCCTCCACCGCCCCCAGCCTCTCACCTCCCTAGTCCTCCCCCTCTCAAAACAAACCCGATCCTCGCCAATCACCCGCCTTCTCTGTTTAGATTTCCTCTCTTTCAGGCACACCTAATTTGTCTCCGCCCGTTCCCCTCCCCCTCACCCCAGGGATTGCAGGACTCGTTGCACTCCCCAAACCCCTCGAGTGACTCAACCCCTGGTGACTCTTGAGGCGCCTCAACAATCGGTTCCCCCACCTAATGTATCTTCGCCTGTTCTCCTTCCCCCGCCCCGCCCCAGGGACTGCAGGACTCGTTGCACTCCCCAAATCCCTCAAGCGATTCAACCCCTGGCGACCATGCTGACTCAGCTAACCGCGTTGACCGCATTGACCAGTCAAAGCCCGAGCTTGCCATTGACCAGCGGATCCACCCCGTTGACCACATTGACCAGATTGACCCTATGGATACAACAGACGACAAGGGAGCTGGAGAAGTGGAGGGAGAAGAGGGCGAGAGGGAACGGAATCGAAAATCGTCTAGCAGTGGCCACCACAGCAATAACAGCCAAGATAACAGTAACGAGTATGATAACAGCGAGTATGGATGGAAGAAATCTCCTGGAGCAGCAGCAGGAGCAGCAGCAGCTGCGGTGGCAGGGTCTGTGTTACCCCGGAGTAGCAAGAGGGTGCAAGGCAGCAGCGCCAAGCCGCTCAAGGTCGACCTATCCAAGCTGCAGACGAGCTCGCTGCGGCGCTACAAGAGAGTGTACAAGCTCCGAGACGCTTCTTCTGGCAAGGTGGGTGTCTGGGTTAAGTGGGTGCTTGGCTGAAGTGGGTGGTGCATGGCCTAAGGGGGTGCAAGGCAGCAGCGCCAAGCCGCTCAAGGTGGACCTATCGAAGCTGCAGACGAGCTCGCTGCGGCGCTACAAGAGAGTGTACAAGCTCCGAGACGCTTCTTCTGGCAAGGTGGGTGTCTGGGTTAAGTGGGTGCTTGGCTGAAGTGGGTGGTGCATGGCCTAAGGGGGTGCAAGGCAGCACCGCCAAGCCGCTCAAGGTGGACCTATCGAAGCTGCAGACAAGCTCGCTGTGGCGCTACAAGCGAGTGTACAAGCTCCGAGACGCTTCTTCTGGCAAGGTGGGTTCTTTTTCCCACACGAGAGGGGGGGGGGGGGGGGGGAGACTGGATTATGGGATTGAGGTCTTCCTCCCCCCTCTCTCTCACCCCTGACATCTCAAGCTTGGAGTGGCACAGCATGTTGCACTAGTATTGGCTCTGCCCTTATGCTTCTCCATCCCTCCCACCCCACTCCTCCCGTTTCACTCTCTCTCTCCCTTCCTCTCTCACCCCTGACATCCCTCTAACAGGAGGAGCTCAAGCTGGCAGTGGCACAGCACTTCGCGAGTCTGGTACGTCCCCTGAGTTGCAGTCAGTGTATAGTCCGTACAATCAGATGGGAACCAAGTAAAAATTATTAAACAAGAGGCCAAGCATGTTATGCGATCTATTCTACTGGCAGAAGGGCGTTTTTTTCTAAAGCATCTACTATGTCTCACTTCACTTCATCGCTCAATGCCTATCTACTGTGTCCGCAAGATTCCACTGGACTGGAAAATGGCGGATTTGTTTGGTGCCTGGCCTTATTCTATTGTCCTTGCCCTCCTTCCTTCCCTGACCTGCCACCCTCCGTTTCCAGGTCGTATCTGAGGAGGAGATTATCCACTCACTGGTGGAGGTGTTTTCCCGGCGGTACCACCAGCGAGCAGCAGCCAATGCCACGGCTGAGGCCCCTGCTGCAGCTGCAGAAACATGTTCTTAAGGAACCGAGCAGTTTGATTGGGCGATCTTGATAGGAGGAGCGGTAGCAGGAGAGGATCGAAGCACTGGGAACAGCAGCGGCAGGTGCATCCATTCTGGCACATTACAACGGCATGGGAACATGGTCTGCAGACACATATCTGCATGTTTAATGGAAGCAGTGGTAGCAGCGAAAGCAGCAGCAGGTTCCTCCAATTGGCGCATCTGCACGGCACTGTAAGGCGCATTTGCACAGCACTGCAACCTGTACTTAGAACCTCCCCCTGCTGCTGCTGGTGTTGATGGGAGCAGTGGGCAAGTGAGGAGTCTTACCTAATCTGACTCATGAAGTGCAGCAGCAGCAGCAGTGGGAGTAGCTACAGAACAGGGGGAGCATCAGCAGGTGTAGAACACTAGAACAGTAGGAGATAAGTAGGAGTAGGAAACCTACTGGAAGCAGATATAGAGCAAGGCAGAATTGGTGGGTCTGCGCCGCGTTTAGGAGTGGTGGCAGCGGCAGTGGCAGCAGCAATGGGCTGGCAGGAGCAGCAGGTGGGCAGCTGCAACTAATTTAACCAATCAAGTGTGTCAGCACGTGCACCTGATGCAGAACTTATGTCTGCGGAGTGACTGCCGCAGCAGTACAGTGCGTGCCACCCTCCTGCCCATGGAGATAGCTTAGTTGATCAATGGTCAGCAACGGACCATAGAGTATGTTCTCCCAATATGGGGCACTAGGAGCGTAATAACGTAGGTAATTAGACGGCCTTGTAACTGTGACACCTAACTAGTGGACGTGGTTCAGCTTGCAGTTTCTATACCATATTCTTCTAATGGGCTTGAGGATGACCATTCTCGTTGAGAGCTGAAATTTGCAACTTGGCTATTAATCTATAGTCGTATGTCGTTTTTTTTATAGTTTATCACCATCGATCAAATGGCGACCTTTCTGTTAACGAGGATGTAGTTCACACTTGCCCACTGGGTTTCAATGGCGCGATCCGAGGACACCAGAAACCGGGCGGTCTCGCTTGTGGCCCCACACACACACACTTGCGCCCACCCACACGGCACCCTCACAGCTGGTCAGTCGTCGCGGCGCAGGCGCCAGCCGAACAATTCTGCATAAAAGCAGCACATTTCGCTCTGATCTGATACCGCACTTAACCCATCAAGAAGCTTCTTTCTCTACTCCAAACCGGAGTGCTTCAAGCATCCATCCAGAATCCAGCCCAGATGTGTAGTTTCAGCGAACACTAGAACAGCCATGGCCTCACTTGTCGCAAGCACTAATAAACCACGAGCAGCTCGATCATCCATAGCATATTCTTGTCGTCTCGTCACACCACTCCAATTCCACCTACTGAAGCAGCAATTGGCAAGGCCAGCCTATTCTGTCGACTTGAAGACCCTAAATTAACTGCGATATACATAATCTCGTATTTTCTTTCGAGCCGCACTTGGGATCATCATTATAAGTTTTCCGGAGTCAAATTACGACCGCTTCGTCATTTCTTGAAGCGTCGAACAAATTGAATCCCGACAGCCATGGAAGCGAGGTCGAGATTACTCCATCTTATCACCATCGCCTTCGCTTTGCTTTCCCTTCTTCCCGTCACAATATTAGCCGACGAGGATGTCAGTCAGGGTACACTCATCAGCTTAAACGACAGTAAAGACTTTCGCTATAGCGAGTTCACCGCCTACCACGCCATTCGACCCGACCCGCGCGCGCCGTGCCACGATCTTCCCGAGGAGCTGGTCGGCCGCGTCGGCTCGCTGATGATTACGTGGAACACTCGCGACCACACGAAACGGCACATGATGTGTAACACGGTGTGGTTCTTTTCGGAATCGCAATGCGCGGGCGTCGCGACGGGGATCGAGCTCCCGGACGGGCCGCAGCACGCGAGTCCGCGCAACTACAGCTACGGGTTTACCGTGAAAAAGTGAGCTGCGTCCCGTTTCGTTCACTTAATTCCGTGAATGTCCTAGAATCCGTTTATTCCGTTGGTTCCGCGCATAGAGACACGGGCGTGATGCATTGCGAGGTTTGGAAAGCACATCAGTAAAGGTATTCTAAAAGCACGGCCCTTTGTCTGTTTGGACATTCTGGCCGTCTAACGCGTTTATTATCTTGTTTCCCTTCCTTCGTTTCAGGAACGTTCGTGGGCCGCTGGCGTCAGTGGCTTCTGTCGGCTGTTCCTACAGTAAGTCAGCTTTTACTCCATGCTCATATTCCAGTCTTTCTTGCGTAAGGATGTTGATCAGCAGAGATGCACTTGTTAATGTGTCGCTGCGCCTAACCATGCTCGTGTTCTCTTCGTTTCTTGCAGCTCCTAATCCCTGCTCACTCTATGGCTGCCCTGCACATTCAGTCTGCGACTCAGCCCAAGGAACGTCGCATATGTGCCTCTGCAGAAAGGGGTTTATCAAAATCAAGAATCAGTGTGTTTGGGCAGCGGGGCTGTCATCCACATAGGTGGGCCCTGCGCTTTCCCGTAGCCTTGCAAATAAAGGGAAAGCGAAGCTAAGTTATTCGCTTTTCCGTATATTGGATGCTATGCACTGTACACTCTATAAACATGATATTGCAGCGGAATGACTCACTGAATAGACGTGTCTATTCGTGTGACGAGGAGGACCCGATTGATCCACCGACCGCATCGCGTAAATTTCCAATCCCGTCTCGAGCCACAAATGTCAAATTCAAACATCTTCTGCTGCAAATTCGCCCCCAAGCAACTACAAATGTCCCCCAGCCTCACTGCCAAACCTCGTTGATCAGCCTTTTCTCTGAATTCGGGGATTTGTAGTAGTAACAGCACCACCATTTTCAAGCAATTAGTTATTGCTTCCAGAATTGTGCATTCAATCACACTGCATCCTCCCAGATGGATCACGTACGCATCTTTCTCGCCATATTATTTATCTCAACTACAAAGGCTGCCGTAGCAGCAAGTTTCGATCCAGCAACTCAGATCACTCTGTACAACCAACCGCGCTTCTTCAACTCTCCAGTCACTCTGAACGAGTTCGTCGTCCGACCAGACCCGCAGGTCGCGTGCTACAATCTCCCCTCTGCCTTCTCCAAAATCATAGGCTCCGCGAAAATCGTGTGGAGCACGAGGACTGCGAGTGCGACACGTGTCAGCTGCAGCACTGTGTGGTTCTTCCCTGGGTTGAAATGCGCTGGGACACCCAAGGGAGTTCCGCGGCCTGCGACTGTCTCGAATGCATCTTCTTCTTTGAGCTTCATCAGGTGAGTTTTGAGTTGACTCAATAGTCAGCACGTGTCAGCTGCAGCACTGTGTGGTTATTTCCTGGGTTGAAATGCGCTGGGACACCCAAGGGAGTTCCGCGGCCTGCGACTGTATCAAATGCGTCCTCTTCTCTGACCTTCATAAGGTGAGTTTCACATTCTATAGCTATTCACAGGGTGAATTCCTCATCAGCACGCGTTCCTCATAGCCGGATGGATCCGTTTGCCACTGTTTTTCTTCTGAAACCGATGGTTGAGGCGTCTCAAGAATCGAATTCTGCATCCGTTGTTGCGCCCGTTAACGGCGTTTTCCTGAAAATGAATGTATGGCTAAAACGATTTTTTTGTTGTTATTGCATCGCCTGTTCTTATTGGCGTACTGAACCTGAGCAGTGTACTAGCCGAGCCAATGAGGTCAGCGGCCTCCATCGCATGTTCATATGGTGAGATAGCATAGAGACTCTGAAGCCCTGTCTTCTAAAACATCAAATCCATGATGTGCCGTTCTCCCATGCCCTGCCCACTCCGTGACATTAAGAAAATCCATGGGTACCTCCTACAGCTCCTCCTTAACCCACTGCCGCTTGTGCTTGCGCTGGCATGTGGACATGAAAATCCCGGCTCTGAATTCCTCATGATTTTTGTTTCATCCCTCCCATTCCCTGTTCCTATTCCGTTTCACAGACAGGAACCCATGCACCGTTGTTCCATGCCCTGCCAACACCACATGCACCTCCTACGGCAACACTGCGCACGCATGCCCATGCAGCTCTGGCTTCACGCGAGTCAACGGCAACTGTGTCGGTGCGTGAGTTTATCTCACAGCCTTTCACTTGCAGTGATTGACGATGTGACTCATAAAGTCTTTGATCTTTTTTTCTGTGTGTGTGTGCGAAGCGTCTTATCTTGTCCTTCAATTTTCCCATGTTTTTCAACCATTTCTCCCCTGTTTCCCCCACATAGACAAATGCACGGCCAGGAATTGCCCGGCAAACTCCTCCTGCTATCTTCGTGGGGGAGCAGCAGAGTGCGTGTGCAAGAGAGGGTTTGTTCAGCAATCCAACGGCTCCTGTGCGCCGCAGCCCGCTTACGATGAGTGGCTGGGATTGCAGAACGACGCCAGAGCATCGGTTGGATCGCCGCCACTCGTTTGGAATGACACATGTGAGTGAGGGTTGTGTTTCTGAGCCAGTTTCGGTATGGGAGAAAAGTTGTTGTACAATCTTTGTAGAAGATGACGCTGCTCGTTTGATACCTGTGAGTGATGGCTGTGGAATGATATATGGTGGGGGGGGGGGACGCAGGGGGGGGGGGGGTGTGAAAGGGGAAGGGAAGAGAAAGGGGTTTTAACTTCTGCCGATTAGGGAATTCATGCCAATATGTGGGTCCTCCAATTCCTCCCGTTTCTCTTCCTCCCTAAATTCTTTTCAATCAGTGGCAGCGGCAGCACGGGCATGGGGAAGCAAGCTAACCTCCACATCCTGTTACAATACCACCCTGGAGAAAGGGGTTCCCTATGGCCAGAACACTCTGGCTGCATATGGGTTTGCTCCACGAGACACCGTCAATGTGTGGATGTCTGGAAAGCTGAGCTACACCCGTGCTGATTTTCCTAACGGCTGCAAGAACGGGCAACTTCGGAACTGCATTCACTTCCTCAGGGTACAGTTATTTCCTTTTTCTTTACAAACACAGACCGAACACAATTACCGGTATGATCGAAAAGAATGTGCTCTTATTAATTGAAACTTGCTCGTTGGTTACAGGCTGTGTGGAACACGACCAAGAGTGTAGGTTGCGCTGCAGTGCCCTGCAAAGAGGAATGGAGCACTTACATTTGCAACTACTATCCAATGGGGGGCATCGTGGGGTCGTGCCCTTACTGATGTGCATATTATATCCATGAGAAAAGCAGAGAGAATGGTGCAAGTAATTTTATTATGAACACGTATTATCAATGTACGGGCCTCTCCATCGGGATAAATAACATATTAAGAAATATTATAAAACTGGAAGTGGTTGTGCTGAGTTGACACAAGGACTACCAATAAATTCAAAGCCCAAAATGTCCCAGGCCATGCCCACACGAGGGTGCATTGATGTTGTACTGAAAGACGATGGGATACTACGTGAAAAGGGTCGTGCATTCGATGTGCAGTAATAATACAAACTCCATATCCGTAACCATGTATTGTTTCAGTTGAAAACTGTAAGGATGCTATGCTTTGTCTACTATTCCCCTTCAGCAATGTTTTTTCTTAGCACCATATGATGCTTATGTTATGCTAAACACTCAGGAGGCTGCTTCTATCACGGATGTTATCGTCTGTCTTCCTAACGCAGGTATTTCAGGTGGCCATAGATTATGCCGACACGCATTTTCGAACCGAGCGTCTGTTAGCCACACACACGAAACGAGCTCGCGACGCTCCGCCCAATCAGAGGCTGCTGCTTCGAGCCGCAAATGCGCGTGTGCTTCACCAATAGCCCGTCATTCCGTCGAAAGCTCCGGTATCGTCAGGCAACTCACGGACCGTCGATTATGGAAACGGATTGGAATTTCGGCCGTCGATTTCCGAAGCGCTGCTATGGCGAGGCGATCCACTTTCGCCTCAATGGTGGTGCGAGAATTCGCTCCTACCGAGGCGAAGCGCGATCCGGCGAATCGACCTATCTGGTCCAATTCGTTCGCGTCGAATATCTGCGCCGTCGGTTTCCGTAGCGCATCCGAATCGGCAAAATCGAAAATAAAAAGGCCCGCGCTCTTGCTTCATCATCAGCCGAAACTCGTCGCGGTCTCATTACTCCATCCCCACTTCGAACTTGCGACTTTTGAGGCGCCTCAAAAGTAGTCCAACTTGCGTATCATATCGACCACCGCTGGTTACTATCACCATGGCTGTTTTGTTTCTCCGGAATGCGGCACCCGCGCGGCGTGTCCGTAGCACCGCCTCGCCGTCCGTCGCCGCGATCGTCGCCGTCGTGTCCGCGATGCTCCTCGTTGCTATCATCCACCTTCCGCTAACCGTGTCCGCCGGTACCGTTACCCCCGCCGCCGTTCCGCCCACCGTCGTTCCGCCCACGGTCGTACCGCCCACCGTCATTCCGCCCGCCGTCGTACCTCCCACCGTCGTTCCGCCCGCCGTCATTCCTCCCGCCGCCGTCGTTCCTCCCACTGCGCCGTTCGCGCAAGCCGCCCCAGGCACGCTCCTTGCGCTCTACAACCGCCAGTACTTCGCCAACTCGCCGAAATCCCTCCCGTTCGTCGCGATTCGCCCCAACCCGGCTGTAGCGTGCTACGACCTGCCGCCGGATTTCGCGCGCAGCGCGGGCTCGGCGCGCATCTGGTGGAACACGAAGGATAACCAGCCGGAGCATATTAACTGCGGGACGGTGTGGTTCTTTCCTGGTTATGGCTGCACGGGCGCGGCTACTGGGATCCGCAGGCCTGGGAGCTTGAATACCACCGCCCCCAGATACAATGCGTACAGGTGAGACCTGCCTCATCTAGGGGTCGCTGTGGTTCTTCCCCGGTTATGGATGCACTGGCGCTGCTTCGCAGGCCTGGGAGCTTGAACACCACCGCCCCCAGATACAACGCGTACAGGTGAGACCTGTCTCAGCTACAAACGCGTACAGATGAGACCCCTCGCAACTCAGTAGATTGATAAGTTGACTCAATGTTGTCTTTCTCAAGGTTACCCCAGATGAGAATTGAGCTGGTGAGGGCACCGTCCTCCTCGCTTGAGTGCTTTTATCATAAAGTGTGTGCTTCTCTCATCCTCTCTCTCTGCTTTTCGTCTTCCTTCCCTCTCCCCTCTCCTCTGCCTTGCACCTCCCCCCTCCTCCTCCTCACCATTGCAGCAAGCTGCCAGCTCAAATGGCCACTGCAGCATCTGTCCGCTACTCCTTCTGTAAGGAGGCAATTCTCTTGACGTTAAAAATCCCACCGCCCCTCCCCTCCCCTGCACCTCCCCTCGCCCCCCCCTCTTCTCACCATTGCAGCAAGTTGCCAGCGCAGATGGCCACAGCAGCTTCTGTCGGCTGCTCCTTCTGTAAGTACCCCCCCCCTTCCTCCCTCCCCCTCGCCTCACTCCTTTTCTGCACGCTGTCAACACGTCAACACTGTTCCCCACACAAGCAGCAAGCTGCCAGCGCAGATGGCCACAGCAGCTTCTGTCGGCTGCTCCTTCTGTAAGCACCCCTTCCCTTCCCCTTTCCCCCTCCTCACTTCCCTCCCTCCTCTCCCCCCCTCCTCACTTCCCCTCTTCCTCCCCCTCCCCTTCACCTTCCCCTTTTCTCCCCTTCAGTCCCCTGCCTTCTCCCCCAATTCCACCTCTTTCCTCCCATCCCATACGCCCTCTTGTCTCTCCTCTCAGTTTCACATTCCATTCTGTTTCACCCTGAATTCACCCGATTTGCTCAAACCCTCCAGAATCAAACCCTGGCCCAGCGTTAGGTGCAAGTCTTTTCTTCCACACTGTTGATTCTGCACACCTCGCACTTCTGATTAGCCACGTGATAGGAGTGAAGTTTTGAGACGTCTCAAAACTTCACTCTTATCACGCAGAACCAAACACCGACCCAACGTTAGGTGCAAGTCTTTCCTCCACTCTGTTGATTCTGCACACCTCGCACTTCTGATTCTCGCGCAATTCTGACTCCCAAGTGTAATTCCACCTCCTCCTGTTTCAACCTACCCCTGTTTCTTCCTACTCCCTTTCACTTCACCCTCTCCCGTCCCCCAGTCCCTGACCCGTGTGCGATCATAGCATGTGCGGATCCCAACGCCATGTGCAAGTCAAACAAGGGCACCTCGCACGTTTGCCGCTGCCAACCAGGTTTCACCAGCGTCAACGGCACGTGCACGGGTGAGTATTGGAAGATTATGCACAGTTGATTGCACTGGAAACACTGTTTGTTTTGGCGCCTAGGGGGTGCAAGTCCAACAAGGGCACCTCGTTCTTCTGCCGCTGCCAGCCGGGATTCACCAGTGTCAACGGCACGTGCACCGGTGAGTATTGGAAGATCGTGCACGATTCATTCCACTGAAAACAAGCGCACCTAGTTCTTCTGCCGCTGCCAAACGGGTTTCACTAGCGTCAATGTCACATGCACCGGTGAGTATTCTGGAAAATTATGTGCAGTCTGTTGCACTTATAACATGCACAAGCACCTGTTTTTTAGGGGTGCACCTGAATGCAAGGGCACCTCATGCTTCTGCTGCTGCCAGCTGGGGTTCACTCCTGCTCACCCACTCTCTCACTCCCTCTTAAACCATCTCCATCCCTCCCCTCCTTCCCAGACGTGTGCACGCAGAAACAGTGTCCTGCCAACTCCACCTGCATCCCCCGGGGCAGCCTCGCCACCTGCCGCTGCGACCCGGGCTTTGACCGGCAGGAGGACGGCAAGTGCTCGCCCACTCCCGCCAACAAGGAGTGGCTGCAGCCGCACAATGAAGCACGTGCTGAAGTTGGCTCACCTCTTCTTGTCTGGAATGAGACATGTAAGTAGATTCTAGCGTTTAGCCCCACCCGCTAGGTTACTCCTTGGATTTGACCGCCAGGAGGACGGCACGTGCTCGCCCTCCTGCCTGCAGCCTCACAACGACGCACGTGCTGAAGTTGGCTCACCACTGCTCGTGTGGAACGAAACATGTGAGTGAATAGGAACTGTTACGAGATTTGACGGACAGGAGGGCGGCTCCTACTCACTCCCTGTCCTATGCAGTGGCAGCAGCAACCCTCACCTGGGCGCAGCAGCTGGTGAACTCCACATCAGCAACGCCTGTTACATTCTATCACCACCCTGGAATCCTCCTCCTCACTGCCCTACGGCCACAAAGCACACACACACACTCTGTCGGCACCTGGTAATCCTCCGTTTCCCCCCTCTCTCTCCCTCTACCCCTTCCCCTATGCAGTGGCAGCAGCAGCCCTCACCTGGGCACAGCAGCTAGTGAACTCCTCTGCTGCTTGTTTCAACACCACACTGGAATCCTCCTCCTCACTGCCCTACGGCCAGAACACACTCGCAGCAGTCAACACCTCCCCCTCTGAAGCCGTGCAGATATGGACAGACGAGGCCGCCCGGTACTCACGCTCGCCGTACCCCTTTGGGTGTAACGGGCTGCAGCTGAGGAACTGCGTGCACTTCATTCGGGTATGTTTGCAACAAGTAAAAGCATGACATCATGTCCGTACCTTTCCATTCTGTCCTCTCTTGCTCTGATTTCTCCTTTGTTTCGCCCCTTCTCTCCTCTCTCCCTCCGTGCCAGGCTGTATGGAACACCACTCTCAGCGTAGGCTGTGCTGCGCTGCAGTGCCCTGCAAGCAATCTCGAACTCTCTCCAGACAACTACCCTTCATTTGCATCCGCTTCGTGTCTCCCCCTTCTCTCCTCTGTTGCACCCTCTTTTTGCATTCCAGGCTGTATGGAATACCACTCTCAGTGTGGGCTGTGCTGCTGTGCCCTACAAGCACTTTTTATCTCAACGGATCTTTGCCTCACTGCCTTTTGTTCCCATTCCCCGCACCACTTCTCTCTCTTGTCCCCTCTTGGTTCGCCAGGCTGTATGGAAAACCACTGTCGGCGTGGGCTGTGCGGCTGTGCCCTGCAAGAACTTTCAATTTGTCTCCATACATCTTCCTTTCATCACCTCCTCTTGTTGCTCTGCCTTCTCCCCTTTTCACGTGCCAGGCTGTATGGAACACCACTCTCAGCGTGGGCTGTGCGGCTGTGCCCTGCAAGAACAACTGGCAAACCTTTGTCTGCAATTACTACCCCAAGGGGGCTATTCCCGGCGCATACCCTTACTAAAATGGGGCGATGCGTGGAAGACCTTCGTCTGTGGCCCATACAGGCTGCCCATGCTTCGGAGGCTGCGCAGGAATTACCACTCCTGGAGTGTACTACTCTTGGAATGTAGCTGTACATATGACCGTAGGCTCGACTCTCACGATCAGCGTATGGTAGCTTGGCCTGTAGACTGGAGTGTGGCTCTTTTCAGTGATGATAGCAGCAGTTAGGTGTTAGTGACTGTCTAGTTACCATAGTTATAGTTCAGTTAGCAGGTCTTCTATAGAGTCCTTCATGTAAATTTAGGACTAGTCCTACGCCCTGTGGAAGGTGCGGCGTGATGATCCTTGAATGGGACGTTTGCTGTTACTGTAGCATGTTTGCGGATACATACTGTAACACAGTTGTTCGTGAGCAAATTTTCTGACGTTTTTTTCAGTAGACCATGATTACGGCCAGAGTAGTGACTTCCCACAAGTTATATAGCATGCTGTGCAGCACAAGGCTTTGGGTGGTAAGGTAGCAGGTCCCACGAACTCATACTTTCCAGTTTCTCAGAGCAATGGATATGGAAGGTAGCACGAAGCAGGAGCACATGTGCAGACCCAACATGCTGACACAGCCTGCTTCATGTAGTTGTCATCTCCCTCTCTCCCAATACCTCTGCTCCAGTGGTTTCTCCCTCCATCTCCCGGCCACCCTTCTCTGCTCCACCCTTCTCCCTGCCCTTCTCCCCTCCATCCTCCTCCCTTCCACCCTCCTCTCCTCCACCCTCCTCTCCACCATCCTCCTCTCCTCCACCCTTTTCCCCATACTCCGCTCCTTCCCTTTCCGCCAGCATCGCAATCTTCCTCCCATACCTCTTTTTGAACACCTCATCAGTACACCCAAACATTGACCCCAGACTCAGCTGCTGCTCGCGTGGTAACCCGCGTAACATTTCGTACCGCGGCCGTAACCGCTTCTCCACGCTCCTCGTCAGCAGAGCCGGCCACACCACAATATCCGCAATACTCCTCCCCATAACCTCAGTAACGAATAAAATCTTATCCTGAATCGTGTTCCAAGAATACGCCATCACTGTAGGCGTCTGGTTAACGATCCGCACTGCACCCTCCCGGCCAAAAACGTCGATTAGTTTCGAGATTGTATCCATCATTCCGCTCCAGTTCTGACCCAGCAGCAGCGGCTGTCGCCTCAGCAGTCTCTTCGTATCCTCCTCTCCAAAATACTTCACCATGCCTTCGTATGTCCTCTCCATAGTCTCATACTGGGCCAGCAGAACGTGCGGAAACTTCCGGAGGTAATAAATCGGATCATCCGCGCTGTTGCTGGATCCTAGCAATCTCTTTACGAGCTCCACCTTTCGTTGAATCTCCGACGCGCGTGCGCTTAAAACGAAGGGCGATCGCTCGAGAACTTCGCTCGCCGGACCTAGCCCCGCGAGCCTGAGCTGCCGGACCTTCTCCTCCAGGTTCGGCAGGGAGAGATTGAGCACCAGCGGGAAGCATTTCAGGACTTTCTCGATTCTAACGACGCCTAATTCGTGCCGAAGGTAATGCAGATTCTCCGATAGGGATTCGAAGGGAAACAGGAGAACGTTGGAGCGGGAACAGAGGTCGAAGAATGCGGATCGGGTTACATTGTAACGGCGAAAAAGATCTATGCGGCTTTGGACGGATGCAGTGTCTAGGGGAGCGGCGAGGAGGGATGGGAAGCGGTTGAAGATGCCAAGAAGCTGTTTTTCGCTGATCGCGAAGGAATCGTCTTCAAAACTAAGTAACACTCGGAGATTTTCGCTGGCGACGCTGTAGGAATTGGAGAAGAGAGCAAGCTTCTTTGGGAACTTGGCGGAAAGCGACGTAAGTACGGCTTCGAGAGAACCATCGGAGGTAAAATCGTCCTGAATGGGTAAATTATCCTGGACGGAGACGATAGCACCCTGAGATTCGAAGCTCTGGATTGAGACAGTCTCGTTTGAAAGAGGCTTGGTTGAATCCTCAGAAGGAATGGGACCTGCTTTATTGTCAGATAACCCTTTTTGCTTCTCATCGCCCGATTGTTTTCTGCTGCCGTCGCTCCTGTCGAAGCTCTGCTTTTCATTCTTCTCGCCGTCGATCTCCCTGACGAGTGCGCTGAGAGGTTGACGGTGGCTGGGACGATTTCCGTCAGCAACTTCGTCGAACGGCTGGTCAGCGTCAGCGACAAAAATCTCCGTCAGCGACTCTCCTGACGACGCGGAGCACAAAAAACGCGGGATCCGGTGAAACGAAGGCAATTTGCGATCGCTAGAGCGGGTTACCGCACAGTGGCGAGAACATCTGAGAAGTCTAGTGTTCCAGTCACCATGATAAGAGCCTGAACAGAGGAAATGAGGCCGTTGTTGCAGCGTGCCATGCGATAATCCCCATTGTGAAGGACGTGTTCTATGTGGCTTAGGAGACGAATCAGGGTGACGGGTGGTGTGGGAGAGGTTTAAGGAGGTAACAGTGCATAGACCCAATCGACCTTCACTGAAAGGGCTATACGTCGGCAGCGCCTGCGGCACCGCCATGATGCTAGTGGCACAAAGATCTAGCTCTCACATCAGAGTTGTGTAGCACAGGACAGGACCGTTTCTACTCCGCAGCAGCTACTGATTTCTCCGGAATGAAGTAAAAGCCAGAGAATTACCCGAAGTGGCGACTAAAACAAGCAGGAATTCCTTGCGTGTTCTGGAATCTGCGCGTTTGTCGGAGAGGCCAGTTTCAGAGCAAGGTTCCTAGATTCGATATTGCGTTGCTTGCTACTACGTACGAGCGAGTCTTCTGCATTCCATTTTGCCATGTCGCCTTCTGTATACAGTCCGCTATCAGAATGAAACGCCACCCACCTGAATGAACCGTGGCGAACGCACTAGATTACACTTGACATATACAATCTGGGTCAGCGCTGACGAGGGATCAGGCTTTAGACATGAAAATTTGAGCTTCGTGGCGTTCTATGGTTGGTGCAGACTTCGCAGTTCCGCCCGCCAGCGGACTCCGCACCGCAGCCCAACCTGACCATTCCCCCGCGCCAGGAAACTCTGGGCGCTGGTGCCCAAGGCTCATCCGCCATCTCAAACATCGGCTTTCCAGGAGCGCACTCAGCCGTTTGTAACAGTTGTATGAACGCTCCAAACCGCAATTCACCTCGCCGGGGAATGCGTGTGCACTTGCTACAGTGCTTGGATTCAGGAAACTCTTTGCTGGGTCGGTTAGTGAGTTATCCCTCATAAATTCTAGCTTCCTTGCTTGAGACTTCAATGACTACCATGGTTGAGTCTTATTTCGTTCAGCTAGTGTAGCGAGGTCGTTAGCAGCGCATCATACGCAACGAAACTCGTGTCGGTGCTGCGAACCGGTTACTTTTCTGCACGGTGACCGACCAGGAAATTTTAAGGATTGAGACCACTAGAGCGACCAACAAAGCTGAAGACGATTAGAATCAGCCACATTTAGAAGGCAACATTTCTAATAACGAGTCGCGAGGCCGCGATGGAGTTAAAGCGATGGCTTGAGGAGCTAGTGAAGGTTGAAGACTCCGACCTAGCGGCTCTAGAGACCGTGCTTTGCGGCGCACATCCCGGCGGATTCGGCGCTTACCTGGAGGAGCTCGAGGCCGAGCAAGGCGCGTCGCAGTGCAACGTGGTGTGGACGTACGGCGCGATCGCGTATCGCTGCCGCGACTGCCAGATCAACGACGCCAGGCAGGTTTCTTAGACGTCTCAAACTTCAACGTGGTTGTAATAGTGAACGGACGCACGGTGGGAGGGATAGCTTATAGCTGGTGCAACTACCGGACCAACTAAGCTAGTAGCCATGCTGTCTGCTGCTCTCGTCGCGAATTCAGGGCCAAATGTGATGTCTACTGACCAATTTGGGCCAGCACAGACAGGATATCCTTGGACGCTTCTTCTTTGAAAACTGTTAAGGAGGAAAGGGGAAAGATTCATTTTGCAACATGTAACGTGTCAATGTGTCCTTTGTGTCGCTTGTTTCATTTGAATGTCTATCACCTGACATTCATCAACTGAATCTTTGAATCTAATATCAGAAAAAAAAAAATCGCTGGTATGTAACTGAATGCTCTGTTAGTTCTGCCACACCTGATAATGGCCATTTTCAGCCACAGCTGGTTCGGCTCTCTATCAGGGCTCATATCATATCCCATATCTTGTGGTGCTTTCCTTTCTGCTGCCTCTCCCCGAGTCTCTCCGCGTGATAAAAGTTGAGTTTTGAGACGTCTCAAAACTCAATTTTCAGCCACTGCTGGTTCGGCTCTCTATCAGGGCTCATATCATATCCCATATCTTGTGGTGCTTTCCTTTCTGCTGCCTCTCCTCGAGCCTTTCCCCTCCACCAAACACCTTCCCCTTCGACCCTCCCCTCTCTCTTCCTTCCCCACCCCCACCACCACTTCTCCCCTTCTCTCCCCACCGTTTCCCCCGTTACTATCACAGTGCCATCTGCGTGAAGTGCTTTCAGGAGGGGGACCACCGTAATCATGACTATGGTACGTTTGACTGGGGAATCTTCATGAAAGTGATGATATTGTTTTCTTGTGCGTCATGGGTAGTGGGGCCTGGATGTTGGTTCAGAGAATTGTTGACATCAAGGTGTACTGGTTTGTGACTCTTCTGTCACAAACCCAAGTCGAATCCTATGAAACCTTCCCATTATATGAACCACCGAAGTCACAAACCCAAGTCGAATCCTATGAAACCTTCCCATTATATGAACCACCGAAAGTGATGCATCACTGAAAGTTAGGAGGCCAGTCGGCTCGAATTGTTTTAACCCCAACCTTAATCCTCAAACCCCGTAATTGCAACCCCCCCTGATTGCACTGCCAGTGATGTACCGAAGTGAGTCAGGAGGCTGCTGTGACTGCGGCGACCCTTCCTCCTGGAACCCCAAAGGGTATGTTGCTTCATAAGATGATGCAGTGCCATGCTGACGAATTCGGGGCGGCCAGGTGGCTTGGTTGTACATTTTTCTTTTCCTCATAAAGGAATACTTTTTTTCACTAGATAGCCTCACTAGCCACTCAAGCTTCACAGGCTTGTGTGCACACTTTCATGCGAGGTTCTTGCATGGAGAACAGGTTTTGTTGCATGGTTCTGTACTTCTATATCTCACTTCACTTCATTCCCGCCGTCCAGTTCCTTTTTTCTCGTTAACTCCGCTTGTTCAACTTAGATCCAATCCAATGCCTGTAAAAGCCATCTTTGGGTCGAAAAAGGTATTGCTACTTTGGGTCGAGCTAACCCTCCTTCACTTTAAACTACTTCCTGTTATTCATTTCCGCCATCATTAATTTCCCGTCCAGTGCGTGCAAGCGCCACCGCCATCAGCAGCACTCAGCAGACACACCCAAGCCGCTGCCCGGGAATCTCGGGCAGGTGACGGAAACAGCGGTGGCAGCAGTGGTGGCGCAGCTGGTGCTGCAGGTGGGGAAGGCGGTGAAGTCCCCACTGCAACCCCCCCGAGACCTGCTCAAACTGATTGCCTGGCTTGACAAGGTGAGATGCTCTTTCCATGGGGCCAAGGTGAGTGTGTTTTCGAGCCATCTCAAAGAAAGAAACGGCTGTGGCAGCAGTGGTGGCGCAGCTGGTGCTGCAGGTGGGGAAGGCGGTGAAGTCCCCACTGCAACCCCCCCGGGATCTGCTCAAGCTGATTGCCTGGCTGGACAAGGTGAGTCTATCTTTGAGGCACTTCAAGAAAAACAACAACAGTGGCAGGCAGTGGTAGTGGTGGTGCGTGCAGCTGGTGCTGCAGGTGGGGAAGGCGGTGAAATCCCCTCTGCAACCCCCGCGGGACCTAATCAAGCTCATTGCATGGCTCGACAAGGTGAGATGCTCTTTCCATGCGGTCAAGGTGAGCCTGCTTTTGAGGCACTTCAAGAAAGAAACGGCAGTGAGAGCCGTACCGTTCCGTCTCATCGCACAGTGAAGCATGCAAGCAGGTGGTGGTGGTAGCGAATCAATATCCCCTTTAACCCCCCGTCCCTCGTGTCTACAACCCCTGCTTCCTCCTCAGATCTCGCATGCAGCAGGCATAAGAGACATAGTGTGTGCGTGCATGGCAGCACCCCTCCCTCCGAATGTGCTAGCTGCTATGAGCCAAATGGGCGTCCTCGGGAGCACAGGGAGCACAGGGAGCACAGGGAACACAGGGAGCGTTGGGAGTATTGGGAGCATTGGGAGCGTTGGGAGCTTGGGAAACGCAGGGACAGGGAGGGGTATACTGGGTGGAAGTGGGGAGGGGAGTGCGGGAGAGGGGAGACCGGAAGGTGATGCACGAATTGGAGGTGGGACTGAAGGGGCAAGCGGAGGGGCCGGAGGGGGAGGAGGGGGAGGAGAACCAGCAGCACCAACAGAAGCAACAGCAGCAGCAGCAGCAGCAGCAGCAGCAGCAGCCACAGCCACAGCCGCAGCCTCCCTCTCCCTTCCTCCACTTCCTTCTCCCTCCAACCCCTCCGCCGTCCAACTCCTCCTAGAAACCCTTTCAGCGATGGCAGAGGAGGTGGTGGCACAGGAGGCGACGCTCTTCCTGCTGCTGCTCTACTCGCCCGCCTTCAAGAACGTATTCTCAGCGCTGCTCATCCACCAGTACCCACTCCTCGTGCTCTCCGTCCTCCCGGATCACAACCCCTCTGCCCGCTTCATCAAAATCGAAAAGGCCCTCGATCGAGGTGAGTGCTGATTCCCGCCTCCTGCCCCCTCCCTCCTCCCGTATCCTCCTGCCTCCTCTCATCTCCTCCCACCCCTCCTGCCGCCTTCTGGAAACGATCTCTGCCATGCCAAAGGAGGTGGTGGTACAGGAGGCGATGCTCTTCCTGCTGCTGCTCTACTCGCCCGCCTTCAACATACCATAGGTCACCACGCACTGGGTGCTCTCAGGGGTGTGAAAAAGAAGAACTGTAATGATTGTAGGCTCAAATGAGTCAAGGTATACATAGGTGGAGAAAATGGTAATGGATGAGGTTGGCTAACAATGATTGGAGGCCCCAATAGTTGTTTTGGCTGGACCAACATTATTGAGGCTCCGATAATTATTGGGTCGGTTTGAAACAACATTATTGGAGGTCCAATAACTGTTGGGAACCCAACCAACCTTCAACCACAAATAGTGGTTGAAGGTACACCCAACAACCCTACACCTATTCTAGCATATGCATGTTGTATAGAAGGTATTAGAACAAGGGGACCTCCTCCACCTCTTGTATTCACTTCCTTCAAACTCATTCACACCCATTCATTCCCCTACACATACCCCCCCCATGCCAGTGATGGTACAGCTGTTCAACATACCAGAGGTCACCATGCACTGGGTGCTCTCAGGGGACATGACTTCCCTTATACATGCTGTACAATTTGCATGTGTATCCCACACACCTCATGTCTCGCAGTGATGGTGCAGCTGTTCAACATACCAGAGGTCTCCATGCACTGGGTGCTCTCAGGGGACATGACTTCCCTTATACATGCTGTACATTTTGCATGTGTATCCCACACACCTCATGTCTCGCAGTGATGGTGCAGCTGTTCAACATACCAGAGGTCACCATGCACTGGGTGCTCTCAGGGGACCTCCTCCATCTCTTTGTCTCTGTCTTCTGCCGTGTTCTACAAGCTGCCAAATTGTGAGGCATTGTTTCCGCTGCTGCTACTGCTGCTGGGAGAGCGAGCATTGAAGCTCCTTTGACACTTACCATCCCCTCTCCACCTCCTGAGTCGACTCAAAAGTCACCTTGCTGGGAGAGCGAGCATTGAAGCTCCTTTGTCACTTACCATCCCCTCTCCACCTCCTCGTCTGTCTCTCCACCATCCTTCTTCTTTTGCCTTTGCCTAACCATAAGCCGCCATTCGCCCCTTTCGTTTAACACTGGTATGTTCTCTGGGATATTGCAGGAAGGGTGGCGAACTGCTACCGACAGCATCACCTCAGTTCGATCCTAGTCTCCATTTCTCTTCCCTGCCTCCTCCCCTGGCCCGTTAACCATCAACCCTTATTGATGCTGGCAGACCGACAGGGGTGCTGAATTGTGAGAGCCCCATTATCTGGCCACGGGAAATAGTGACTCATGTGAGTGGATGGTGACGCATGTGAGTGGATGGTGATGCATGTGAGTGGATGGTGACACATGTGAGTGTATGGATGGTGACCTACATACATCCACTCAACTCACTTCCAAACGTCTTTAGAATCCGAGCAATCTGTTTTGATCTATTCACGTCCTTGACTTTTGAGTCGACTCAAATGTCACCTCGTTACAGTGGCACACGACACTTTTCCATTTTTTGAGTCAACTCAAAAGTCACCTCGTTTTACAATGGCACACGACACATTTCCAAGTTTTGAGTTGACTCAAAAACACGTCCTTGACTTTTGAGTCGACTCAAAAGTCACCTCGTTACAATGGCACACGACACATTTCCAACCGTCTTCAGAATCCGAGCAATCTGTTTTGATCTACGCATGTCCTTTCCATGACATGCCATGACACGCGTCTCATCTTCTCCCACTCACATGCCATCAGCCATCACCTTTCCCTGATGTGTTCCTTTCCTACTGTTAAATGTTGTAAGGCGCCTCGAAAATGAACTCCTCTTCTGCCCCTACTGGCAACCATGACATGCTCCTCGTTTTCTCCTCCTCTCCTCCATTACCCTCCATCAGAGCAATCTGCGTCCGCTCTACTCGACTTTTGAGGCGCCTCAAAAACCTCCTCTCCTCATTTTCTCCTCCTCTCCTCCATTACCCTCGATCAGAGCAATCTGCGTCCGCTCAACTGATGGCCGCTCTACGGACGACACGCGGCTCATCTTCTCCCACACGCTGGTTGTCAACCACCTCCTTTTCCTCTCCTCTGTTCCTTCCCACCAATCCCTCCCACCCCCACCATTTCAATCAGAACAATCTGCATCCGCTATATTCACGCCCTCTGCACGACACGCGGCTCATCTTCTCCCACACGCTGGTTGTCAACCACCTCCTTTTCCTCTCCTCTGTTCCTTCCCACCAATCCCTCCCACCCCCACCATTTCAATCAGAACAATCTGCATCCGCTATATTCACGCCCTCTGCACGACATGCGGCTCATCTTCTCCCACACGCTGGTTGTCAACCACCTCCTTTTCTCTCGTTTCTTCCTTCCCATCCATCCCCCTCAGAGCAATCTGCATCCGCTCTACTCACGCCCGCTGCACGACATGAGACTCATCTTCTCACACACGCCTGTCGTCAACTACCCCCTCCTGTTCTCAGTATTCTACCTGTTCCTCTCTCCCCATTGCTTCCCTTTCCCCTCAATCAGAGCAATCTGCATCCGCTGTACTCGCGTCCGCTGCATGACATGCGGCTCATCTTCTCCCACACGCCTGTCGTCAACTATCTCCTCACTCAACGCTTGGATTGTCTAGCTGACTTGCTGCTCACACTCTCGCTGCTACAGGTCAGTTCCTTCTCACACTCTCTATGCGGATACATGATTATGGCGATTCCTTGTGAGCGGTTTTTTAGAATTTTCAAAAATCGTGTGCTACGAGTATAGATTCCATAGGGCAATTCCATAGGGTGGTTCCATTGCTGAAGGCAGCCACTGAATAAACTCTCCTCGCTTCACTGCTTTCCTGCCTTGAGCCCATATGGGTGTGTGTGGGTGGGTAAATGAGCACGCACACACCCTCGTCCCACTCCCCTCCCCTCCACAGGGCACGAACCCATATGTGAGCTATGAGTATGACAAGCACATCTTTCCTCCCATCCCCCTCCTACCCGTAAACCCACCAGGGCATGAATTCGTATGTGCGCTTTGAGTATGGCGACCCCACTGAAGGTACCCGGTGGACGCTCCTCACGTCACTGGCCACCTTGCGCCCGTGTGGGCTAAGTTGGAAAAAACGCGTTTTGCGTTTAGTACGCTTTCGTATAAACGCTAGCGTCTAAGCGCAAAACGCTGGCCGTGAGGGGTCTGGTACGCCGCTTGCCCGGGCAGGAAAAAACTTTACTCCGGGCAGAACGCTGGCCTGTAGGGGGTCTGGTACGCACAGAATTCGCTGGCCCGAGATGAAAACGGGAGCTGCTGTAGTACTGGAGGGCATCGTCGCGGGTGAGATAAGAAGGGAAGAAAACGAACGTAGAGCATTGAAGGAAAAATTGACCTAACATTGAAGTGTCTACGACAAAGCTGGAAGGGATTCGTAATTGATGGGGATGGAGTGGGTTATTGAGCGGTGGATAGGAGGGGATGATTCACAAACAATTTCGAAATTCAGATCTGAGGTTGCATTCGCAATGTGCGAACTCAGATCTGAACTTCGAGGCTCAAATTTTGAGTTCGCCGCCAGATTGCGAACTCAACTTTTTTTTTTTTCGGTCAGCCCGAGCAACCTTTGGCGAATCTCAACATAATACGCAGCGTACGAATTCCAGATGCGTATAAACTCAATACGCAATTTCGAATCTGCGTTTTTTCCAACTTAGCGTGTGGGGGCAGACAAGCTCATGCTCTCCCCTTCTTCCTCCCCCTCCTTCCCCTATCCCACCATCAGGGCATGAACCCCTATGTGCGCTTTGAGTACGGCGACCCCACTGAAGGCACCCGGTGGACCAAGGCCGTCACGCTCGAGGTGGGGTCTGGGAGTGGGGGTTGCCGGTGGGGTTGCCGGTGGGGGTGGTGGTGGGGTTTGGGGTTGGGGTTTGGGGGTGGGGTTTGGGGGTGGGGTTTGGGGGTGGGGTTTGTTGGTGGGGTTTGGGGGTGGGGGTGGTGGTGGGATTGGGGGATGGGGATGGGTGTGAGATTTTCATTCTCTTCTCCTCCTTTTTCCCCTTACGCTGCAACAACTCCAGTTGCTGGTAACCAGTCATCATGCCTGTGTCAGTTTTGAGAATCCCGAGAAGAGAAGTAACCCAGTTCAACTGGATACCATCACATCACAGCTATGTTGATGTGACTTTGGAGAATTCTCAAAAGTCACATCAACAGTTTTGAGAATTCCGAGAAGGAAGTAACCCAGTTCAACTGGATACCATCACATCACAGAGCATTTTCCCTCCTCCCTCTCCAATTGTTCGTTCCCCTCCCCTCCCCACCCCCCTTCTCCTCTCCCCCTTGTGTCCGCACCCGCACATGCTGGTGACGGGTCCCCCATCACAGTCTCGTAAGCATTCTTTCAGCCCACTTTTTCTCCGCACCAAATGCTCCCCTCAAACTCCCCTTTACCCCCCTCCCCCTCCCCCCCAGATGTTGGTGATTGGTCTAATAGACACCATCACAGAGCGCTACACCTCCTCCCTCTCCACGGCTCCTCTTCTTTCCTTGAAAACTCCCTCCACATCTCCCTTCCCTTCTCCCCAATTTCCCGTTCCCGCCCCAGATGTTGGTGATTGGTCTTATGGACACCATCACAGAGCGCTACACCGCCTCCCCCTCCACTGACCCCCCTGCTCCCCCAAACTGCCCCCACAAACCCCCCTCCCCCCCAGATGCTGGTGATCGGTCTTATGGACACCATCACAGAGCGCTGCACCTCCTCCCCCTCCACTGCTCCTCTTCGTCCCTTAACTTCGCTCCCTCTACATCTCCCTTCCCTTCTCCGCTCCAACCCCTCGCCCTGCAGATGCTGGTGATTGGTCTTATCGACGCCATCACAGAGCGCTACACCTCCTCCCCCTCCACCCTCCCCACCACCATCCTTGCCCCGCCTGCTGGAAACACTGGAAGAGTGGCAGACGCGGGGCAAGGAGAGGTGGGGGTGGGTGCAGAGCATGCTCTGCTGAATGGAGCGCGGATTGCACTGCAGGCCCTGCTGGCTTGGCTGGTCAAGGTGAGTCAACGCTGGTCAAGGTGAGTGCTGTTGAATCACGGAGGATCCAGGGGGAGAGGAAGTGGCGCATCAGGAGGGGAGGGGCAAGGAGGGGCAGCAGGGGTGGGTGCAGAGCATGCTCTGCTGAATGGAGCCCGATTGCACTGCAGGCACTGCTGGCTTGGCTGGTCAAGGTGAGTCAACGCTGGTTAAGGGGAGTCAGCAGCGCTGGTGAGGTGAGAATTTCTGGTCGAGGAGTCAGCTTAACAACGGTCTAGCGCTGTTAAATAATTCGAAACGTCTCAAATCCCTTGCTCACTCATCTCTCTCAGCCCTGTGCTTTTGAGTCGACTCAAAAGTCCCCTTGCTCACTCATCTCTCTCAGCCCTGTGCTTTTGAGTCGACTCAAAAGTCCCCTTGCTCACTCATCTCTCTCAGCCCTGTGCTTTTGAGTCGACTCAAAAGTCCCCTTGCTCACTCATCTCTCTCATCCCTGTGCTTTTGAGTCGACTCAAAAGTCCCCTTGCTCACTCATCTCTCTCAGCCCTGTGCTTTTGAGTCGACTCAAAAGTCCCCTTGCTCACTCATCTCTCTCAGCCCTGTGCTTTTGAGTCGACTCAAAAGTCCCCTTGCTCACTCATCTCTCTCAGCCCTGTGCTTTTTCAGAATCAGATCAAGGCAGAAGATACAGGGTCCAAGACAGTGGCCATGTCACTGCACCTGCCCCTGCACCGCATTCTCTCCCTCTTCTTCGCCTCCCTCGTGCACATTGCTGCTCACACTGTGCCTGCCACTGCTGGTGGTGGTGGTGGTGGCGCTGGTGCTGCTTCAAATCCCGTGCTCTTTCATCCCTCCCCCCTTCTCATCTGTTCAGAATCAGATCAAGGCAGAAGATACAGGGTCCAAGACAGTTGCCATGTCACTGCACCTGCCCTTGCACCGTATTCTCTCCCTCTTCTTTGCCTCCCTCGTGCACATCGCTGCTCATGCTGTGCCCGCCCCTGCTGCTGCTGGTGGTGCTGGTGCTGGTGCTGGTGCTGGTGCCGGTGGCGGTGGTGATGGGGTTGATGCGAGCGGCGGGTCAGGGCCAGCAGCATCAGTGGCTCACTTGCGGCGGCTTCTGCCACTCAACATGCGCCGAGAGGTGAGGGTGGGTGGGGTGGGGAGAGCAAGCTATGCAAATGGATGAAGATGGGTGGATATATAGAATTGCGCGAAAGTGTGCCTTGTCAGGGCCAGCAGCATCAGTGGCTCACTTGCGGCGGCTTCTGCCCCTCAACATGCGCAGAGAGGTGGGTGGGGTGGGGAGAGCAAGCTGTGCAAATGGATGAAGATGGGTGGATTTATAGAATTGCGCGAAAGTGTGCCTTGTCAGGGCCAGCAGCATCAGTGGCTCACGTGCGGCAGCTTTAGCCCCTCAACATGACTTTTGAGGCGCCTCAAAACTCTTTTAAGGCGCCTCAAAACTCTTTTGAGGCGCCTCAAAACTCTTTTGTGGCGCCTCAAAACTCTTTTGTGGCGCCTCAAAACTCTTTTGTGGCGCCTCAAAACTCACTTGCGGCGGCTTTTGCCCCTCAACATGCGCAGAGAGGTGAGTGTGCAGAAATGAGGGTGCACACTACAGAGGTGCACAATATCAGCTTTGTGCCCTCAATATCGTTGCCAGGCGAGTCAGCTTCGTGAGTCTGATCTGAGGGATCCTTCTCTCTCGCACTCACTTTCCCTCCCAATGCATCACCTCTCCTTCCTAACGAGGTGACTTTTGAGTCGATTCAAAAGTCACCTCAATATATTTGCCAGGCGAGTCAGCTTCGTGAGTCTGATCTGATGGATCGTTCTCTCTCGCACTCACTTTCCCTCCCAATGCATCACCTCTCCTTCCTAACGAGGTGACTTTTGAGTCGATTCAAAAGTCACCTCAATATCGTTGCCAGGCGAGTCAGCTTCGTGAGTCTGATCTGATGGATCGTTCTCTCTCGCACTCACTTTCCCTCCCAATGCATCACCTCTCCTTCCTAACGAGGTGACTTTTGAGTCGACTCAAAAGTCACCTCAATATCGTTGCCAGGCGAGTCAGCTTCGTGAGTCTGATCTGATGGATCGTTCTCTCTCGCTCTCACTTTCCCTCCCAATGCATCACCTCTCCTTCCTTCTCAGGTGCTGGCTATGGCGAAGCATCCAGTTCGTTACTTCTCTTGGATGGCTCGGGTCAAATCTTGAGAATTATCAATGGCCAATTAATCAAGCTGCTCCACATCCGCCCTCCCCATCTCTTTTGAGGCGCCTCAAAAGTGGGCTCGGGTCAAATCTTGAGAATTATCAATGGCCAATTAATCAAGCTGCTCCACATCCGCCCTCCCCATCTCTTTTGAGGCGCCTCAAATGTCAGCTCAGGTCAAATCTTGAGAATTATCGATGGCCAATTAATCAAGCAGCTCCACATCCGCTGCCCCCCCTCTCCTCGCCCCTTCTTCCTTGGCAGGTGCTGGCAATGGCAGAGCACCCACTTCGCCTCTTCGCCTGGATGGCCCAGGTCAGTCCTCCCTTGCCTTCTGGTTTTGTGTTCCTCTTCAGTCCCTCCCCTCACTCCTCTCCTCGCTCCTCTCCTTGGAAATATCTATTATGTAACAAATGATGGAGCGATGTTGATGTTTGGAACTGATGTCCACCAACTCGTGTGCCACCTCAACTACCAGATTCGGGCGCGCGAGTGGCACTACCAGGGCGAGGACTTAAGCAAGCTGGTTGCGTGTCTTGTCTTGTTTGGATGGATTGGAACCTATCTGCACCGATTATTATGCCACCCACACTCCCTCTTCTCAACTACCAGATTCGGGCGCGCGAGTGGCACTACCAGGGCGAGGACCTAAGCAAGCTGGAGAGGGTGTATCGGGGGGGCTACTGGCCGGCTGCCATGGACCTCGACCTGCTGCTGCTGCAGCTCGTCTCCCTCTTCTCGAATGATTCTCCAGCTGCTCTGCTCGCCTCTGCCGTGAAGCACTTTAGTGTGAGTTGTGTGTGCTGCATGGTTGAAGCCCAAGCTCATCTCGCCCGCTAGCCTTCGCCGGCTGCCATGGACCTCGACCTGCTGCTGCTGCAGCTCGTCTCCCTCTTCTCGAATGATTCCCCTGCTGCCCTTCTAGCATCTGCTGTCAAGCACTTCAGTGTGAGTTTTGTGGTTGAGTGAGTACCCAGCCGCTAGGCTACTGGCCGGCTGCCATGCACCTCGACCTCCTTCTGCTGCAGCTCGTCTCGCTTTTCTCCTCCGACTCTCCTGCCGCTCTCCTCGCGTCCGCTGTCACGCCCTTCAGCGTAAGCTGCGTGTGTTTTATGGGTGAATGAAGTGAAGCCTCAACTGGCCGGCTGCCGAGCACCTCGACCTGCTGCTGCTGCAGCTCGTCTCCCTCTTCTCCTCCGACTCCCCTGCATCTCTGCTCGCTGCGAATGACTCGCGAGCATACACACCTCACCTCGCTGCTCGTGGCTCCTAGTAACTGTCAGCCGCCTGTGATTCCTGTGCTGCCCACCTCGCCTCTGCCTTCAGTCATTAGCAGTGAATGCTAATGACAGGAGGAGAGGTGAGGTGAGGTGTGTACTGATCTTGCTCAGACAGGAGGAGAGGTGAGGTGTGTACTGATCTTGCTCAGACAGGAGGAGAGGTGAGGTGTGTACTGATCTTGCTCAGACAGGAGGACCTCCTCTGCTTGCTGCTAATGCATTGATCTTCGTGCCGCTCTGCTTGCTTACCTTTGCTCTGTCAAACCCCGCAGTGTGCTGTGTTGTTCGCTTGCGCTTGTGGTGGTTGGTCTTGAATTTCACTCATAGCATAACCATACCAATCAACACAAGCACAAGAGAACAACACATGACGCAAGAAATCCTCTTGAGCCTTAGTGTTCACTTGCTGCCCCGTCTTCCGTCCCCCCCTCCCCCCTCTCAGCTCCACGATACATTCAGCAAAACCATCCAATGCGCTTCTGCCACGTCATCAGCTTCGTCATCTGCCCCGAGTGCTGACTGGACAGCAGCAGAGCTCAGCCGATTGGCTGATCTGCTTAAGCTTGTCCTGCTGGTGAGCGGTGCTGAGCGGTGCAGTGTGGTGAGATTTGTCGCTTGATGCGCATGTAGTGCTGAGTGGTGCACCATTCACTTTGTGCTCTCTGTTCGCCTCGCTTCCTCTGTGAATTTTCTGTGCTTCCATATAATCTCTATCGCGCTTCCACAACACTTCCGTTATGCTTGATTTGAGTGCTGTGCATGCATCACTTAGCACTTGGTTTGTCCTGGTTCTTTTAAGACGTCGCAAGAGCCGTTTGTTTTGGTTTGTGACATTTGTGCATGCGTCACTTTATAAGGCCATGGTTCTTGTCATGGTTCCTGATGTCAATCTATGTGCATGACGTCTGTGCAGATCATTCGGGACCCAAAGCACACGGGATTTTCAGAGGTGAGTGTGGAGGAGAGATGCATGGGGGAGACCCTCTTTGAGGCGCCTCAAAACTAGACCTCTTTCCATCCAATGCGAGACCAAGTGCATGTTGATTGCACTACCACGCCGTTGACCAATGTGAAGCTCAAACATCGTCTCACTTCACCCGTCCTGTTTCCCCAATGCCGTTGTGTTGTTGTGATACCATGTCATTCAGTGCTTGCATCGTTGCAATATGCGACCAAGTTGACGAGCCTTGTTTGCTTCTCTCTCTCCCCTCGCCCATTCGCAGGACTACGTGTTGCGATACCATGTCATTCAGTGGCTTGCAGTGCGCTGGCCAGTTGACAAGCCTCAACACTCTCTGCTTTTACTCTTCTCACCCTCCTCGTTTCACCCTCTCCCCTCACCCATTTCCAGGACTACGTGTTGCGATACCATGTCATTCAGTGGCTTGCAGTGCGCGATCGCACTCACAGCGATGTAAGTCCATTTGCTGCTCGCACCTCACACACATACATAGCATCTTGCCTTTAACCACATACAGCGTTGTTGCTTTCACCATGTATACCGTCTTGCCTTTCACATGTTGCATATTGTGTTGGAAACATACAGCGTCACGGTGTGGCCTTCAGCACACACATATTCAACACTCTCATGTGCCGCGGTGGCCTGCACTCTCCTTCCTTTTGAGACGTCTCAAAAGTCACTCTCATGTGCCGCGGTGGCCTGCACTCTCCTTCCTCCCTTCTCACTCGTTCACTTGCTTGCGCCCTGTGCCCTCACAACTTTGCATCTCTCGCAAAGCGAGGTGACTTTTGAGTCGACTCAAAAGTCACTTGCTTGCGCCCTGTGCCCTCACAACTTTGCATCTCTCACAAAGCCCTGTGCTTTGCAAGCCTTTCCCTTCCCAGCTGAACGTGGTCCTGAAGGACGTGGCAGAGCACCATGCGCCCAGTCGGCCCACTCTCTTCTTCCTCTCTCCTTCCTCCCCGTTGTTCCCTGTGCCCTGTTCTCTATGCAGCTCTCCCAACAACTCGGTTCTTCCCTGGCCAGTCTCCCCCAGCTGAGCGCAGTGCTGCAAGAGGTGGCAGAGCACCACGTGCCGCGGCGCCTGCAGCAGCGCGGGTACTTCCAACTGAAGCCCGCCTGCTGGGGCGAGTTTGACCCACTTTTCCCGCACTACTCGCTTTCAGAGCTAGAGGAGGCTCAGGTGAGTGGATGGGGGTAAGTTGGCCAAGGTCTTCTCAAGCGGAAGGTTGGAGGAGGGTTGAAGGGGAAAGGGGGTTGGTTGTTTGATCCTCCCTGGCCAATAGCGAGCAGAGAGTTCAGTAATTCTGAAGGTGCGCTTCTGAGTTTCGTTGAGATGTCAACCCCTATTCTCTTCTGACCTCCATGTGCGTGCTGTGCGTGCATGGGTGCAGGAGCGAGCAGAGAGGCTGGCGCCCAAGGTGTGCTTCTGAGTGTTGAGACGTCTCACAATTATCCAATCCTCAGCCTTTCATCCTCCCCACCCCCTCCACCTCCATGCGAGTGCAGGAGCGAGCAGAGAGGCTGGCGCCCAAGGTGCGCTTCTGAGTATGAGGCGTCCCACAATTCCCCATCTCCCGTCCTTCATCCCTCCATTTCCCCTCCCCATTTTTCATGTGCGTTTATGTATGCAGGAGCGGGCAGAGAGGCTGGCTCCCAAGGTGCGCTTCTGGCGAGTGCAGTGCCCTCAGCGACACATGGCGCCGTTTGATAGGCTGCCAGACATGGCTCACACCGAGGTGAGCTTTCTTTCCTGCTGCTTTTTCATTCAACATACTGAGTGAGTGACACATGGCACATGGCACATGGCACCTTGCCACTCCTGAACCGACCCAACTGTACCCCTCTCTCCTGCTCTCCTCCGAAATGATTAGACGTTGCTCCCGGTCCATGCCCGGTCCACTCTTCTTTTTTCCCAACTCTCCCGTTTCTGCCCTGACCTTCCCCGTCCATGCCATTGTGGTGCGCTGTGCTCTCACATGCGCCACCCACCTGCTCGCCTCCCCTCCCCTGTAGGCTGAGAGGCAGAGCTCCACTTACATGCCTTGCATGCCCCCCTTTTTCCCCCTCCTCCCCTTCCCCGTCCATGCTCACAGCCATGCCACATTGTGGTGCGCTGTGCTCTTGCATGCGCTGCCCACCTGCTCGCCTCCCCTCCCCCGCAGGCTGAGAGGCAGAGCTCCACTTACATGCCTTGCATGCCCCCCTTTTTCCCCCTCCTCCCCTTCCCCGTCCATGCTCGCAGCCATGCCACATTGTGGTGCGCTGTGCTGTCGCATGCGCTGCTCACCTGCTCGCCTCCCGCAACCCAGCCCATAGCACGCAAGCGGAAAACATCGCTCTCCTCGCTACGCAGCTCGTGACACTGGCTGCTACTGATGCCAGGTGGGTGGGGTGGGGTGGGGTATGCCAGTGTGCAACTCCCTTGGTGAATTTAGCACCAACAGCCTTCACCTATCACATTACTCCTGGCTCCCTCTTGCTACCCCAATCCCAGTTTCCCTTTTCCCATCTCCTCTCTTGTCTCCCCTCTTTCGCCTCCTCTCTCTGCTTCCATGCTTGGTCAGTCTTTTCCTTCACTACTTCACTAATTCTCCTTGCAGGGGCCAGCTTCCCCTTGCACTTCGTTTTACATCCAGGTCCGACCAACTCAAGCTGGCTGTGGACGATTTTTGAGGCGCCTCAAAAACAGACTTTTCCTTCACTAGTTCTCTGCTTCCCCTTGCACTTCGTTTTACATCCAGGTCCGACCAACCCAAGCTGGCTGTGGAAGGAAGCTATGGTGCTATGCTCGCCAGTCTCCTCCCCTTCGTCCATCCCTGCTCAATCCCTCCTCTCCTCCCTCTCTCCGTGTATCTCGTTGCCCCTCATCCCCCTTCCAGGTCCAACCCAAGCTGGCTGTGGAAGGAAGCTATGGTGATGGGCGCACCAGTCTCTTCCTCCCCTCCCAGCCTCATGTGTACCCCCCCCCCCCATCTCATCTTCCGTGTGTTCTTTTTGCCTCTCGCCCCCTTTTTCAGGTCCAACCCAAGCTGGCTGTGGAAGGAATCTATGGTGCTGGGCGCACCAGTCTCCTCCTCCCCTTCCCGGCCTCCCGTGTATCCCCCCGGCTTATATTCGACCAAGAAACCTGGCAGCAGTGGGAGCAGTGGTAGCGGTGGCAGTGGTGGGAGTGGGGGCGGTGGAGAGAGCGAGTGGGATTCAGAGCGGTTGCAGTCTGTCAGATCTCGTTCCTCTGCCGCTGCTGCTGATGATGAAGGTGAGGATGAGTGAAAGGTTATAAGGAATTATGGTCCTTCTCTCTCCAGCATCTCATGCAACTGGGAGAACTCTCAAAGAGCTTTCGGTGGGAGTGGGGGCGGTGGGGAGAGTGAGTGGGACTCGGAGCGACTGCAGTCAGTCAGATTTCGTTCATCTGCCGCTGCTGCTGCTGCTGCTGCTGCTGCTGCTGCTGCTGCTGCTGATGATGAAGGCAACACGGATCAAGACCCTGCTAATAGTGAACATTTTCCAGAAATCTGATGGTGGTGGTGATGTCGCCTGTGTGCTCTGCTCGCCTCTTAGGCTGGAAGAAACTTTCCGGGGTCTGTTTTTCAGGCGCCTCAAATGCAGACCCCTCTCTTACCTTCCCCCGTCCCACCCTTTGCTCTTCCACCCTCCCCTCTCCAGATGATGACGTCGCCTGTGTGAGCTGCTCGCCTCGCTGGCTGGAGGGAATTTCCAGGAACTTCAACAAGTTACGCTCGCAGTCCCCCTCACGCTCCTCTCTCGACCTTTTCCGCTCCTCCTCCTCCCCTTCGCGCCGCTCCTCTCCCTCCCGCCACTCCCTAGACATTGCAAGAAGCCTTGATGACGCTGCCACCACTGCAACTACTGCTTCTCCTGGCCCCCTTCCTCCTGCTGCCGCCACCGCTGCTGCTGGTGGTGTTGACAATGCCGGTGCTGATACTAGCGCTGATGTTGACTTTGGCTTAGCTGCTTCTTCTGCAGCAACAGCAGCACCACCAGCAGCAGCGGCGGCGGCAGAGGATGATGTAGCAGCAGCAGTCCTGTCATGCCTCCCATCCACATTATCCACAGCACCATCTGCTGGAGAGAGTGACGATGCAGCAGCAGCAGCAGTCATATCGTGCTTACCCTTTGGTGGGGACGCACGGGGAGCAGCAGGTGCCAGGGCAGGTGGCAAGGGCAAGGGGCGGATCTCGCCCTTTGACTCGCTTCCGAACGTGTTCGTCTCCCTTAAGAGCATACTGCAGAATACAGATAATCATCGTGAGTATGGTTGGTGGTTGGTTGGTATGGTTAGGATGCACGGGGAGGGGCAGCAGGTGGAAAGGCAGGTGGCAAGGGCAAGGGGCGGCTTTCGCCCTTTTACTCGCTTCCAAATGTGTTCGTCTCCCTTAAGAGCATACTCCAGAACACTGATAATCATCGTGAGTATTTAGATGCCTCGAAAACTCCAGAGAATCGGGTAATTGAGTCCCTTCTGTCCAATTTAGTTCTGTCATCTCCTTTTGTCCCTTTTCTTGTCGGCATATACTGTTTTGGTCCCACTCCTTCTTCCTCGCTCTCTCCTTCATCACCCTCTCCTCCTACCGGCTGTCTCTCTCTTTTCTCACCGGCAGGCCTCAAGGACGCCATAGAGCATGTGATCTCGCTGCTCATGACCAGACTCAACCTGGTGTCCTCTTGACTCCGTTTCCTTTACCACCGTTTCCTCTCCTCCCACCCCTTTGTCTCTCTCTTTTCTCATTGGCAGGTCTCAAGGACGCAATAGAGCATGTGATCTCGCTGCTCATGACCAGACTCAACCTGCGGCCGCATGAGCCACCCGGGGAGGTGAGCCTGCTTCCTTGTTTCTATTTGTGTTTTTTTTTTTTTGGGGCTTTTTTTCACATTGTGTGCGACAATGGAGCTTCACTTCACGGACTCATGGTATGCTGCTGGGAATGGGGATGCTAATGATTGAAGTTTTATGTTACCACTCAAAAGGTATGCTGCTAGGAATGGGGATGCTGGTGATGGAAGCTATCATGTGAAAGGCAAAAGTCTTGCCTGCACTTTGCCGATTTTTTAGGCACATAAAAAATCGTCTCAGTTCATGTGCCCAAACCTATCATGTGTTGAATTGATGGTATGCAGGTGGGAATTGGGATGCTGGTGACCAAACCTATCATGTGAGAGGCGAAAGTCTTGCCTGCACTTTGCGTGGTTTCACACTCGCTCCCCTCCTCACCACACCCTTACGCCCTCACCCTTGCTTACCCTCCCTCCCTCCGCTTCACACACATTCCCCCCTTTCTCTTCTACCCTCTCTCCTCCTTCGTGTCCAGTCCAAGGCAGAGCAACCTGGGTCTGCTGCATTAGGTGCAGGAGAAACCGCAGCAGGCATGGCAGCAGGTGGGACTACAGGAGCAGGTGCAGCAGCAGCAGCAGCAGCAGCAGCAGAAGCAGGGGGCCTGTCGCGGGCGGCTGGAGGAGGGATGGGGTCGGATGAGGCGAAGCGGCAGCAGAAGAGGCAGCGGCAGGCGGCTATCATGGCTCAATTCGCTGCTAAGTGAGTTGATGGAATGGGATGGCATGGCATGGCATGGCATGGCATGGCATGGCATGGCATGGCATGGCATGGCATGGCATGGCAGGGCATGAAGCATGTCTTGTCTGAGACTGACGGTATGCCTTTTTGTGGAAAGAAGTGGAAACAGAAGAGGCAGGGGCAGGCCGCTATCATGGCTCATTTCGCCGCCAAGTGAGTTGTGGGGAGTGGGATTCTTCTGCTCATTGGATTGTGGGCTTGGAAAGGAATGTGCGTTTGCTTGTTTTTATTATATTTATTTCCAAGTTATTTACTCAATCAGTTATCTAACTGCGTGGCTTGACTGGGAAGTGAATTTGTCTTTATTGAGTTTCCTGGACACCGTGTGATGGGCGTTCATCTGGATAAAGTAAATTACAGTTTGTGTTTCCCTTAGCATTCAGCCGTCCATCTATCCGCACTTCAATGACAACAAACTTCTTTTATTGAACCCCATGTCTGCAACTGCAGGCATGATTCCTGAGACGTTGGAAAAAGTATCCACGCATTTATCCACACATTTATGATGACAAATTTGTCAATTCAATTCAACCCCTCACGTCGCGTGCATGTGCAGGCAGAGTGCGTTTGCTAAGATGCTGGCAGCAGCTGACGATGATTTGATTCACAACCAAAAGCCTTTGTCTACTCACTGTGACACGTGTATGTCTGTGCAGGCAGAGCGCCTTTGCCAAGATGCTGGCAGCAGCTGACGATGATGAAGATGATGAGATGGAGGAGGGGAGGACGAAGACGAAGGATGCTACAGCAATAGCAGGAGCAGCAGGATCAGGGGAAACTGGCAGGGCAACAGGCAGCAACGTAGCAGCAGGAGCAGCAGCAGCCCCTGCTGCAGGAGCAGGGGAGGACATGGATATTGATGGGGGCCGGGCGAGGGGGGCTGAGGGTGCAGATGGTAATGACATGGGTGGAGATGGTAAACACATAGAGCAGCAAGGGGACGTGTGTGCAGGGAAGGGGGGGATAGAAGGGGATGGAATGAGGGCTGGTGGGGGGAGGGAAGCAGGAGGGTTAGGCACCCGGAGCAGGAAGAGAGGCCAGGCAGGAGCGGAAGGGGAGGGGAAGGGAGAGGGAGACGCGGACGGGGAGGATATGGAGGTGGATGAGGGGGCAGAGGGAAGTGAGGGCAGAAGAACTAATGCGCAGGGTGCAGGAGGTGTGGATGGGGTAGGGAAAGGGAAAGGCAAACTGGTAGAGGGAAGGAGAGGGGAGGGTGCTGGTGTAACAGCACTAGGAGGAGCAGCAGCAGCGGCACAATCAGCAGTAGCAGCATCAGTGGCAGAAGCGGCGGCAGCGGGGGGTGGTGCGAGGAAGGCGAGGATAGCGCCAGGATCCCTTGCTGCTTTCACGTCATTTGAGCCGGACCTGTGTGGTTTCTGTCATGCCGAGGTGAGAACTGCAAAACTGCAAGCACCAATGTCGCCCCTCGCCCTCAGCCCCCATCGGGTGGCTGGCAGGCTCTAGCCCAGCCGTACAAGCCACCAGCAACCGTGCTCTCCCGCGCCTTTGAGACGTCTCAAAAGGCTGGCAGGCTCTAGCCCAGCCGTACAAGCCACCAGCAACCGTGCTCTCCCGCGCCTTTGAGACGTCTCAAAAGGCTGGCAGGCTCTAGCCCAGCCGTACAAGCCACCAGCAACCGTGCTCTCCCGCGCCTTTGAGACGTCTCAAAAGGCTGGCAGGCTCTAGCCCAGCCGTACAAGCCACCAGCAACCGTGCTCTCCCGCGCCTTTGAGACGTCTCAAAAGGCTGGCAGGCTCTAGCCCAGCCGTACAAGCCACCAGCAACCGTGCTCTCCCGCGCCTTTGAGACGTCTCAAAAGGCTGGCAGGCTCTAGCCCAGCCGTACAAGCCACCAGCAACCGTGCTCTCCCGCGCCTTTGAGACGTCTCAAAAGGCTGGCAGGCTCTAGCCCAGCCGTACAAGCCACCAGCAACCGTGCTCTCCCGCGCCTTTGAGACGTCTCAAAAGGCTGGCAGGCTCTAGCCCAGCCGTACAAGCCACCAGCAACCGTGCTCTCCCGCGCCTTTGAGACGTCTCAAAAGGCTGGCAGGCTCTAGCCCAGCCGTACAAGCCACCAGCAACCGTGCTCTCCCGCGCCTTTGAGACGTCTCAAAAGGCTGGCAGGCTCTAGCCCAGCCGTACAAGCCACCAGCAACCGTGCTCTCCCGCGCCTTTGAGACGTCTCAAAAGGCTGGCAGGCTCTAGCCCAGCCGTACAAGCCACCAGCAACCGTGCTCTCCCGCGCCTTTGAGACGTCTCAAAAGGCTGGCAGGCTCTAGCCCAGCCGTACAAGCCACCAGCAACCGTGCTCTCCCGCGCCTTTGAGACGTCTCAAAAGGCTGGCAGGCTCTAGCCCAGCCGTACAAGCCACCAGCAACCGTGCTCTCCCGCGCCTTTGAGACGTCTCAAAAGGCTGGCAGGCTCTAGCCCAGCCGTACAAGCCACCAGCAACCGTGCTCTCCCGCGCCTTTGAGACGTCTCAAAAGGCTGGCAGGCTCTAGCCCAGCCGTACAAGCCACCAGCAACCGTGCTCTCCCGCGCCTTTGAGACGTCTCAAAAGGCTGGCAGGCTCTAGCCCAGCCGTACAAGCCACCAGCAACCGTGCTCTCCCGCGCCTTTGAGACGTCTCAAAAGGCTGGCAGGCTCTAGCCCAGCCGTACAAGCCACCAGCAACCGTGCTCTCCCGCGCCTTTGAGACGTCTCAAAAGGCTGGCAGGCTCTAGCCCAGCCGTACAAGCCACCAGCAACCGTGCTCTCCCGCGCCTTTGAGACGTCTCAAAAGGCTGGCAGGCTCTAGCCCAGCCGTACAAGCCACCAGCAACCGTGCTCTCCCGCGCCTTTGAGACGTCTCAAAAGGCTGGCAGGCTCTAGCCCAGCCGTACAAGCCACCAGCAACCGTGCTCTCCCGCGCCTTTGAGACGTCTCAAAAGGCTGGCAGGCTCTAGCCCAGCCGTACAAGCCACCAGCAACCGTGCTCTCCCGCGCCTTTGAGACGTCTCAAAAGGCTGGCAGGCTCTAGCCCAGCCGTACAAGCCACCAGCAACCGTGCTCTCCCGCGCCTTTGAGACGTCTCAAAAGGCTGGCAGGCTCTAGCCCAGCCGTACAAGCCACCAGCAACCGTGCTCTCCCGCGCCTTTGAGACGTCTCAAAAGGCTGGCAGGCTCTAGCCCAGCCGTACAAGCCACCAGCAACCGTGCTCTCCCGCGCCTTTGAGACGTCTCAAAAGGCTGGCAGGCTCTAGCCCAGCCGTACAAGCCACCAGCAACCGTGCTCTCCCGCGCCTTTGAGACGTCTCAAAAGGCTGGCAGGCTCTAGCCCAGCCGTACAAGCCACCAGCAACCGTGCTCTCCCGCGCCTTTGAGACGTCTCAAAAGGCTGGCAGGCTCTAGCCCAGCCGTACAAGCCACCAGCAACCGTGCTCTCCCGCGCCTTTGAGACGTCTCAAAAGGCTGGCAGGCTCTAGCCCAGCCGTACAAGCCACCAGCAACCGTGCTCTCCCGCGCCTTTGAGACGTCTCAAAAGGCTGGCAGGCTCTAGCCCAGCCGTACAAGCCACCAGCAACCGTGCTCTCCCGCGCCTTTGAGACGTCTCAAAAGGCTGGCAGGCTCTAGCCCAGCCGTACAAGCCACCAGCAACCGTGCTCTCCCGCGCCTTTGAGACGTCTCAAAAGGCTGGCAGGCTCTAGCCCAGCCGTACAAGCCACCAGCAACCGTGTAGCTGTGATTGCCTCATGTGTTTTTTCCATACGTACTTTCCTCCCCTCCTCCCATCCCCAGTGTCGCCCCACACCAACAGCCCCCATTGGGTGGGTGGCTCTAGCCCAGCCGTACAAGCTACCAGCCATCATGCACTCCCGCGCTCAGCCTCTGCCCAACCCTGCTGCTGCTGCTGCTGCTGCTGCTGCTGCTGCTACTGCTACTGCTGCTGCTGCTCCCGCAACCGCCGCTGCTGCTCCTGCCCCCAATCCTCTTCGTGCTACCGCTGCTGCTCGTTCTGTTGCTGAGCCGAGACAAGAACAGGAAGGGTCTGCTGGTGCTTCTGAGGCAGCAGAAACGAGCTCGGGATTGAATGAGCAGGCAGCAGCAGCAGCAACAGGGGGGCATGGGCATAACACAGCACAACCTGCAGTGGCAAATGCAGGCACCAGTACTGCCACTGCACAAGCTGCCGGGAATGCGAGTGATAGAGCAGCAGGGGGAGTGGAGTGGACAGTGGGGGTGCAGGTGGAGGGGGCACTGGACACACAAGCCACCTCTCACATCCGATGCTGCGGCCATCAGGTGGGTGTCTAACGGATGCTCTGCCAGGGATACAACAGCAGGGGGTGTGGAGTGGAGTGGACAGTGGGGGGGGGTGCAGGTGGAGGGGGCACTGGATACGCAGGTCACCTCTCACATCCGATGCTGCGGCCATCAGGTGGGGCTCTGTTGCCTTCAGGTGGATCTCTGTTGCGTTCAGGTGACTTTTGTGCTTGTTTTATCATGTACATGCTCACCTTGGTTACTGTTTCTGTGTATAGTTAATCTGCAGTGCATCTTTGTTTCGGTCTCTGCACCTCTCACTGCATTTGGGGTTTAGGGTTCTGCGCTTCAGGGTTGAGCGTTAACGGTTTTGAGAGTTTAGGGTTTTGGGCTAATGGCTGCCTTTCTCTGTGCCTGATGCGCCTGCGTGCCTGTCTGCCCCCCTCTCTGCCCCTGGTGCCAAATGCACTTCGAGTGCTACAACCAGTACATGTCAGCTCTGGCGGGCAGGGCGCTATGCTTGGTGTGTGATGGTGTAGTTGTTTACTGATCCCTGTCTCTCCGCGTATGCGTGGTGGCACCTGCCTGCCTCTCTCTCTCTGCCCCTGCTACCAGATGCATTTCGAGTGCTACAACCAGTACATGTCAGCTCTGGTGGAGAGGGCCCGGGCGGATCGGCCGTACGAAGGTGAGCTGACTAGCAAGCCAAAAGGCAAGACAAGGGCTCTTTGCACACTATCAAAGGCACTCGAAATGATGCCAGATTCATTTCGAGTGCTACAATCAAGGGTTTCTGGATTCGGGTTTCGGGTTTCGAGTGCTACAACCAGTACATGTCAGCTCTGGTGGAGAGGGCCCGGATGGATCGACCATATGAAGGTGAGAGATGCTAGCTGCCTGCATAGACAAATGGTCTTTGCACTGCAGCCAGATGCATTACGAGTGTTATATATGGTACTACAACTAGTACTACATGTCAGCTCTGGTGGAGAGGGCCCGGGCGGATCGATTGTATGAAGGTGAGCTGACAAGCTAGGTAAAGGATAATTGCTATCCGTCATATGCTGCCCCCCCCATATGCTGCCCCCCCCATATGCTGCCAACTGTCTGGCTTGCCAACCGCGTGCAGTGAGGTGAATTTTGAGGCGCCTCAAAATTCACCTCACTGCACGCGGATTTCATACGGAGAGGATTATTACAGCTTGGAAGTGTTCGTGTAACTTGCAAAAGTTACTGGTGCGCGCGCGGTTACATCAACGAATTGGTTGACGAAGACCTTCTCGAGGGCTGACTTTGCACCCTGGGTGTACCCCATTTGCTTAGCTGGCCGAGTGACTTGTCACTCTGGGTAGTTGTTTGTACATTTGTAGATCTCGAGGGCAGTTGCTAGCTACTTAGCCTGCTTCTGTCCGAACTCTTTCTTTTGTGGATCTGGTAGCTTACTGATGAAGGCTTAGCGGGTTGGAGACCCGTGAGCCGAAACTAGTTTGAGCTGTAAGGATTCTCGTTAGTGAAGGGTTTTAAGGTTTCTACTGATCGCTTTTCCAGGAAAGTTTTTCTGTTTCGTTTCCTTTTGTTGCTTTAAGCGTCACTCTTTAGAATTGCTGCTCTTCCACTATGAGCGAAGACCCCCCCCATATGCTGCCAACTGTCTGGCTTGCCAACCTGCTGATGGCCTCGCCCGGACCCCCCGATTTCCTTTCCTTTTGAGTCGACTCAAAAGTCATCTTTCGAGTCGACTCAAAAGTCTGCCCCCCCCATATGCTGCCAATTGTCTGGCTTGCCAACCTGCTGCTGGTCTCACCCAGACCCCCCGATTTCTTTTGAGTCAACTCAAAAGTCTTTCTGGCTTGCCAACCTGCTGCTGGTCTCACCCAGACCCCCCGATTTCTTTTTGAGTCAACTCAAAAGTCTTTCTGGCTTGCCAACCTGCTGCTGGTCTCACCCAGACCCCCCGATTTCTTTTTGAGTCAACTCAAAAGTCTTTCTGGCTTGCCAACCTGCTGCTGGTCTCACCCAGACCCCCCGATTTCTTTTTGAGTCAACTCAAAAGTCTTTCTGGCTTGCCAACCTGCTGCTGGTCTCACCCAGACCCCCCGATTTCTTTTTGAGTCAACTCAAAAGTCTTTCTGGCTTGCCAACCTGCTGCTGGTCTCACCCAGACCCCCCGATTTCTTTTTGAGTCAACTCAAAAGTCTTTCTGGCTTGCCAACCTGCTGCTGGTCTCACCCAGACCCCCCGATTTCTTTTTGAGTCAACTCAAAAGCCTTTCTGGCTTGCCAACCTGCTGCTGGCCTCACCCGGTCCGGACCCCCCGATTGCTTTTCCCCTCTCACCCGCTTCCCTCCCTTCCCCCCCCCTGTTCGGAATGATCAGGCCGTGGGCTGATAGACCTGGCGAGGGGCGAGTTCCTGTGCCCTGTGTGTCGCCGCCTCGGCAACCTGCTGCTGCCAGACGGCAGGATGACCCTTCCCCTCGCCAACCCTCCACCGTGCTCTCTCCCTCTCTCTCTGCTCTCAGGCCGTGGGTTGATAGACCTGGCGAGGGGCGAGTTCCTGTGCCCTGTGTGTCGCCGCCTCGGCAACCTGTTGCTTCCAGACTTCCGAATGACCCTCCCCCTCGCCATCCCTCCACCGTGCTCTCTCCCTCTCTCTCTGCTCTCTCTCCCCTGCGTGCAGGCCGTGGGCTGATAGACCTGGCGAGGGGCGAGTTCCTGTGCCCTGTGTGTCGCCGCCTCGGCAACCTGCTGCTGCCAGACGGCAGGATGACCCTTCCCCTCGCCAACCCTCCACCGTGCTCTCTCCCTCTCTCTCTGCTCTCAGGCCGTGGGTTGATAGACCTGGCGAGGGGCGAGTTCCTGTGCCCTGTGTGTCGCCGCCTCGGCAACCTGTTGCTTCCAGACTTCCGAATGACCCTCCCCCTCGCCATCCCTCCACCGTGCTCTCTCCCTCTCTCTCTGCTCTCTCTCCCCTGCGTGCAGGCCGTGGGCTGATAGACCTGGCGAGGGGCGAGTTCCTGTGCCCTGTGTGTCGCCGCCTCGGCAACCTGTTGCTTCCAGACTTCCGAATGACCCTCCCCCTCGCCATCCCTCCACCGTGCTCTCTCCCTCTCTCTCTGCTCTCTCTCCCCTGCGTGCAGGCCGTGGGCTGATAGACCTGGCGAGGGGCGAGTTCCTGTGCCCTGTGTGTCGCCGCCTCGGCAACCTGTTGCTTCCAGACTTCCGAATGACCCTCCCCCTCGCCATCCCTCCACCGTGCTCTCTCCCTCTCTCTCTGCTCTCTCTCCCCTGCGTGCAGGCCGTGGGCTGATAGACCTGGCGAGGGGCGAGTTCCTGTGCCCTGTGTGTCGCCGCCTCGGCAACCTGCTGCTGCCAGACGTCAGGATGACCCTGCCCCTCGCCATCCCTCCCACATCGCTCTCTGAGACGTGTGAAAAGAATACTTCTAGTGCTGCTGCTGGTGTTGGTGTTGGTGTTGGTGTTGATGCTGCTGCTGCTGCTTCTGCTGCCGGTGGTAGTGCTGCTGCTGCTGCTGGCGATGCTGGTTCGGCTGGTTCTTCTATGAGGAAGACTAGCAGACCCAGTAGACGAGAGAGAGAGACTCAGAGCCTTAAGAGGGTGTTGGAGCGGTTGAGAGTGTTAAAGAGGTGTTTGGATGAGGAGAGGGAGGAGGGGCGGTGGGAGGAGCGGCAGCAGGTGTGGTGGACTCGCTTCTGGCTGACCAACACCGCTATGAGCGGCTTCCTTGTCATCTTCTGCAGCCAGGTACATGGTTCCTTGTCCCTGCGTATCTGAGCAACTGAGCCTGTGTGTGTGCGGGCCACAGTGAGTGCCTGTGTGTTTGTCAGCCACAGAGTGTCTGCCTTGAGTGGACTCAGAACTTACTAGCGCTAGCAGCAGGTGTGGTGTGGTGGACTCGCTTCTGGCTGACCAACAGTGCAATGTTGCGACTAGATAATAAATAGTTCTGATACGTCGCAACATATATCCTCGAGATGCTACAGACTCGCCTCCCTCAACCTCTCCTTGTTCGCTCTAAACCGATATACTATCACGTCGTCATTTCCAGGGTCTTCGTCACTCCTCCCCCTCTTTTCCTTTACCCCCCCAATCTGCTTCTTTAACCCCCCCTGCTCTTCTTGTCCTCTGTTTATCCTTCTCGAGCAGAACTCCATGATTCGCCTAGTGCCCTCGCGCTCAACCTCTCCTGGATACGTCTGGAAGGTGCGCATCAGCTTGTATCGAAATGAATCATGCCCTATCGTATCGAATCGAATCATGCCGTACCGTATCGTATCGTAAGGGAATCATGTGGTATTGTACGATATCATGCCATCTCGTATGTGCTGACTGCATGTGGAGCCTGAAGTCGGAGCTCACTTGCACTCCCCCTTCTGAGGACAAGCTTTCAAGTGAGTGACTTTTGAGGCTCAACCCAGGCCCACTTCCCGTCCTTTCTCCCTTCCCTCCGCTCCCATCAGTCGGTGTGGGTACTGTTTGCTCTAAACATCGTTCACCACGAGGTGGAGACAAGGCTCTAATTTCAATTTGCTACCTCTCCATTGTGAAGATTGTAAATTGAACAAGTCACTTCATTAGGGGAGAAACCTAGCATACATAGTTGGAAGGGAGGCTTGGAAGAGAAGGGTGAAGATGACCATAGGTTGGGTTGACCTCACTTGGGGGAGTGAGGCTACCATAGGTCAAGTGGGTTGGGTTGCCCACACTTTGTAGAAGTGAGGCAACCCTAGGCCCACTTGGCTTGAGGTGACCTCACTTGTGGGAAGTGAGGCACCCATAAGTCAAGTGGGTTGCATTTGGGGGCTCCACCACAATTGGGTGGATTGCCACCCCAAAGTGCAAGACTACACCCAAAGTTGGGTGTAGTCCCAACCCAACTGTACACCACAATTGGTGTACAGTCACATGTGTTGGCATGCTACACAATATATATTTTAACACAACCCCTTAGCATGCTAACACAAGAAGAGAACAACCCCTGAATCAAGGGGCGCCCGGGCGAGCGATGCCAATGAGGCGGAGGAAAGCAGAGTGCGCAGGGCGAAGGAGGGCCTTAGTGAAGATGTCGGCCAAGTTGGCTTCGGTCGCAATCTTGCGAACGGCAAAAAGGCCCTTCTGGACGAGCTCGCGAACGAAAAAGTAGCGAAGCTCGATGTGCTTAGAGCGGGCGTGATAGACGGGGTCCTGAGTGAGATGGATGGTGCTGGCATTGTCGCACCAGAGAGTGGGGCACGTCTGGGGGGTGCCAAGCTCTGCAAGAAGGAAGCAGAGCCAGCGTGACTCCTGGGCGGCCATGGTGCCAGCGTAGAGCTCGGCCTCGCAGGTAGAGAGAGAGATGGCGGAGGAGCGGGTGGAGCGCCAGCTGATGAGGCCGCTGCCAAGGGTGAAGCCGTAGCCCTGGGAGGAGCGGCGGTCCGGCTGTGTGTCAGCCCAAGAGGAGTCACTGAAGCCCGAGAGAAGAGGGGAAGGGCCGCCAAGGGTGAGGGCAAGGTCCTCGGTCCCGCGAAGGTAGCGGAGGACCCGCTTGGCAGCTTTCCAGTGCTCCTCAGTGTGACGACCGGTGCCAACAAAGCGAGCGAGCACGCTGATGGGGTAGGCGAGGTCGGGGCGGGTGCACATCATCGCGTACATCAGGGACCCAACGAGCTCGACATAGGGGTGGGGGGAGGAGGTGGGGGAGGTGGGTGGAGCGAGTTGGTGGCCGAAAGGGAGGGGGGTGGAGACAGGCTTGGCCTGCGCCATGGCGAACTTCTCCAAGACCTGGCCGATGTAGTGGGACTGTGAGAGGGTGATGGTGCGAGCAGAGCGGTCGCGCGTGATGGCCATGCCCAGGTAGTGAGTGAGGGCGCCAAGGTCTTTGCACTTGAGACGCTGCTGCAGGGACAGCTTCATCTGCTCCATGTCGGCCCTGGTGTCAGAGAGCAGGATCATGTCGTCCACATACACCAGAATGAAGAAGCGGCGGGGGGAGGAGCGGATGAAGAGGCTGGCGTCGGAGTGGGAAGCAGAGAAGCCGAGAGACCCTAAGGTGGCAGCCAGCTTCGCATGCCACTCACGCAATGCCTGCTTCAAGCCGTAGACAGGGCGACGCAGCTGCCAGACAGTGTTCTCAGGGAAGGCTGCGTGGAACCCGGGGGGTCGCCGGAGGAAAATGCGCTCGTGCAGGTCGCCCTGCAGGAACGCATTGGAGACGTCCATGGAATCGATCTCCATGTTGTCACGTGCGCCAATGTCGAGGGCGGCGCGAAGGGTGGGTGGTTTGGCGGTGGGGGCGTAGGTGAACCAGTAGTCCTCGGCCCAAGTCTGCGTGAACCCCTTGGCGCAGTAGCGTGCCTTGTACACCGGGTCCTCGCCCGGCAGCTGCTTCACCCGAAAGACCCATTTGCCGTCAACAAGGTTGGCGCCGGCTGGGAGGGGGACATCGACAAAGGAGTCGTTGCGAATGAAAGCCTCACACTCCAGGAAGATCGCCGCTATCCATTTATCCGCGTCAGGGCAGGTGATGGCTTCCTGGAAGGTGGAGGGAGTGAAGATGGTGGGGGTGGTAGTGGCGCCAAGGACGGGAAAGCCCAGGAAGTCAAGGTAGAGGGAGGCAAGGAACGGGGTGTGCTCTCGAATGTTGAGAAACTCCTCATGGAAGTCCTCAAGGAGCTGAATGGAGGCAGGAGGAGGAGCCCCAAGGATTTTGTCCACAGAGCAGGTATGGATGTAAGGGAGGAGGAAGGGGGAGGAGCGGGAAGTGGCACGGTGCCGCTGCTGCTGCTGGTGCTGCTGAAGCTGCTGCCCTTGTTGCGGCGGCTGCTGCTGACCGTGCTGCTGCTGTGTCTGCTGCGGCTGCTGCTGCTGCTGCTGCTGCTGCTGTCCCGGTTGCTGTTGCTGCTGCTGCTGCTGCGGCTGCTGTCCCGGTTGCTGCTGCTGCTGCCGCTGCTGCTGCTGCTGCCCCGGCTGCTGCTGCTGCTGCTGTTGCCCCGGCTGCTGCTGCTGCTACTGCTGCTGCTGCTGCCGCGGCTGCTGCTGATCCGGCTGCTGGAAGGAGGGAGAGTGAGAGGAGGAGGGAGAGGGGGGAGGGGGTGCAGCCGAGTGAGCGGGGGAGGCGGGTGCGGCAGGGTCGTAGACGTCGGCGGAGGAGGAGGGCGGGAGCGGGGCGGCGACGGGTGGGAGGAGAGGGGCTGGAGGGAGAAGGGGTGGGAGGACGGTGTCGGTCCAAGCGAGGGGACGAGTGGGAGGGGGGAGAGGGTCTAGAGGAGGAGTGGAGTAGTAGGGAGTGGATTCGTCGAAGACGACGTCAATGCTGCGGATGAGGCGATTGGTGGGAGGGTGGAGGAATAGGTAGCCTGGGGAATCGCGATTGTGCCCCAGGTAGACGCACTCCAGAGTGCGAGGGGCGAGCTTGCCAGCAGCGCGGGAGCGATTGGCCGGTGGAATGAGGACGAACGCCTTGCAGCCCCAAACACGAAGGCCGGCGGCGTCAGGCTTGGCCTTGGACCAGAGTTCTGTGGGGGAGGAGGAGGGATGCTGAGGGTGGGAGCGGAGATTGAGGAGGAGGGCGGCATGAAGGAGGGCATAGCTCCAGAGGGAGGGAGGGGTGGAGGCGTGAGCAATGAGACAGCGAGCGATCTTGGTGATCTCGCGAATTCGACTCTCAGCAATGCTATTTTGCTGAGGGGAGTGGGGGAGGGTGGAGGTTTGCTGAATGCCATAAGTTTTGCAGTAGGTGGAGAGTGTGTGATTAATGAACTCACCCCCACCATCAGAGTGAAGGCGGCCGATGGGGCGTTTGAAGTGAGTGCGGCACAGCTCAGCCCAGTTGATGACCACGGCCGGCACCTGGTCTTTCGTGTGAAGAAAGAAGGTGGTGGAGTACCGGCTGTGGTCGTCAACGAGGACGAGCATGTACCTGTGCCCCTGACGGGAGCGGATGGGATAGGGGCCCCAGAGATCCATGTGAACAAGGTCAATGGGTGCGGCTGCGAAGGTGGGATGACTGTGATGGGGTGACTGTTTGAGCTTGCCATGGATGCAGGAGGGGCAGGGGGGAGCAGGGGAGGAGGGGAGGGGAGGTAAGGTGGGAGGAAGGCTGTTGAGGAGGCGAGAGGCGACGGTGGTGCGAAGTGCGGCGAAGTTGGGATGACCGAGACGGTGATGCAGAAGAACGGCAAGGTGGGAGAGGACAGTAGAGGAGGAGGGAGATGGAGTGAGGGAGGAGGCGGGGGAGGGAGAGGGGGAAGGTGGAGTGGGGGGGAAGGGTAACTGAGGAGGAGGGGTATGAGGAGGAAGAGGGGGAGGCGGACCGGTGGAAGTGCCAGCACGCGTGGTGACATGGCAAAAGAATGGGCTGGGTGTGCGGAGCGTATAAAGACGAGTGCGAGGGCAGAGGGGAATGCGGAGGAGGAAGCGACCGGAGGCAGTGTGGTAGAGATCACAGTAGGTAGTAAAGCCCGGGTAAAGAGCGGTAATCCCAACACCTTGGAGCTCACGGTGGGAGAGGAGGTTGTTGCGGAGGGTAGGGATGTGGAGACCTGTGACTTTGCCAGAGGGGAAGGCGGAGCAAGGGAGAGTGGAGAGGTGAGTGCAAGGTATGGAAAAACTGGAGTCAGCGCCATGGACTTGAGTGGGAAGTGGGAGGGGGGTGAGGGTGCCAGCGTCCTTAAGTGCAGTTTCGGTGGCCCCACTATCAAGGACAAAGTCCAAGGTGGGGGAGGAGGGGGAGGGAGGTGACACGGGGTACTGGAAAGACGTTTCATTGATAGCAGAGGGATACATGGAAGCGACGGAAGGTGCAGTAGCAATATGCCCAAGGAAGCTGCCCTGAGAGTCAGGGACACTGGGGGGGGCAGAGGGGAGGGAGCCCTAGGGGGGGGGAGCGAGGGCGGTATGCGCAGCCATGGCCGCTGTGCCGAAGGTCATCGGCTGCTGCTGCCACTGCGGCGGAAGGTGCTGCGGCGGCTGCTGCTGCTGGAAGAACTGCTGCTGCGGCGGCTGCTGCGGCTGGAGAAACTGCTGCTGCTGGGGGTGGAAGAACTGCGGCTACTGCTGGTGTGGGAAGTACTGCTGCTGCTGCTGGTGCTGCTGAAACTGCTGCAGTTGGGAAGGGGGTGAAGGGGTGAGTTGGCGGAGGTGAGCGGGGAGGAAGGAAGGGAGGGTTTGGACTTCAGCAAGGGAAGGACGAGGGGTGACACTGTTCCAGCGAGGGGGGGTGCCAGTGTTGCCACGATCGAACCAGGCGTCATCAAGCGCCTTGAAGCATGTGGCAGGGGGGTGGTTGGTCTGACCACAGGGAGTGCCGGCGTGAGGGCCATGACGGCGGACATAGGTGCACGGCGGAAGAGTGCCCGGGCGACCTCCACGGCTCACAGTACCACCAGCCCCAGCAGGACCTCCAGGAGTGGCACTACCACCTCCACCACCACGGCCACCTCGACCACCACCACCACCGCCCCGACCGCCACCGCCACTGCCGCCCCCCCCCACGACCTCCACCGCCGCCGTTGCGACCACCCTGGTTGCGCGGCTGCGTGGTATTGAGGGAGGTGGAGGAGGAGGACTGTGGGGTGGTGAGGTTGACAATGGGGGTGCGGAGCTTGACCTCTGTGTCAATGATCCACTGGACCACGTCATTGAGGCCAGCCATGGAGTTTGCCTCAGTGAAGGCATGGAGGCGGGACTCGTAGTCCGGAGTGAGGTTGTAGAGGAGGGCAGCTTGGCGTGCCGCAAGGCGATCAGCGACCTCCTGCATGCGCCCCACATAGTCAACTGCGCCATCACACGTAGCGAGGGTGATGGAGAAGTACTCTTGGAAAAGGACGCCGACCGAGCTGATGTCGCGACGCTCAAACATCGCCTGGAGCTCGGCCCAAATGAGGGAGGCGCGCATCTCGCGAGCTTGAAAACGGCGCATGAGGGCGTCGGGGAGTGCGCCGAGGAGGATGGTGCAGGCGCGGTTGTCAGCGGTGGCCCATGCGATGCTCTTGGGGAGGTAGTCCGCCATGGCCGTGTTATACTCATCAAGTAACGCCAGGCGAGTGGCACGTTCCGCTGTTGCAAAGTCGTGATGATGCACCGCAACTTCATGCTCCGCCTTGCGGATGAGGTACTCGCGGCGATCGTGGAGAAAGGTGGCATCAGCGGCCTCCTGGAGTTCTGGAGTAGCGGCGATCACCAAGGTAGGTTCAGGAGGAGGAGGGCCAGGGGGAATGGAGGGAGGAGGGGGTTCACCGGGGTGAATGGGTGCCGTGGGCTGGAGAGCGTGCGGGCGGCGGAGGAGGACGTCGAGGACGCAGTAGGGTCCGACGAAGGCGTCCTGGAGGATACGGCGGATGCTCCCGACGAAAGAGTGCCAATTGACAGCCGAGCGGTCCGCGGCAAGCTGGAGTTTGTCGACGGAAGAGGCGTCGATGGGAGGAGGGAGGGGGGCAGGAGGGTTGGTAGCCATGAGGGGCGACGGCGGGTGGACCCGCGGCGGCCACGAGGGGGACGGCGGCGGAGGCAGGTGCACTCCTCCGGCTGCTGCTGGTGCTACTGCCACTGCCGCTGCCGCTGCCGCTGCTGCCGCTGCTGCCGCTGCCGCCGCTGCTGCCGATGCTGCCGCTGATGCCGCTGCTGCCGCTGCTGCCAATGCTGCCACTGCTGCCGCTGCCGCCGCTGCTGCCGATGCTGCCGCTGCTGCCGCTGCTGCCGCTGCTGCCGCTGCTGCCGATGCTGCCACTGCTGCCGCCGCCGCCGCTGCTGCCGATGCTGCCGCTGCTGTTGTCATTGCTGCTGGTGCGCCTGCTGAGCTATCCCGGCTGCTGCTGCGTGGGAGAGGAGAGAGAGGAGGAGGAAAGGGGGAGGGAGGGGAGAGAGAGGAGGAAAGCAGTTGCAGCTGTGGGTGGGGCTGTTGCTGCCACGGTCGCGGCTGCTGCTGTAGAAGCGGCTGCCGCGGCGGCAAAATCCGCAGGGGGCGGTGTGGGCAGGCGGGGACAAGGAGGCGCCGCGGCGGGAAGCGCGGGCGACGACGGTGTGGTCGCGGCGGCGGAGATGCGGGCGGCTGGCGGTGCAGTCGTGGCGGCGGAAATTGCGGGAGCGGCGGCGGGGGGAGGCGACGATGCGAAATCGCGGCGGTGGGACGGGCAGGGGGCGACGAGCAGGTCGCGGCGGCAGGATGCGGAGGCGCGACTTGAGGTCGCGGCGGCGGGACGTGCAGGCGGCGGCTTTAGGTCGCGGGGGAGGGGCGTGCAGGCGGCGACGCGAAGTCGCGGCGGCGGGACGTGCAGGCGGCGACGTTAGGTCGCGGCGCGGGATGTGCAGGCGGCGACGGTAGGTCGCGGCGGCGGGACGTGCAGGCGGCGACAGAAGGTCGCAGCGGCGGGGGCGTGCAGGCGGCGACGCGAAGTCGCGGCTGCGGGGCGTGCAGGCGGCGACGCGAAGTCGCGGCGGCTGGACGGGCAGGCGGCGACGAAGCGTCGCGGCGGCGGGAAGGGGAGGCGACGACGGGGCGTCGCGTCGGAGGGATGGGCAGGCGGCGCCGAAGTAGGCGCGGCGGCGGGATGCGCAGGCGGCGCCGAAGTAGGCGCGGCGGCGGGAAGGGGGGAGGAGGCGGCGACGAGAGGTCGGCGGTGGGAAGAGCAGGCGGCGACGAGCCGTCGCGGCGGCGGGATGCGCAGGCGGCGCCGGAGGAGGCGCAGCGGCAGAAGGGGGAGGCGGCAACGGGGGGGTCGCGGCGACGGGAGGAGGGGGGGAGCGGTGATGCGTTCGCGGCGGTGGGATCCGCAGGCGAGGAGGGCGCAATCTCGGCGGGGGGAGGGAACGGCGGCGACGGTGTAGGTCGCGGCGAGGGTATGCGAGGTTGAGCCACGCGTAGGAGGGGATTTGTGGCTGTGGGGTGGGCCCATGAGAAGTAAAAAACTGGAGGGAGGGAGAGGTAAGGCCTAGGAACAAGTAGCTCTATACCATGTGAAGATTGTAAATTGAACAAGTCACTTCATTAGGGGAGAAACCTAGCATACATAGTTGGAAGGGAGGCTTGGAAGAGAAGGGTGAAGATGACCATAGGTTGGGTTGACCTCACTTGGGGGAGTGAGGCTACCATAGGTCAAGTGGGTTGGGTTGCCCACACTTTGTAGAAGTGAGGCAACCCTAGGCCCACTTGGCTTGAGGTGACCTCACTTGTGGGAAGTGAGGCACCCATAAGTCAAGCGGGTTGCATTTGGGGGCTCCACCACAATTGGGTGGATTGCCACCTCAAAGTGCAAGACTACACCCAAAGTTGGGTGTAGTCCCAACCCTACTGTACACCACAATCGGTGTACAGTCACATGTGTTGGCATGCTACACAACATATATTTTAACACAACCCCTTAGCATGCTAACACAAGAAGAGAACAACCCCTGAATCAAGGGGCGCCCGGGCGAGCGAGGCCAATGTCCCAACTGCTGCTCCTACCCCCTTCTCCCTTCCCTCCGCTCCCATCAGTCCGTGTGGGAGCTGCTCGCTCTCAACATCGTTCACCATGAGGTGGAGACGAGGCACTAACTTGCGGTGCTCCCAACCCAACTCCATTCCCAACTGCTTTTTCCCTTTCTCTCTCCCCTAATTCCCACTCCCATCAGTCGGTGTGGGAGCTGCTCGCTCTCAGCATTGTTCACCACGAGGTGGAGACAAGGCACTAGCGCGCTACCTTTCTCCATACCCAACTGATTTTTTTCCTTTCGCCCTCCCTTCGCTCTCATCCATCCCCATCAGTCGGTGTGGGAGCTGCTTGCTCTCAGCATTGTTCACCACGAGGTGGAGACAAGGCACTAACTTGCGGTGCTCCCAACCCAACTCCATTCCCAACTGCTTTTTCCCTTTCTCTCTCCCCTAATTCCCACTCCCATCAGTCGGTGTGGGAGCTGCTTGCTCTCAGCATTGTTCACCACGAGGTGGAGACAAGGCACTAACTTGCGGTGCTCCCAACCCAACTCCATTCCCAACTGCTTTTTCCCTTTCTCTCTCCCCTAATTCCCACTCCCATCAGTCGGTGTGGGAGCTGCTCGCTCTCAGCATTGTTCACCACGAGGTGGAGACAAGGCACTAGCGCGCTACCTTTCTCCATACCCAACTGATTTTTTTCCTTTCGCCCTCCCTTCGCTCTCATCCATCCCCATCAGTCGGTGTGGGAGCTGCTTGCTCTCAGCATTGTTCACCACGAGGTGGAGACAAGGCACTAACTTGCGGTGCTCCCAACCCAACTCCATTCCCAACTGCTTTTTCCCTTTCTCTCTCCCCTAATTCCCACTCCCATCAGTCGGTGTGGGAGCTGCTTGCTCTCAGCATTGTTCACCACGAGGTGGAGACAAGGCACTAACTTGCGGTGCTCCCAACCCAACTCCATTCCCAACTGCTTTTTCCCTTTCTCTCTCCCCTAATTCCCACTCCCATCAGTCGGTGTGGGAGCTGCTTGCTCTCAGCATTGTTCACCACGAGGTGGAGACAAGGCACTAACTTGCGGTGCTCCCAACCCAACTCCATTCCCAACTGCTTTTTCCCTTTCTCTCTCCCCTAATTCCCACTCCCATCAGTCGGTGTGGGAGCTGCTTGCTCTCAGCATTGTTCACCACGAGGTGGAGACAAGGCACTAACTTGCGGTGCTCCCAACCCAACTCCATTCCCAACTGCTTTTTCCCTTTCTCTCTCCCCTAATTCCCACTCCCATCAGTCGGTGTGGGAGCTGCTCGCTCTCAGCATTGTTCACCACGAGGTGGAGACAAGGCACTAGCGCGCTACCTTTCTCCATACCCAACTGATTTTTTTTCCTTTCGCCCTCCCTTCGCTCTCATCCATCCCCATCAGTCGGTGTGGGAGCTGCTTGCTCTCAGCATTGTTCACCACGAGGTGGAGACAAGGCACTAACTTGCGGTGCTCCCAACCCAACTCCATTCCCAACTGCTTTTTCCCTTTCTCTCTCCCCTAATTCCCACTCCCATCAGTCGGTGTGGGAGCTGCTTGCTCTCAGCATTGTTCACCACGAGGTGGAGACAAGGCACTAACTTGCGGTGCTCCCAACCCAACTCCATTCCCAACTGCTTTTTCCCTTTCTCTCTCCCCTAATTCCCACTCCCATCAGTCGGTGTGGGAGCTGCTTGCTCTCAGCATTGTTCACCACGAGGTGGAGACAAGGCACTAACTTGCGGTGCTCCCAACCCAACTCCATTCCCAACTGCTTTTTCCCTTTCTCTCTCCCCTAATTCCCACTCCCATCAGTCGGTGTGGGAGCTGCTTGCTCTCAGCATTGTTCACCACGAGGTGGAGACAAGGCACTAACTTGCGGTGCTCCCAACCCAACTCCATTCCCAACTGCTTTTTCCCTTTCTCTCTCCCCTAATTCCCACTCCCATCAGTCGGTGTGGGAGCTGCTCGCTCTCAGCATTGTTCACCACGAGGTGGAGACAAGGCACTAGCGCGCTACCTTTCTCCATACCCAACTGATTTTTTTTCCTTTCGCCCTCCCTTCGCTCTCATCCATCCCCATCAGTCGGTGTGGGAGCTGCTCGCTCTCAGCATTGTTCACCACGAGGTGGAGACAAGGCACTAGCGCGCTACCTTTCTCCATACCCAACTGATTTTTTTTCCTTTCGCCCTCCCTTCGCTCTCATCCATCCCCATCAGTCGGTGTGGGAGCTGCTCGCTCTCAGCATTGTTCACCACGAGGTGGAGACAAGGCACTAGCGCGCTACCTTTCTCCATACCCAACTGATTTTTTTTCCTTTCGCCCTCCCTTCGCTCTCATCCATCCCCATCAGTCGGTGTGGGAGCTGCTCGCTCTCAGCATTGTTCACCACGAGGTGGAGACAAGGCACTAGCGCGCTACCTTTCTCCATACCCAACTGATTTTTTTTCCTTTCGCCCTCCCTTCGCTCTCATCCATCCCCATCAGTCGGTGTGGGAGCTGCTCGCTCTCAGCATTGTTCACCACGAGGTGGAGACAAGGCACTAGCGCGCTACCTTTCTCCATACCCAACTGATTTTTTTTCCTTTCGCCCTCCCTTCGCTCTCATCCATCCCCATCAGTCGGTGTGGGAGCTGCTCGCTCTCAGCATTGTTCACCACGAGGTGGAGACAAGGCACTAGCGCGCTACCTTTCTCCATACCCAACTGATTTTTTTTCCTTTCGCCCTCCCTTCGCTCTCATCCATCCCCATCAGTCGGTGTGGGAGCTGCTCGCTCTCAGCATTGTTCACCACGAGGTGGAGACAAGGCACTAGCGCGCTACCTTTCTCCATACCCAACTGATTTTTTTTCCTTTCGCCCTCCCTTCGCTCTCATCCATCCCCATCAGTCGGTATGGGAGCTGCTCGCTCTCAGCATTGTTCACCACGAGGTGGAGACAAGGCACTAGCGCGCTACCTTTCTCCATACCCAACTGATTTTTTTTCCTTTCGCCCTCCCTTCGCTCTCATCCATCCCCATCAGTCGGTGTGGGAGCTGCTCGCTCTCAGCATTGTTCACCACGAGGTGGAGACAAGGCACTAGCGCGCTACCTTTCTCCATACCCAACTGATTTTTTTTCCTTTCGCCCTCCCTTCGCTCTCATCCATCCCCATCAGTCGGTGTGGGAGCTGCTCGCTCTCAGCATTGTTCACCACGAGGTGGAGACAAGGCACTAGCGCGCTACCTTTCTCCATACCCAACTGATTTTTTTTCCTTTCGCCCTCCCTTCGCTCTCATCCATCCCCATCAGTCGGTGTGGGAGCTGCTCGCTCTCAGCATTGTTCACCACGAGGTGGAGACAAGGCACTAGCGCGCTACCTTTCTCCATACCCAACTGATTTTTTTTCCTTTCGCCCTCCCTTCGCTCTCATCCATCCCCATCAGTCGGTGTGGGAGCTGCTCGCTCTCAGCATTGTTCACCACGAGGTGGAGACAAGGCACTAGCGCGCTACCTTTCTCCATACCCAACTGATTTTTTTTCCTTTCGCCCTCCCTTCGCTCTCATCCATCCCCATCAGTCGGTGTGGGAGCTGCTCGCTCTCAGCATTGTTCACCACGAGGTGGAGACAAGGCACTAGCGCGCTACCTTTCTCCATACCCAACTGATTTTTTTTCCTTTCGCCCTCCCTTCGCTCTCATCCATCCCCATCAGTCGGTGTGGGAGCTGCTCGCTCTCAGCATTGTTCACCACGAGGTGGAGACAAGGCACTAGCGCGCTACCTTTCTCCATACCCAACTGATTTTTTTTCCTTTCGCCCTCCCTTCGCTCTCATCCATCCCCATCAGTCGGTGTGGGAGCTGCTCGCTCTCAGCATTGTTCACCACGAGGTGGAGACAAGGCACTAGCGCGCTACCTTTCTCCATACCCAACTGATTTTTTTTCCTTTCGCCCTCCCTTCGCTCTCATCCATCCCCATCAGTCGGTGTGGGAGCTGCTCGCTCTCAGCATTGTTCACCACGAGGTGGAGACAAGGCACTAGCGCGCTACCTTTCTCCATACCCAACTGATTTTTTTTCCTTTCGCCCTCCCTTCGCTCTCATCCATCCCCATCAGTCGGTGTGGGAGCTGCTCGCTCTCAGCATTGTTCACCACGAGGTGGAGACAAGGCACTAGCGCGCTACCTTTCTCCATACCCAACTGATTTTTTTTCCTTTCGCCCTCCCTTCGCTCTCATCCATCCCCATCAGTCGGTGTGGGAGCTGCTCGCTCTCAGCATTGTTCACCACGAGGTGGAGACAAGGCACTAGCGCGCTACCTTTCTCCATACCCAACTGATTTTTTTTCCTTTCGCCCTCCCTTCGCTCTCATCCATCCCCATCAGTCGGTGTGGGAGCTGCTCGCTCTCAGCATTGTTCACCACGAGGTGGAGACAAGGCACTAGCGCGCTACCTTTCTCCATACCCAACTGATTTTTTTTCCTTTCGCCCTCCCTTCGCTCTCATCCATCCCCATCAGTCGGTGTGGGAGCTGCTCGCTCTCAGCATTGTTCACCACGAGGTGGAGACAAGGCACTAGCGCGCTACCTTTCTCCATACCCAACTGATTTTTTTTCCTTTCGCCCTCCCTTCGCTCTCATCCATCCCCATCAGTCGGTGTGGGAGCTGCTCGCTCTCAGCATTGTTCACCACGAGGTGGAGACAAGGCACTAGCGCGCTACCTTTCTCCATACCCAACTGATTTTTTTTCCTTTCGCCCTCCCTTCGCTCTCATCCATCCCCATCAGTCGGTGTGGGAGCTGCTCGCTCTCAGCATTGTTCACCACGAGGTGGAGACAAGGCACTAGCGCGCTACCTTTCTCCATACCCAACTGATTTTTTTTCCTTTCGCCCTCCCTTCGCTCTCATCCATCCCCATCAGTCGGTGTGGGAGCTGCTCGCTCTCAGCATTGTTCACCACGAGGTGGAGACAAGGCACTAGCGCGCTACCTTTCTCCATACCCAACTGATTTTTTTTTCCTTTCGCCCTCCCTTCGCTCTCATCCATCCCCATCAGTCGGTGTGGGAGCTGCTCGCTCTCAGCATTGTTCACCACGAGGTGGAGACAAGGCACTAGCGCGCTACCTTTCTCCATACCCAACTGATTTTTTTTCCTTTCGCCCTCCCTTCGCTCTCATCCATCCCCATCAGTCGGTGTGGGAGCTGCTCGCTCTCAGCATTGTTCACCACGAGGTGGAGACAAGGCACTAGCGCGCTACCTTTCTCCATACCCAACTGATTTTTTTTCCTTTCGCCCTCCCTTCGCTCTCATCCATCCCCATCAGTCGGTGTGGGAGCTGCTCGCTCTCAGCATTGTTCACCACGAGGTGGAGACAAGGCACTAGCGCGCTACCTTTCTCCATACCCAACTGATTTTTTTTCCTTTCGCCCTCCCTTCGCTCTCATCCATCCCCATCAGTCGGTGTGGGAGCTGCTCGCTCTCAGCATTGTTCACCACGAGGTGGAGACAAGGCACTAGCGCGCTACCTTTCTCCATACCCAACTGATTTTTTTTCCTTTCGCCCTCCCTTCGCTCTCATCCATCCCCATCAGTCGGTGTGGGAGCTGCTCGCTCTCAGCATTGTTCACCACGAGGTGGAGACAAGGCACTAGCGCGCTACCTTTCTCCATACCCAACTGATTTTTTTTCCTTTCGCCCTCCCTTCGCTCTCATCCATCCCCATCAGTCGGTGTGGGAGCTGCTCGCTCTCAGCATTGTTCACCACGAGGTGGAGACAAGGCACTAGCGCGCTACCTTTCTCCATACCCAACTGATTTTTTTTCCTTTCGCCCTCCCTTCGCTCTCATCCATCCCCATCAGTCGGTGTGGGAGCTGCTCGCTCTCAGCATTGTTCACCACGAGGTGGAGACAAGGCACTAGCGCGCTACCTTTCTCCATACCCAACTGATTTTTTTTCCTTTCGCCCTCCCTTCGCTCTCATCCATCCCCATCAGTCGGTGTGGGAGCTGCTCGCTCTCAGCATTGTTCACCACGAGGTGGAGACAAGGCACTAGCGCGCTACCTTTCTCCATACCCAACTGATTTTTTTTCCTTTCGCCCTCCCTTCGCTCTCATCCATCCCCATCAGTCGGTGTGGGAGCTGCTCGCTCTCAGCATTGTTCACCACGAGGTGGAGACAAGGCACTAGCGCGCTACCTTTCTCCATACCCAACTGATTTTTTTTCCTTTCGCCCTCCCTTCGCTCTCATCCATCCCCATCAGTCGGTGTGGGAGCTGCTCGCTCTCAGCATTGTTCACCACGAGGTGGAGACAAGGCACTAGCGCGCTACCTTTCTCCATACCCAACTGATTTTTTTTCCTTTCGCCCTCCCTTCGCTCTCATCCATCCCCATCAGTCGGTGTGGGAGCTGCTCGCTCTCAGCATTGTTCACCACGAGGTGGAGACAAGGCACTAGCGCGCTACCTTTCTCCATACCCAACTGATTTTTTTTTCCTTTCGCCCTCCCTTCGCTCTCATCCATCCCCATCAGTCGGTGTGGGAGCTGCTCGCTCTCAGCATTGTTCACCACGAGGTGGAGACAAGGCACTAGCGCGCTACCTTTCTCCATACCCAACTGATTTTTTTTCCTTTCGCCCTCCCTTCGCTCTCATCCATCCCCATCAGTCGGTGTGGGAGCTGCTTGCTCTCAACATCGTTCATCACGAGGTGGAGACAAGGCATGCCGCCCTGCTGGCCATGGCCACTGCTGTAGCCGCTACATCCACTACAGCCACTACAGCTGTTGCTGCCACCACCGCGCCAGGAACTGCAGCAGCAGAAGCAGCAGAAGCAGCAGTGGCGCGGGCATGTGTGGGAGAGGGGTCAGACAAGGGCCACGAGATGGCCCTGGATGGGCTGGCGCACCTGGCTCTGCTCACCAACACCATCATGGCGGCAGGTGTGTGGCCAGGGTGTGCTTGCTGGTGTGCAGCTGAGGGTTGGATTAGTGTGACACCTACACAATGACTCTGTACGGGGTGAGTGTCGGCTAAGGGCCACGAGATGGCTCTGGATGGACTGGCGCACCTGGCTCTGCTCACCAACACCATCATGGCAGCAGGTGGGCATGAGGGCACGGGTGGGATGCTGGTTAAAGTTGGCTGGTTAAAGTCCAAGGTGATTTAATGATGTCTCTTGATGGGCTGGCGCACCTGGCTCTGCTCACCAACACCATCATGGCTGCAGGTGGGTGGCTGTGTGTGTGTAGGTGTGCAGCGTGAGGGTTGGATGAGTGTGACACCTACACACTGTCTCTGTAGAGGTCAGACAACAAGGGCCATGAGATGGCTCTGGGTGGATTGGCGCACCTGGCTCTGCTCACCAACACCATCATGGCGGCAGGTAGGCGTGTGAAGCAGAGCTGGTAGGGCATAACAGGTGGGATGCTTGAGTTGAATTGATAGGCTGGCACACCTGTTAGTGATTCACCACCACTGCACGAGTCTGTCAAAGTGGCTGCATATCGAATTAACTAAATAACGCATCTTCCCCCTCCCATCTCCCTTCCAACGTTGTCAGCCTCCGTGGTGGATCACCAGTGCACGAGTCTGTTCAAGTGGTTGCATCTTGAACCGGAGGAGGAGGACGAGAAGGACAAGGCAGGTAGCAGCAGGAGAGCGGGGAGAGGAGGACGTGGGGGGGCCAACGGGAGCAAGGGAAAACCCAGGAACGGGAATGAGGGGAAAGAGGCAAACGAGGCGAAAGTAGGGACGGAAGGAAAAGAGGGACAAGAAGCTGGGAAGTCTGCGGCACAAGAGGTTGAGAGTAAGAAAGAGGAGGATGAAGAGATGGGAGTTGAAGAGGAAGAGGTAGGGAAAGAGAAAGGGGGGTGTGAAGAAGGGGAGGAGGGAATTGATGGGTTTGACTGGGAGGGGGTGCAAGAGGGAACAGGGGCAATTGGCAGTGGAGAGCAAAGGGCGGCAGAGGCATCCACTCTGCTGGCTGTGCCCGCGAGCGTTCGAGAGGCTATGGTTCGATTTGGTGGGATGGGGGGGCCGGGGGAGGAAGGGCCGAAGGGAAAAGGACGAGCAGGAACGATAGGAGGAAGAGGAGGAGGTGAAGGAGCAGGAGGGGAAGGAAGGGGAGGGGGGAGAAGAGGAGGACGGATGATGTTTCCAATGCATGGTTTTGGGGGTGGTAATGGGGATGATGAGAGTGAGGAGGAGGAGGACGAGGATGAGGAGGAGGATGAGTGGGAAGAAGTGGAGGAGAGTGAGGAGGGAGGGGATGAAGGTGGGGAGGAGGAGGACGAGGAGGAGAGCGAGGAGGAATGGGAAGAGGCGGAAGAAGGGGGAGAGGCAGAGAATGAGGAGAGGGGGCCTGCTACTGCTACTACTGCTGCTACTGCTACAGTTTCTGGTGCTGGTTCTGGTACTGATGATGCATCGGAAGGGTTTGTGCTGGTTGAAGCCTCTGTTGCAGCCCTCGCATCTGCTCCTCCGGCTGTTACTGCAGGTGCTACTGCTGATATTTCTACTCCTCCTGCTGCTAATGCTGATGCTGCTACTCCTGCGGCTACTGCAGCTGCTACTGCTGCACCTGCTGCTCCTGCTGCCCCTGCTTCTGCTGCCACTGCTGAACGTGCTGCTACTGCTGTAGAGGCACGGGTGCAGGACAGAAGGGCAGGGCAAGCAGCAACCACCACAGCAGCACCAGCACCAGCAGAAGCAGAAGCAGCAGCAGCAACGGCGGGTGGATTCACAGTTGGATTTGCAGCCGCAGCTGCAGCAACCACCACAGCCGCAGCAGCACCAGCAGCAGCGGCAGCAGCGGCGGCAGAAGCAGCAGCAGCAACGGCAGAAGCAGTAGCAGCAGCGGCAGAAGCAGCAGCAGCAGCAGCAGCAGCAGCAACGGCGGGTGGTTTCACAGTGGGATTTGCAGCCGCAGCTGCAGCAAGAGCAGCAGCAAGAGCAGGCAGAGCAGGAGCAGCAGGCAGGGGAGGAGGAGTAGCGTTGACAAGACGAGGAGGAGCAAGGAGAGGCGGCAGGACAGCACGGGGAGCAAGGGGGGCAAGAGGTGCAAGAGGGCCACAGGTGCAAAGAGGACCAGGTGGGCTAGAGATTCCCCCAGAGCTGTTTCAAGCACTCATGGCGGAGGGAATCACACCAGCAGAGATGGTGGCAGAGTTACGAGAGCTAGAAGATGAGTTTGGTGCGGAGGATCAGGAGGAAGAGGAGGAGGAGGAGGAGGAGGAGGATCGGGTGGACATGGGCATGGATTCTAGCTGGAGTGTGCTGCTGGGGTTGCTGTCTCGGCCGGTTGTGGCTGCTGATCCGTTTGCTGTTCTGCTCTCGCTCATTCAGGTAAACGGGTCTGCTTTGTCAAGTTTATGCAGGTTTCGCCAAGTTGCTCCCTTGATATGATTACCTTAATTGCTATTTCTACTATTCTTGTTTCGTTTTCCAAAAATATTTGTATTCACTGTAGTGTTTGTCAGTTTTCCTTGATAGTTTTGCTGTTGTGCTCATCTCATCTCACCTCTTCTCTTGTTTCCCACAAATCTCTTGACCCCACCATTCCACTACAGTCCAAACAACCCCGCCCATCTGCTGCCACGACACAAGCTATCCTTCTTGTCTCTTTCTGTGTGGCCGTCACACAATCCCTTGCCGCCCTCCGCCCCTCCTCCATCTCCTCCTCCACTTCCTCCTCCCGTGCTTCCTCTTCCTCCTCCCGTGCCTCTGTTCCGTTCCTGGGGATGTTTCCCCGACCCATGCCTATTTCTGCCGCGGCTGCCGCCGCCGCTGCTGCCGCTGCTGCTTCCGAACCTGCGGGCGAGGAGTGGGCTGAGTGGGGTGTCCTGGCCTGCTGCTTGCCGTACCTCCGCCGAGCCTACATTCTGGTGCGTTGTCATTTTTATTGGTACAGCGAACACCCCTGTCTTCTGCTTTTTGGATTCCAATCATGGGCTCTTCCCTTCTCCACCCACGTGCCCTTCTATGAATTTAACTCAACAGTCACCATCAACCTTGATTCGTTGAGTTGAGGCATCTCAAAATCTCTTATATGCCCTCGTTTCCTCTCTTTTTATTTTCCGTGCATGTGATTTTGTTTTCCATTGCCTTGTGTTTTTGTTGTGAAGTACTCGCTCCCTGCCCTATCCTCCATCACCCTGTCTTCCTCCCTCCCTTGAAACCCTGTATTACCTATAACCAGATTCACTACCTTGGCATAATGCCGCTCAGAGAGCCCCCGCTTGTGGATCACCGCGTTAAAGCAATTAAGAATCTGAGTAAGGGCTGCAATGTGTGAGAAGTCTAGAGACTTCTCAACCCCAAAATTGCCCAATTCTCTGCTCTGCTCGCCCTCAAATTCCTACCGTTTGCCTGAAAGCCCACAAGTTCGCCTCACCTCTCTGGTTTTTTTCTATCCTCCTCCCCCCTTTTGTCTACTTAGTTTTTTAGAATATTATCAGCAATTTCTGCTTGCCTCACCTCACCTCTATCTTCGTCCTCGCTTACTTTGGCCCCCATAGGCCCGCAAGTGCTGCTTGCTGATTGGCTGCGCCGCTCCCTCGCCCTTCCCTCCGTGACCTCTGTGCTTCGCCTCATGGCCTGCGCCAACAGTGAAGGTCGGTCTCCCTTCACCTTCTAACCTTCACCCTTTAACTCCTCACGCTTCACCCATCACCCTTTACCCTCTTCCCTCTGTGACCTCTGTGCTTCGCCTCTTGGCCTCCATTTCACCCTTCACCCTTTGCACTTCAACCTTCACCCTGCACACATCACCTCCTGTGCTTCGCCTCATGGCCTTTGTTAACAGCGAAGGTGAGTCGCCTTTCACCTTTTACCCGTCACCCTTCAACCTTCAGCCTACCTTCACGCTTCACCAAATCCCCGTGACACCTCAGCCGTATATTTGCATCATGGAACGGAACCTCCCGTCGCCCATCCTAACCTTCCCTTTCTCCCACTTGACCGGGTCCCATCCCCCTTTCTCCTCGTGTCTCTGCAGCATCATCCAGCCAGCCGTGGCACCTCAGCCGCATGTTTGCATCACGGAGCCTCCCGTTGCCCGTCCTAATCCTCCCTTTCTTGCATCCCCCTTTCTCCTCTCGTCTCTGCAGCATCATCCAGCCAGCCATGGCACCGCAGTCGCATGTTTGCATCGTGGAACCTCGCTTCGCCCATCCTAATCCTCCCTTTCTCCCTCCGCCCTTGCGCCCGGGGTCCATCTCCCATTCTCCTCTCGTCTCTGCAGCATCATCCTGCCAGCCGTGGCACCTCAGCCACATGGTTGCATCACGGAGCCTCCCATTACCCATCCTAATCCTCCCTTTCTTGCATCCCCCTTTCTCCTCTCGTCTCTGCAGCATCATCCAGGCAACCGTGGCACCGCAGTCGCATGTTTGCATCGTGGAACCTCACTTCGCCCGTCCTAATCCTCCCTTTCTCCCTCCGCCCTTGCGCCCGGGGTCCATCTCCCATTCTCCTCTCGTCTCTGCAGCATCATCCTGCCAGCCGTGGCACCTCAGCCGCATGGTTGCATCACGGAGCCTCCCGTTGCCCATCCTAATCCTCCCTTTCTTGCATCCCCCTTTCTCCTCTCGTCTCTGCAGCATCATCCAGGCAACCGGGGCACCTCAGTCGCATGTTTGCATCGTGGAACCTCACTTCGCCCGTCCTAATCCTCCCTTTCTCCCTCCGCCCTTGCGCCCGGGGTCCATCTCCCATTCTCCTCTCGTCTCTGCAGCATCATCCTGCCAGCCATGGCACCTCAGCCGCATGTTTGCATCACGGAGCCTCCCGTTGCCCGTCCTAATCCTCCCTTTCTTCCATCCCCCTTTCTCCTCTCGTCTCTGCAGCATCATCCAACCAGCCGTGGCACCTCAGCCGCATGTTTGCATCACGGAGCCTCCCGTTGCCCGTCCTAATCCTCCCTTTCTTGCATCCCCCTTTCTCCTCTCGTCTCTGCAGCATCATCCAGCCAGCCATGGCACCGCAGTCGCATGTTTGCATCGTGGAACCTCACTTCGCCCGTCCTAATCCTCCCTTTCTCCCTCCGCCCTTGCGCCCGGGGTCCATCTCCCATTCTCCTCTCGTCTCTGCAGCATCATCCTGCCAGCCATGGCACCTCAGCCGCATGTTTGCATCATGGAGCCTCCCGTTGCCCGTCCTAATCCTCCCTTTCTTCCATCCCCCTTTCTCCTCTCGTCTCTGCAGCATCATCCAACCAGCCATGGCACCTCAGCCGCATGTTTGCATCATGGAGCCTCCCGTTGCCCGTCCTAATCCTCCCTTTCTTGCATCCCCCTTTCTCCTCGCGCCTCTGCAGAATCATCCAGCCAGCCGTGGCACCTCAGCCGCATGTTCGCATCATGGAACCTCACTTCACCTGTCCTAATCCTCCCTTTCTCCCTCCGCCCTTGCGCCCGGGCCCCATCCCCCCGCTCTCCTCGCGTCTCTGCAGCATCATCCAGCCAGCCGTGGCACCTCAGCCGCATGTTTGCATCATGGAACCTCCCATTGGTGAGTTCCTACACTGGTGAGGACGAAGCCGTTGATCTAGTGGCGATACGTGGGCGGATGGCGGAGGAGGTATTGAAACAGATACCCGAATCACAGATATCGGAGGATGTATTGTCCAAATATGTACTGTCACAGATACTTGAGGGACAATGCATCCTCCGGCATCTGTCACTCGAGTATCTGTGACAATACCTCGTCCTCACCTACCTCGTCACTTTATACTTCTCCTTCCTCTCTGCTCACTGATACTAGATTCTTTACAGCTGGCCCTCTCCTCTCGTAAACATACCCTTCGTTTATCAGATGCGAATGCTCTCTTTTTGAGTCGACTCAAAAATAGACTCCTCTCGTAAATATACCCTTCGTTTATCAGATGCGAATGCTCTCTTCTTACCATTCCGATTGCCGGATTTTTCTGACGCCGCACCAACCAGCACCTCATATTCCTCTTTCACCTGCTTCTCCCTTTCCATCTTCAGAATGCCAAACTATGCGACAAGCATTTCACATCTACCCCCATGATGCATGTCTCTATACATGCATGCATCATGCATGTCACTAGATGCAGGCATGTCTGTGTATGCACTGTGCATCCTCCATGCATACTAAGATCCCTAACATCCTCACACATGCGGGAGGTAACCACCCTGGCTGGTCAGAGCACCCACCCAGTCATGTGTACATGTCGTCACGCATGCATGTGTTCATGCATGCTTGTTACGATGTGTGCATGCTTCTTCCATGGGTGTGTGTCTCCATGCAAACCTATACTGTCTTATCCTCACACCCGTCACACCCTCACACATGCAGGAACCACCCCGGCTGGTCAGAGCACCCATTCAGCCATGTGTGCATGTGTTCATACATGCTTGTTACGATGTGTGCATGCTTCTTCCATGGGTGTGTGTCTCCATGCAAACCTATACCGTCTTATCCTCACACCCGTCACACCCTCACACATGCAGGAACCACCCCGGCTGGTCAGAGCCCCCACCCAGCCATCCTTCCACCCGTTGCCGGAGATTTACCAGGTAATGTCCGATCCAAGGTCAAGTTGTGAGGCGTTAAGACAGGTACTTCTTGCAGGTACCACTTGAACACTGGAGACTTTTAGCTGGTCCCTTTTCGCTTCCTGGACTTGATGTGGGACGATTCACAAGATGGAGGCTTGAGGTTTATCGTGTGCTCTTGACTCAGGTATCTTTATCACGTGCTGATCTCTTGGGATGCTTTCTCTCTCTCCCAGGACCTGCTGCTATTCTCGACGAACAAGGCATGCAACAACTGCGGCTTCTGCTGCTTCCCTGACCCTACATGTACAATGTACCCCCCTTCCCCATCTCCCATCCACTCTCCTCCCCTCCCCTCCCTCCCAGGACCTGCTACTCTCCACGATGAGCAAGGCATGCAGGAACTGCGGGTTGGAACTTGGAACCCCCCAACCCTGCTGTCTGCCTGTGCTGAACCCTCCTCTCCTCCCCTCCCCTCCCTCCCAGGACCTGCTGCTGTCCACGATGAACAAGGCGTGCAGGAACTGCGGCGAGGAACCCCTTAACCCCGCTGTCTGCCTGTGCTGTGGCGAGCTGCTTTGCTACAACTCCTCCTGCTGCCGCCCAGACGGGCGCGGGGAGTGCTACAGACACGCGCTGAGAGGTGAGAGTTCTGTCATGCTAGAGATGTGATTGTAGGTGTGTGCTACAAACGAGCTACTCTGCTACAACTCCCCCTGCTGCCGCCCAGACGGGCGTGGGGAGTGCTACAGGCATGCTCTAAGAGGTGGGTGACTTGTCTTGCTACAGATGCAATTCTAGGTGTGCGTGCTACAGTCGAGCTGCTCTGCTACAACCCCCCCTGCTGCCGTCCGGACGGGCGCGGGGAGTGCTACAGACACGCGCTGAGGGGTGGGTGTTCTTTCTGGCTAGAGATGTGATTGTAAGTAGGCGTGTGCTACAAACGAGCTTCTATGCTACAACTCCTGCTGCTGCTGCCCGGACGGGCGCGGGGAGTGCTACAGACATGCGGTGAGAGGTGGGTGTTTTGTCTTGCTGCAGATTTGACCATAGCTATGGTACAATCATCCTCTCCCTTCGTCTCAATTGCTCTATCCTAATGGATCTAACCCACTGATCTGTCCCAGTTGATAAAAACGTCCTCTTCCTTCATGGGTGTTTAGGACTCTAGATCCTAATTTGGTTTTTGCAGTCGGGATACGTGAAAAGTCAGTGGGTTTGTATCTTCAACTTTTCATCTGCTAAAGATGCACTGAGGTGTATTTTGAGGCGCCTCAAAATACTTTTCATCTGCTAAAGATGCACTCTTCCATGCAGAGAATGGAGGCACAGGTCTGTGTAGAGAGGTTATTTTTGAGACGTCTCAAAAATAACCTCTCTACACGTGTCATCTGCTAAAGCTGCACTCTTCCATGCAGAGAATGGATGCACAGGTCTGTTCCTGGTGATGCTATCAACGTAGCTGGTGCTGATACATGGTGTGCACATCTGTAAATATGTCTCTGTTAACCATCCACCACCCCTCCCATGCAGAGAACGGGGGCACGGGTCTGTTCCTGGTGATGCGGTCAACTCAGCTGGTGCTGATACACGGCGTGCACATATGTGCCGGTCTCTCCATCTACCTCGATTCACATGGAGAGGTGAGCAGGGAGGGCACTGCTGAGTCGACTCAGAAGTCCCAAGGTGATGCAACCATCACAGCTGGTGCTGATACATGGTGTGCACATGTGTGCCGGTCTCTCCATCTATCTCGACTCGCATGGAGAGGTGAGTTGGTTCCTGAGTTGACCCAGAAGAACACTGTTGGTGCTGGTACATGGAGAGGTGAGCAGATGTCTGAGTTGAGTTACTTCAGGAACACTATTGGTGCCCATCGACATACGCATCCATCTAACTCTCCATCCATTTAACTCTCATCGAGAGGTGGGCAAAGCAAAGAGTGGAGAGTCGAGAGCAGCAACGTGCTCACTCAAACTGTTGTTTGTAAAAAATACATGCTCTATCCTTGCATGGATTGATGCCAGAATCATTGTATCTTACAATGTCAAAGAAATTCCTTTATGGTGGTGTATTTGCTGGTTCCAGGATGATGCCTTCATGCGGCGTGGTCGTCCTCTGTACCTTAGCCATTCTCGACTTGCGGAGGTATGATCTCATCCCCACGCATCTGTGCCTTCTCATATGTATCTTTGATTTCTACCGTTTCTTTAGGCTCCTAAAAAATTGCCCCCCTGTACCTTAGCCATTCCCGCCTTGCAGAGGTACGATCTCATCGCATCCCCATGTATCTATGCCTTCTCATATGCATCCGTGGTTTCTACCGATTTTTTAAGCGCCTCGAAATCGCCCCTCTGTACCTTCACCATTCCCGGCTTGCAGAGGTGCAATGTGTGCCTTCCTTCTCATATGCATCCGTTTTCTAAGCAGCTTCTGTAGCTATTTTCCCCCCAGACCCCCCAACCTAGTCTTGTCCCATCCTCTCCTCCTCTTTGTAGCCATACTACCTTCCTGCGTAGCCTCTTGTGCTGCGTGTTCTGCATACATGCATATCCTGCAAATACTTAATGAGAGGTATCCCCCTGCCTTGCGTTCACAGTTCCTTCAGCTGTGGAAAACCGCGTCCATCAGCCATGATAGCCAGATTCTTCATGCCTCTCTGTTTGGCTCAATGATGGGTTGACTGATAGTTGCAATTTCGAGGCATACCGTCAAGCTTCATTTTCGATACTGATAAGCAGGCTGATTGCATCTACCCGGAAGTCCCAAAACGTGAAACAAGAGAAGGCATGATCGATTAAAAAACAGAAGAACAGCAAATGCAAGGAACAAGCTATTTGCTACGCGAGTGTATTTTGTGTTCATGCACTCTCCTGGCTAAACTATAGACTGACCAGGTTCATGGGCCCGAATCCCAAGGTCTTTCCGTCTCCGTCCAGTTGGCCGTTTCGTTTCTGCGACGACGGTTTCCTGCCGTTCGATTCTGCATCGAAGAAGCGACGATCTGCTGGTAACATTTCGACACTTTGCAAATCTTCGTAAACACCGAGGAAGATGGTCGTAAGATATGGCACTTTGGAAAACACACTCGTGCGTGATATAATATGCAAAAGATCCATCCATAGAACGCGTACTCAAGGCATTTACTTGTCGTGTCGGCACCTAATCTGAGCACTTACTATTTCTTACTATGGCGACATTGCTCGTTAATCTCCCCTGTTGTCATCAGCTTTCGCGTCCAGAGAGCAGATTTCTTCATCATGCTCCAATCTCGAGCAGAAACACGTTTCCGATCAGCAGAAGTCGTTCCGTCAGAATAAACGCAGCAGCGGGTGGATCGGGTAAGGGATTTGGGTCTGGCCCTTCGAACAAGTCGCCGGCTAAATCCAAGAAACCTCGTGAAAATGGGTCGAAATTTGGACCGTCCGCCGTCGTGCCAGAAGATCCGAAGATCACGCGTCTCGTGCAGAAATTGGAGGAGAAGTCCTCCACCAACCCAGCGTCGACACGTGGCCATCCGCTGGTAGACCAGCGCGCAGCAGCAAAGGGTCGCGTAGACTTCGTTAAGGTGGAAGGTTGGGAGGCCGCAGGTTCGGCGGCGTCGGAATTAGGTCCGGACGAAATCGGCAATCTCAAGGTGAAAAGCTTCACTCCCGGCACCACTTCTCAAGGCTACGAGGCTCAGGCCGAAGCTGACCAGCAGCCTCGGCAGCAACTGGCTGAAGGAGATGCACCCGCGCCGCATTTAGGCCTGTACGAGCGCCTGGTGAGGCACCTGCAGGTTCTCGAGTCGCAGGGGAAGCTCTCTGTTGCGCGGGCAAAAGGCGAGCCGCCGCTGCCGTCGTTCGATCGGTGGAGGTTCGGAGCGAAGAGGTTCGGGCAATACCTAGTCGATCAGATGCACGTGCACGAGGCTCTTGATAAGGCCGTGCTACAAGCCCTTGGCGGGAAAATCGGCGGGGAATCCGGCGGAAATATCGGCGGGGAGTCTGGCGACAATGGTGGAAATGATGCATCAGGAGCCACGAGGGTTTTAAGCCTGGTGGGTCCGGCAGTGGGGCTGTCGCGAAGCGAGGCTTTGAGAAGCGATATCGCGGCTCTTTCTAATGTGAGTGTCACCACGGGAGCAGCAGCAGCAGGGGGAGGAGGAGATGCACCAGCAGCAGTAGCAGCAGCAGCAACAGTAGTACCTGCATGTGCCACCACGGAGACGATAGCTTACGTGCGACTGATCGAGCAACTGGGCCAGAAGGCATCAGCTTCAACCAGCGGTGCTGCCTCAGCGGCCATTTCCCCTGCCGACGCTGCTCGCCTCAAGCTCTTTACCCACACCTTCACTCTCCTGGTCACGCACTTGACCAACGGCATGCGGATTGGAGCTAAGGCTGTGGAGTGCCTTCCGTCCCTGCGTGTCGCCAAGGCTGTGAGCTTTTTCCAGGAGTATCCTGAGACTGTAGGGGATCCTATGAAGGCGTTTAGGGCTGCTGTGGATGAGGCGGGGAAGGGGATGAGCGAGGGGGAGGTGGAACTGGTGGAGGGCGAACTGGGCCCTGCCATGGTGAAAGCTAGCCTGTTGTTGAAAGTGCTTGCTGTAGAGGAGAGGGAGGAGGTGGTAAGTGCACTGTAGGAAGATGCAGGAAAGTCTGAAAAGGTGTGAGGTTGATTCTTTTGTATGGATTGTAAAGCATCAGCAGCGGGATGGATGGGATGTGGGAGGATTATAGAAGTCCGTCCATTTGCAGGTCATATTTTCATGAATGTTCTGGCTGGTAGCAAGAAACTAGTTCAACACAAAATCTACGTACTACTATCACGAATGGACGTAATCTTGCAATCTTGATTTCCGTGGATGCTCAGCTCCCCCATTAGATTGCAAATCAAAACGAATGAAAAAAAGTTGCCACATTATACAACAGGTAGAAATACTGCGATCAAGGGATACCAAAGACGGAACTCTTTATCAAAATTCCTTAAATCTCTGCTGCGGTGTCTTGTTGAGCCTCGAAACTCGTTGTAGGGAGGACAGGCTCCTCGCAGTAACAAAGCCCCGATCATGCTTGAACGTGCCCATAGGCTAACGAAGGTGGCACAACTTTGTCGTAATGGCATCGAATGGTCAGGCGAAAGTGGTAGCTGGGCCGGGCAGCACGATAATAGTTGGGGTGGCATTTCAGTAATTATAGCCGGACGAGTGCGGTGTCGAGGCGGTGTATGTCGAATCGCTGCGGTCGTCCCTGTAGCTGGCGGTGTCGCGATCCCCGGCTGAAGGTTGCGATGATGGGGTGGTTACCGATGGCTGCGAAAAGGAGGCGACGCAAGAAAAAGAGGGAGAGAATGGACAAGGTATGAGAGAAAAGGTATCACAAGGCGAAGAGTGGAAGATGCGGAATATTAGTGTCGCCGCGAGGAAGGATTTCGCTCGACCCATTCCAGATTCTTAAGTCGGTTCCAACCTCAATAAATAGCCTGAACCCAACCCTTACAGCTTGAGAGTATCTGTTCTCCTGGCCGCGAGACTCACGACTTCTCTAGACCTACCCCCTGCCTCGACTGGACTCAACCAAACGTCACGACTCCAGATTCCCGCTGGGAAAAGAACACGCATAACGAATCAGGGCTTCCATAAACTTTGCGTCGGGTATCCCACTCGGTAAGTTTGACGCGACGCCTAGCCGACTCATCTACACCCAGCGGCTAGAGTCGCTTCGAACAGCGTCACGTGTGCGTAAGCTTACGTCGTATCGCGGGGTCTCTTCCTCGTAATATTCTCCAGGCTGCTCCACGTCAGTATCAGCCTGGCTCTGCCAGTCTCCACCTTCCTCGCCGTGATTCTCGGCGCCATCCTCGGGATTCCGCTCGTAGTATAACTCGTCCGCGTCTTCTGGATAGCCCTCCTTGGATTTATCCTCGAGCTTGTTTAGCCGTTGGGCGGCAACTATCATTGCGTACTCGCCCATGTCCATGACCTCGCTCCGTTTGTAGCCGCCCGGGAAGTAGCAAAAGTGCATCCAGAGGAACGCGAGTACAGTGAACGCTATACACACTATGATAGTAATGAACGACCACACGGATTCCCCGTTGTCGAACATCATGACAGAATAACCAAATAAAGACAACTCCCGAGCGGTTTGCACCTAGCCTTAGACGGGTGCCTGCTAGCTACTTCAGCCCACTACGTCTTCAAAAATCACTGGTACCTATCAGGATGTTCTATGAAACCTCCCTGCGCCCCTGTCGTAGTGCACGGAAAGAACTATCGCGCTCTTGCGGGTTAGGCGGAAATGCTGTAGGAAGCACCAACTCATTCAGCTACGAAACTCGTCAGTGGAGAGAAGCCAACCAAAACACACGAGGACCAAATCACAGGTGCCAAAAGGGTGATGGGCCAGACGGAGAGGACACTCCTCGCTAGAGGAGGAGGCGGGAGGGTGTTGGTTGGAGGTGAAAGGGAAGGGTGGCAAATGGGTCCCTGGCGGGTTGACGAGGGTTGGGTTGGGTTCGACTCGGAAATGTTCAGGTGTTGTTCGTTTGGAACTGCTCCGATTTTCTCTAGAGGACCGCGCAAACTGCCCGCTGCCCAAGCTTTCCCTCACGCGCTGGGCTGGACCTCTAGGTTTGTGGAGTGGTCAGGATTTGGGTCAGGGGGAACAAAAGAACGTTTTCCTGGGCTGGGTGAGAGGAGGGAAACGAGGGACGTACAGCTGGGTCGCAGACGGGAAGTGCATCTGTCGTTTCTAGAGCTTGTATCGAGTCATGTGTCGGTATGTTGGGGAAGAAACACCTGAACAGTGTGTGCCAACCAGATCTACTTTGTCATACGGAACCAACAAATGGCCTTGTACACGACTATGCACTCTTCAGGTGGGGCCTCTGTTGGTAGGACCGCCCAGCTCACGCGAAAAGGACAATATTAAGTCTGGACAGCGGAGGCTGCGGCTGGGTTTGCTTGGATTCTCTTCCAGTTGGCTCCCACTCCCAACCAATCCAGACAAAATTGCGAGGGTTTACTCAAAACTGTAAGGTCGAAAGTTTTGTGTACACCCTGAGAGTCTCCGTGCCCATGAAGTTTACGCCGATGTGAGAGATGGGTGTGCCTGTGGGTGCAACCTCTAAACGAAACAGATGTTATTAATCAAAGTTTTCGCGACAAAATAACCATTGGTCCAGAAGTCTCGGACGGTGTGGGTGACTAACCTACAAATCCCTGAGTCGTAAAACTCATCCAAAGCGAACTCATCGCAGACTAAGGGTTCGTTCTTGGCTGGTGTCTAGCTTCGGGCCAAGTTTGCCTGGTGTCAAACCCCTCCAGGAACGTCTGACACAAATCGAAAAATATCCCTCATGCCCGTCAATTTCACCTCGTGTCAACCAGCTTGGCCCAAAGCTAGACACCAGCCAAGAACCACCCTAAGAATTATCCATCTATGTAACAATACGTAGCAATATCGCTGGTACGTTCACAGGAAAAACAAATATTGTTATCTATGATATATTCATGAACTCAACATTTGTTCTGAAAATTAGTCATATGAGTAACCTATCTATGGTTGTTGGATAGTGGAGACTTGGGACCATTGACCATCTGCAGCCTCCTTCCAGAGCGACACATTGTTATTTGCATCGGATACAGCTAAGATGTTTCCAGTGAGCGACCAGCTGACCCTCCACACAGGCACCTTAAAGTACTGCAGCAGCAGGGGTTTCCACGGGTCCGACTCACTCGTCTGGGTCCAGATCAGTACAGTGCCATCCTGTAGATATCAGGGATATAAGGAGGTAAATACATAAAATAAAGCCAGGTCAGCCAACGCACAAGTACCTGAAATGAGAGGAAAGGTAGCATTGAAACATACACTGACGAAACAGCTCCAAGGCAGTAATCAGCACGACCCTAATTCGTTTCCCCAAGTCAGACCCACCTGTGAAGCACTGGCGATTGTACTCTTCGGCACGCCCAGGTTCGGCGCCCAAGCCACATCCCGAACCCAATCCGTGTGCCGGGCCAAACCAGGCGGCGCACCGTCCAGCCGCCACCCTCCCCCTCCCTCACTCGAATACCGCCAAATCTTCACCATATTATCACACCCTCCCGACACAAACCGCAGCACCGGATTCAGACCAGACCCCAGGAAGCTTCCTGGAACCGTGGCAGGAGCCCAGGAAACGGAAGTAACCCCCACAGGGTGGGCTTGGGGGATCCGGGAGGCATCCCAGCCACCGTCGGCACGGTGGGTGAGGATGGAGATGGAGCCATCAGAGGAGGCGCATGCGAGCACCAGCCCATACTCGTGAGGCGCCCAGCTGATGCTGTTCACTGAGCCTTCATGGTCCGAGAATACCTGAGCCTGGGGTGTTGAACGCAGGAAAAGGAAGTCCAAACAGGAAGGCAGGGGAATGAAAAAGAGAGCAGGGGAAAACACCAAGGGAGTGAGGAGAAGAAGCAGGCTTGGGGGATGCGGGAGGGAGGTATCCCAGCCACCATCGGATCGGTGGGTGAGGATGGAGATGGAGCCATCAGAGGAGGCGCATGCAAGCACCAGCCCATACTCGTGAGGCGCCCAGCTGATGCTGTTCACTGAGCCTTCATGGTCCGAGAATACCTGAGCCTGGGGTGTTGAACGCAGGAAAAGGAAGTCCAAACAGGAAGGCAGGGGAATGAAAAAGAGAGCAGGGGAAAACACCAAGGGAGTGAGGAGAAGAAGCAGGCTTGGGGGATGCGGGAGGGAGGTATCCCAGCCACCATCGGATCGGTGGGTGAGGATGGAGATGGAGCCATCAGAGGAGGCGCATGCGAGCACCAGCCCATACTCGTGTGGCGCCCAGCTGATGCTGTTCACCGACCCCTCGTGGTCTGAAAACACCTGCGCCTGAGATGGGGAGAGCGGAAGGGAGAAAGAAGCACGAAAGTGTGGAGGGAGAATTTGAGAGGGCAAACAATGAGTGAGGCGCCCAGCTGATGCTGTTCACCGACCCCTCGTGGTCTGAAAACACCTGCGCCTGGAGTGTTAAAAGAGTGCGGGGGAAAGCAGGAAGGAGGGCTCAGGGTGAGGAGAAGACGGCTTGGGGGATGCGGGAGGAAGGCATCCCAGCCGCTGTCGGCGCGGCAGGTGAGGATGGAGATGGAGCCATCAGAGGAGGTGCATGCGAGCACCAGCCCATACTCGTGGTGCCGTGGCATCAGCACCAGTCCACGAGGGGACCACGACTAAAGAGGGTCACTCATTAGTGGGTTACATGGTTTCCCACTGGTTCCTGAACTGATCTTTTAGAGCTTATACTTACTCGGTGTTTAGAGGGGATTGTCACTCGTTCATCCTTATCCACTCCCACACAACACAACATGTCATCTTTTTTCTCACAGCCACTGATTTCCACCCATGGGGTCTCATCTGATCCACAGACGCACCATCATTCACTCTTTTTTGAGGCGATTTTTGAGGCGCCTCAGATAAAGACTTTCACCCATGGGGTCGCATCTAAACCACAGACGCACCATCATTCACTCACAGACCTCCATCCACTAACGCACCTTGATCCACTAACGCACCTCCATCCACTAACACACCTTGATCCACCAACGCACCTTGATCCACCAACGCACCTCCATCCACCAACGCACCTTGATCCACCAACGCACCTTGATCCACCAACGCACCTTGATCCACCAACGCACCTTGATCCACCAACGCACCTTGATCCACCAACGCACCGTGATCCACCTGATCCACCAACGCACCTTGATCCACCAACGCACCTTGATCCACCAACGCACCTTGATCCACCAACGCACCTTGATCCACCAACGCACCTTGATCCACCAACGCACCTTGATCCACCAACGCACCTTGATCCACCAACGCACCGTGATCCACCAACGCACCTTGATCCACCAACGCACCGTGATCCACCAACGCACCTTGATCCACCAACGCACCTTGATCCACCAACGCACCTTGATCCACCAACGCACCTTGATCCACCAACGCACCTTGATCCACCAACGCACCTTGATCCACCAACGCACCGTGATCCACCAACGCACCTTGATCCACCAACGCACCGTGATCCACCAACGCACCTTGATCCACCAACGCACCTTGATCCACCAACGCACCTTGATCCACCAACGCACCTTGATCCACCAACGCACCTTGATCCACCAACGCACCTTGATCCACCAACGCACCTTGATCCACCAACGCACCTTGATCCACCAACGCACCTTGATCCACCAACGCACCGTGATCGACCAACGCACCTTGATCCACTGGTTCTCGCTGGTTTCTTTCCAGATGATCACTTTGCGGTCGTACGAGCACGACGCGAGGATGGACCCGAATTTAGGGTGAGCCCAAGTCACCTGCCACACCGGACCCTCGTGACCTGCGGAGAAACAGAACCAATGGGAGCGTCTTTTGAGGCGCCTCAAAAAACGAATTTAGGGTGAGCCCAGGCCACCTGCCAAACCGGACCTTCGTGACCTGCGGGGAGACGGAACCAATGGGAGCGTATTTTGAGGCGCCTCAAAACTAGAATTCAGGGTGAGCCACCTTCCAAACCGGACCCTCGTGACCTGCGGGGAGATGGGATCAATGGGGACGCTAAAGTTGAACATGGTTCCGAAGCAACCACGGTTTCGAACGCCAATAACGACAATTTCGAATCGGAATAAAACAAGAAACGCTTGCGAAGCAATCGAATTGAGAATGGAAGCGTAAGGTGGTAAAGGCTACGACAGTAAAATATGCGGGAGGACTGATGTTAAATGTGAAAGATATGATGTAAATGCACGCCGACGGAAAAGCGACGAATCCGATCCGGCTATGCAGGAGGCGCTTTTGAAAACTGACCAATCAGATCCGCGAGATGCGAGTGGTGGTCGCCTGCGACGGAGAAGACGCGAATCGAGCGATCGGACGACGCCGTCGCCAGTCGCTTGCCGTAGTAGTCCATCTGCACGTCGTGAATCGCGTCGGCGTGACCCGACTCGATGATCTGCGTCCCCGCTGTCGCCATCGTGCCGACGTTTGAGTCGACTCAAAAGTCGGTGTGTTTTTGGAAGATATAAGATAAGTTTCAAAACGGAATGACTTCGAACTGATCGGTTCTACTTGATCCGCAACGGTCGGATTCAAAGCAAGGCGAAGACGACGAATGCGATCAATCGCAATTGAGGATCGACGGAGAGGAGAACGACGTAACGGATACCTTGCGCGGCTATTATTGCCGAAGCGTCGCCTAGCGACAAATCTGGTCACGAATTTTAGGTGTCAGAAATTAGGTCTCTGAGATTTGAACTCGACATCAAAAGCCCGATACTGGAAATTCTGTACAAGGCAGTGTTAGACATTCAGGCTACATTGCTTTGTTGCTTGTTGATGATTATTGATGTTCAAAGCTATACCATAACAAATGCTCCTTCAGAGATGCTAGACCAGTCTCACAGTTCCTTGGCTTGTCCATGCGGTAAAAAAACATTTTGACATCTGATGAAACAAAGTGTATTATTCTCTTAGGATAGATAGTCTTCATATTAGCAAATAAAGTGTCATCAACGGGTCTCTCTATATGTAAATCTGTCCACCATTACTCCTACCCTTTCCACTTCAAGCAAACTACCTTTGACATCCTATTCGAGACATACAACAGTGCCATCTGCAGCATCATCTACATCCAACTTAACGCCTTCGACTGCTACTGTTGCTGCGTCTGCTGCTACTGTTGGTACGTCTGCTACAGGAAAACTAGTTACTGGGAAACTGCCAGCAAGGCCTGTGCCCTTAAAGCCTGCCTCCTCCTTCTGTGCGTCATCCACAACTGGAAGCTCCTCTGACGGAACAAGGCAGGGGAGAGGGAAGAGGGAGGAGAAATTGCCTTCAACTGCTACTGTATCTGCGTCTGCTGCTGGAAAACTAGTCACCGCGAAACCACCAGCCAGGCCTGTGCCCTTGAAGCCTGCCTCCTCCTCCTGCATGTCATCAACAACTGGGAGCTCCTCTGACGGAACAAGGGGGGGGGGGGACTGGAAGAGGGAGGAGGGAGCGGTGGGGAACGGAAACAGATGTGTTGGGGAGAAATTGCGAGGAGGAAAAAGGAAGTGAGCAGCGTTTTGGGGTGACTAGGGTGAGCAAATTGAGGTTACGGGGTATGTGAGAGGTGTAAGAGACTGAGAGGAGCTAATATAAACCCACCCAAACCACCTACGGTATTATTAGACATCTTTAGATTAACCAGCTCAAGCTATCTGGCTGAAAACAATGTTAATAAAAAAAAAAAACCATCCACCCGTTTACCTGCGATGTCCCTGTCCTTGTGCACTTTAGTATCCACCACCCAAAGCTGGGCACCCGCAAACACTCCAGCTTGCACCAGCGACACACCCTCATCATGGCCCTCCATTGCAGTGATTTCCTCAGAACCAACAACAACATTCACCCACTTACCTGCAATGTCCCTGTCCTTGTGCTCTTTGGTATCCACCACCCAAAGCCGGGCGCCAGCAAACACTCCAGCCTGCACCATCGATACACCCTCATGCTCCTCCAAATCAGTAACTTCCTCCGTGCCAAACCCTATGCGCTGGTTCTCAGGGACCACTCCCAGGGACTCCCAGATCTGCAGCTTCAGCTGGTGCAGCGTGGTTGTGCCTGATACCCTTATTGCAACACGGCTTCCCCCCGTTCGCAGTGGTCGTTTGTATGGCATGGCCAGTGGTATCGCTGCTTTCAGTGGCCTAGTAGTAACAGCACCAGCACCTGAAGCGGCAGCAGCAACGGCAGCTTCAGCACAGGGAGCAGAACCAGGAACACCAGTAGTAGCAGCATGAGCAGCAGCAGCAGCACCATTAGTAGCAGGAGTGTCAGTGGCATAAGTAGCGCCCCCAGCAGCTGTAGCAATAGCAGCACTACCACCACCAGTAGCATCACCAGCACGAGCAGCAGCACCAGTAGCACCACCAGCAGCACCACCAGCAGCACCACCAGCAGCACCAGCAGCAGCACCAGCAGCAGAACCACCACCAGCAGCACCAACAGCAGCATTAGCAGCAGCCGCAAACCGGCGCGACACGGCTAACGGCGGAAAACCATACGTGGAAGCAACAACAGAAGGGGGAGGCTCAGACCCCCTCACCAACTCAACCACAATCTCCTCCTCCCTGTAATCCCCCCTCTGTAACTCTTCCCTCATTGCCCTCTCTTCCTCCTCTGCAATCTCCTCTGGGTTCTTGTAGCAGATGTGACACAAAGGAGGGATGGTCTCCAGGCAGTATGGGGTGGGAACTGAATTGTCTCTTCGGCTCTTCCCTACAGTGATTTTTTGACTTCGTGAAGATTTGGGATCAGCTGCGTGGTTGTTGGAGATAAGATTTGATTTGACTCGTACGCGGATGGCAGAGGCAGGTGTGCTGCCCCACTGGCTGCTCAGCTCGTCCCATTCTGACCGTGTGACTATAGTGAAGGGTTCCTGAGGTGTCATGGGGGTACAGAGGTAAGGGGAGTGATAAAGAGGGGTGTGGGGATGGGGAGGATTGTGTCAAGAGGGATGAGAAATGGTGTGGATGGATGAAGGGGACAGAACGTGCTTTCTGGGAATTCGTCGCGCGAGGATATTTTTCATTATTTGGTAAGGTTTTACATATCTTCAAGTTGTTGTCCATGTATTGCTTGAAAGGGTCTTCAGAATCCATCAGAGCTTCTTGATGTTACTTACACACAATGTTTTCCCATTTCAGAAAGCTTTTCTTATGACCTGAAGACCCTTTTAAGCAATACATGGACAATAGCTTCGAAATCCTCTGGGAACCTTAACAAATAAAGAAAATAACCTCGCTCAACAGATTTCCAAGACTGGCGTGAATGACAATATAATAGGTCTACCCCCTTTCTTACCGTACAGCCATCTAAACATACAGCTTTGCCCGCTTCCGCTGCTTCCCCTGCTACTCCTACAAGCTCTAGGCTTGAAAGACTCTTTCAAGCGACATGGCTCCGGTGGTTCAAGTGGTGCTGGCGGCAGTATGGCTGCTCACAATGATTCTGTCTGCTGCTGTGACAACGTTCGTGACTGCTCCCCTCAGCTAAGATTTTTCGTCCATCAACGACAATAATATGGTATGGCAATCAAAGCATGGATGAAATACGCACACATCAAGTCACGAAGGAGTTTATATCACATCCACGCTTTGATAGCCATACCATGTTATTGTCGTTGATGGACGAAGGGTTTTCGCTGAGGGGAGCAGTCACGAACGTTGTCACAGCAGCAGACAAAATTATTGTGAGCAGCCATGCTGTCGCCAGCACCACTTGAACTACCCCGGCCATGTCGCTTGAAAGAGTCTTTCAAGCCTAGAGCTTGTGGGAGTAGCGGGGGAAGCAGCGGGAACGGGCAAAGCTGTATGTTTAGATGGCTGTACGGTAAGAAAGTGGGCAGACCTATAGTTCGAGCGTGGGCCTGCGATTCCAGCCACTTTCACAGACACTTGGGGAGGTTGCGACACCCTTGGGACCTCATCGCCTCGCTCCTTCAGCCATCATCAACCGCCACCTGCCTGGCATGCTCTCCAGTTTCGAGCTTGCTTGTCAACCCTCACAACAAACCGTGAGCTCCCGTGGCGTGGTTTCTCACAACGACAGCTGGCTGGCGACATCGAACTGGTTTTGGGATTTGTATAATCCATGGCTGCAAGGGTGGTCCTCTTTACGTCAGGCACTCGCGGAGTCATCCATGGATCCATCGTAAGGCACTTGGAAATCAGCGCGTGGGTTGCCTTTGAGGTCAGCCCTGCGGTCGCTGGACAAGTGGGGTCACGCCCTAAAGCCCGTTTGTGAAACATGGACCACCACCGCCATTGGTTCGACTCGAGCTCGCGCGAGATGAAATGTTTCAGCGCCTTGGCTGTGGCGTAGCCTATTTTGAGACGTCTCAAAAATGCTTCAGCGCCTTGGCTGTGGCGTAGCCTATTGGTGCGGTGAGCTCTCGTGGCTTTGCAGCTTATGGGAGAGCCCTGATTGGATGATGCTTTCCCTCTCCTAGCGACAGCTGGCCAAAAAAATGTCGACCTCATTTGTCAACACATTTATATGGTTGTCCTATAGCAAACGAATGAGTGATGTTTTTGCAGGTGCACACATAACCAGATGAAAACAATATATATATTTCTCATCTGGCCCTCAGTGCCCCTTCTAGACAGGGAGGGGCCTTTGAGATGTCTCAAAACAAATGGATAGCTACGTGTGTGTTCTGCTAAGGGAGAGATACTCACAGACTCAGTGTTTGCCTGAAGTAGCTCGCCCTTCCTCCTGCTAGCCAGTACTGGCAGCGGGGCCACCAGCCCCCCATGCTGCTCGCACCGCACGGCCCTCAGTGCACCCTCCAAACCGGGAAAACACTTTGAGACGTCTCAAACAGGAAAGGAATACTCACCGACTCAGAGTTTGCCTGAAGCAGCTCGCCTTTCCTGCTAACCAGTGCCGGCAGCGGCGCAACCAGCCCCCCATGCTGCTGACACCGCATGGCCCTCAGTGCCCCGTCTAGACTGGGCGGCGTTTGCTGGCATGCCGCTGCCCCTGCAGGTGCTGCTACCGCTGCAGGTGCTGCAGGTGCTGGTTCAGCGGAGTTGGGGATAGGCGCAGTCCGACTGGCGGCAGAAGGCGAGGCGGAGAGGAAGGAGCGCCAGAGGGCGACCCAGGAGGAGGGGATGAGTGCGTAGGGGTATCCACACTCCTCTTGCTTTTGAGGCGCCTCAGAAACAGGCTCCTGTTGCTGTGTCTTGCGAGATGCACCCAGTGGCGAAGGTGGGGAAGGAGAGGAGGGTGGAGAGGAGGAGGCGGGGCGAGGGGAAGAGATGGGGGAGGAGGGGCGCGAGGAGGGTAGAGAGGAGGGGTATGGGGAGAGGGGGGGATGGAGGGAGAGGGGAAGGGGGCGGAGGGAGAAGAGGCGGAGGAACTGTTGCCGCTGCTGCTGCTGCACGAGACTCAGTGCATCGGCCTGCTCCGCCGCCTCTGCTGCTGCTGCCACGCACACAGCACACTCTGCAGTAGAAGCTGGGAACTCCAAAGCCTGACTGTGAACGGGTTTAGGCTGAAGTAACTCCGTGCTGTGAATTTCAGCTCCAGCTGTTGGAGCGGAGTTTGGAGCCGCCTCAAAACCAGTTCCAGCTGTTTGAGCCGGGCCTTTCTGCTTCGACACACCCTTTGCTTCCTTCAGCTGTGTCACTACCTCTTCCTTCCCTTCCTTAATCTTTGTGGTTGCAGCCTCCTTGGCCTCTGCTCCATTGCTCGCTAGAGACTTCCCCTCTTCCTTACCCGTACAATGCTCCCCTTCACTCAAACTTTCCTCCTTCCTCAAACTCTTATCCCCCTCTTGCACAATCTCACTCTCCTCCCTTCCTCTCTCTTCGGCCTCTTTAACTCTCTCTTCCTCTCCTCTCCTCCTCCCCTCCTCCGCCCACCGTTTCAGCCACCCCCACACCTCCCTACTCACAACTGCCCTCCTCGCCTCCCCTCCTCCCCCCTCCGGCATCAAGCCCAGGTGCGGACAAACAATGCCGCCCAGGGGGTTGCTGTCAGCCGCGGTAGGGGCGTCAGCTTTTGTCCTCCTCAGCCAGTTGTTCAGCCTGAGTAGGCGGGGGGGGAGGGGGGGGGGGGGGGGGGAGGGGGAGGCCGGGATGGGAGGAGGCGGGAAAGGGGGGTGTTGATATGAAACGTCTCAAAAAGCCTGTTGATTAACCCAAAGGGAAAATGGGGTGGTGATAGAAACCGAAAGGTTGGGAAACTTGTGGAGGGAGGAGGAGGGAAGGGAAGGCTGGGAGGAAGAATAAGGGGTGCACACATGCACGCACTCACCATGGCTTGGAGACATAGTATCCCAGTCCCTCCAGGCCCCTTCCTTTGATGTTTTCTTCCACCAGCACTCGCACGCGCGCCCTCTCCTCCCTGTAGCTCCCAGCACTCACTGCTGCCAGTGCCTCTGCGATCAGACACTCCGAGCAGCATGCTGCCTGGGAGAGGGCCGGACCACCTTCGTACTGCAATGAGCAACAAGGTGGCAGAAACAGAAGCAAAAGCCAAGGTGGAAAGGTATAATGAAGTTGACTCCCTGCACTTGCAGCTGCCAGCGCCTCTGCGATCAGACACTTAGAGCAGCACGCTGCCTGGGAGAGGGCCGGACCACCTTCGTACTGTGGTGAAAAACAGGGCACAGAGGGTAGTCAGGAAGGGAATGAGAAACAGAGAGAGAGAAAACAAAAGCTGATTTATTTACTCAGTTGTTGACCGTAGGTGAACGTGCACTCGCAGCTGCCAGTGCCTCTGCGATCAAACACTCCGAGCAGCATGCTACCTGGGAGAGGGCAGGACCACCTTCGTACTGTGAAGAAAAGAAGGGAGTAGAAGAAGAAACAGAAATTGAAGCAGAAAGAGAAAACGAGAGGTGAGATTGTGACTTGGACTCTGTGTGCTCGCACTGCTGCGAGGGCCTCTGTCATCACATCACACGCTCGCAGCAGCACACTGCCTGGGAGACGAGCGAAAACAGCGTAAAAAAAGGGATTTGGGGACCGTAAAACGTACAGAAAGGGTCACACGTACTTGGGAGACCAGCATGGCCCATGCGACAGGCGATATTCGCTTCATGAGAGGCAGGCTGGCTTGTGGCACCAGGCCATGGGTGGGGGGTGGTGCACACACTCCTGTGCCACGCTGCTCCCACAAAGAGGGTCACACATACCTGGGAGACCAGCATGGCCCATGCGACAGGCGATATTCGCTTCATGAGAGGCAGGCTGGCTCGTGGTACCAGCCCGTGAGAAGGGCACAGGAGAGGGGTGTTGTCAATGGGACCTCTGTAGACAGGGGAAGGGAGAGATGGGAGGGGTGAGGGGAGTGAGAGGGAGGTATTGAGAGGCAGGCTGGCTCGTGGCACCAGCCCGTTAGGAGGGCACAGGAGAGGGGTGTTGTCAATGGGACCTCTGCAGACAGCGGAAACGTATGGGAAACATATAACGTGTGTGGAAAGTGGGGTGAGAGGAGTTTTGCGGCGCCTCAAATAACGTGTGTGGAAAGTGGGGTGGGAGGAGTTTTGCGGCGCAGGGAGGTGGATGGAGAAAAGAGTTTTTTAAAGAAACGTTACATATCTTTGAACTAATAGAGATTGATGTGAGTGAAAATAGCATCAATTAATAGATGGGTGAAGGTGTAAGTTCGGGAGGTGGGGAGGTGGGGAGGTGTGGAGAGGGGTGCTCCATGAGGTTGTGAGGGCGAATTTCTTACTCCAACTCAAAAAGTGGTGTTGGGAGGTGTACGGTGGTGACTCACGGCAAATCCTCGCTATCAGCCCAAGCCTTGAGCCACTCGGCGCTGATCCAAAAGAACTCCTCCTCTCCCTCCTCAGCATCGCCCTTCTCCTCTGCTTCCCCTCCCGCACCATCCGCCTCCAGTACTCGATTCCCCTCCTCCCTACGGCCGACAGGCATGAGAGACAGCACGTTTCGCACCTCACTCCTCCTCTCCTCGACTCCCCTCCTCGTTTCCTCGTCCCACCTCCTCTGCTCCTCACACTGCTGCCGAAACGCAGCATTCGCTTGAGTCACCTCGTCTAAGAGAAACCGGGGCAGACGGACATAGTCACATCCCAAGAGGAGCATTTTGTCTTTGCTACCTGCTTCCACAATGGCTTCGGATGCTTTAACAGGTGCGTCAGGCGCTTCCGCTGCAGCATCAGGTGCCCCTGTTGCTGCTTCAGGTGCTTTAACCGCCGCATCAGGTGCTTCTGCTGTTGGTTCAGGTGATTCACCAGGAGTTGCAGTGGGTTGATGTGCTTTCACATCTCCTGACTTAGCACCATTGGCACCATTAGTAGTAGTACCATCGCCTCTCACTGCTTCACCCCTACCACTCCCACTACCATCCCCTCTCAGTGGGACCCACTCACCCTCAATTGCACTAGCTGACTTTTCAAACTTCACAAACCCACTGAACCCCACCCCCTCCCCTTCCTCTCCTTCCCCAAAGCCCTCCCGCACGTATATAAGCATGTATGCATCTGCTGACGTCACCTCCTCCTCCTCCCCCTCTCCCTCCCGACCGTTCACTGCAGTCCCCCTTTTCCTGGAACCAACCGGCCCGCACACCCCACCACCACTCTCCGCACCATGCACACCGTTACAAACTGCCTCTTGCTTCTTGCTTGTCACTGCCACATGCTGAGCCAGGGACGCGGATCGCTTTTGAGACGCCTCAAAAGTCACCTCACCACCACTCTCCGCACCATGCACACCGTTACAAACTGCCTCTTGCTTCTTGCTCGTCACTGCCACATGTTGAGCTTGGGACGCGGATCGCCGTTGCCTTACAGGTGCTTTTTCAGGTGCTTTTCCAGGTGGAGCAGCAACAGAATCCGCCAGCAACGAGATCTGCTTCTTCAGAGGCGCCTTGCCAGAACCGTCAGGTGTTTCGTCAGGTGGATTCTCAGAGGCTGCGGGCTTGAGAAACGACTCAAGGCCCCGTTGTCGGCCCACTCTGCGACGCTTCTGCGGACCAAGCGAAGGTGGGTTACCCTTCTTCGCGTCTACATCATCTGATACCCGATCCAAGTCAATTGGATCAGGGTCAATCCCATCAAGGTCAATCAAATCAGGATCAGTACTGCCATGCGGGTCAATCCGATGAAGGTCAGTCCCCTCAGGGTCAGTGCTATCAAGGTCAATGGGATGAGGGTCAGTCGTTTCAGGGCCAGTCCCATCAGTGTTGTTAATTCCGTCAAGGTCAATTGGATGAGCATCACAGACATCTGAAGTCCCCTCGCTCTTCCCACCAGTCAAGTCAGTCGTATCATCAGACCCGACCGCCTTACCAGTCCCATCAGACTTATCTCTTACTGCCCCTTCCCCTGCTGCCCCTGCTCCTCCCACTTCTTCTCCTGCTGCCTCTCCCTCTCCTGCTGCCGCTGCTGCTCCATCTCCTCCTCGTGCTGCTGCCTCTTCACCTCCGCTACCACTGATCCTGCCATTCCTCTCTGCACCACCCACCACCTTATCAGCAAAATGCTTCCCTACCACTCCGGCTGACGCCCCTGCGTCATCTCCTCCTGCTGCTGCCTCTTCACCTCCGCTGCCACTGATCCTGCCATTCCTCTCTGCACCACCCACCACCTTATCAGCAAAATGCTTCCCTACCACTCCGGCTGACGCCCCTGCGTCATCTCCTCCTGCTGCTGCCTCTTCACCTCCGCTGCCACTGATCCTGCCATTCCTCTCTGCACCACCCGCCGCCTTCCCAGCCAGCTGCATCCCTACTCCTTCAGCCCCAATCTCCTCCCCCATAGCGTCCTGAGGCGCCTGAGATGCCCCCTTCTCAACGCCCTTCGCAGCTCCCTTCACAGCTGCTTTTTCCTCCCCGCCCTCTCCCATGGGGTGTCGTCCCAAGCTAGCTTCCACTGTAGCTGCTTCCACTGCACCCGTCTTCTCAACCCCCTTCCCACCACCCTTTACAGCCCCCTTGTCTGCCCCCTTCTCCGCTCCCTTTACAGCCGCCTTGTCTTCCCGGCCCTCCCCCATGGGGTGTCGGCCCAGCCGCACCACCTGCTCGTCATTGAACAACCACCACTGCCCACTCCGAACGTCTTTCACATGAGCCACATAGTGCCCGCACGACGCCTGGCTGCCCTTGTGCTGCAGAATCGCTACTAACTGGTACTTAAGACTAGGTGTAGGAGGCTCGGAGGACTTCTGACTAGGTTCCGCTGCACCTTCTCCTGTTCTTTGCACTTCTCCTAGTACTGTTTTCCCTTCTCCTGCTTCTGTTTTCCCTTCTCCTGCTTCTGTCTTTCCTTCTCCCTCTTCTTCCCCTCCTCCTCTTCCTCCCCTTCTTGCTGCACTACCTCGCCTCTTTCCCCCGCCCCATTGCCTGGACTCTTCCCCTCTATCTCCAATCCTCCTACCGCCTCGCTTCCCTACCCTTGGCTTTTCATCACCGGCAGCACACCCCCCTGCTTTACTCTCTACCCCTGCTCCTCCCACCCCTCCTCCATCCCCTTCCCCTCCTGCTCCTCTTGCTCCTCCTGCTCTCGCTGTTGGTGCTGCTGCTGCTGCTGCTTCTGCTGCTTCTTCTGCCAAAGCCTCGCTTGTTTCTTTGGAAGAGTCACCCCGAGGTTGCACCACGTACGGCGAGAGGTCGAGAGTGAGAGGAATGCGCACCCCTGAAGTCACTTTCTTCTTGCTCATGGTCTGTGTGGGGAGGCAACAACCACACATAAACAGACAGATACACAATTGCGTCCGAGTCAATCAAGAATCACCTCGTGGTTGCACCACGTACGGCGAGAGGTCGAGAGTGAGAGGAATGCGCACCCCTGAAGTCACTTTCTTCTTGCTCATGGTCTGCAGGGGCAGAGCAGCGGCGCACGCACACAGGTGCACATGAGACGATATGAGTTCTGAAACGTCTCAAGCCACGGTATTAGGTGAGAGGTGTCACTCGGGACTCGACCAGGTGAGAGGTTGAGGTTGAGAGGGATACAGCCGCCTGGTTCCCACTGCATAAGCTCATTACTTCAGCGTAAACCTACCTTAGCGTCGAACACGTAGCGCATGAGGTGCAGGTTCAGCACAGGAGGCACGCTGCGAATGCACACTCTTCTTGTGGCGTCCGTTTTCCGCCCACACTGCTTGCATTTTTTGAGTCGACTAAAAAATACGTCCGTCCGGCACCCACACTGCTTGCAGCACATCTGGTTACCACCCTAACAAGTTCATCACCCCCATTTTAACCTACCTTAGCGTCGAACACGAAGCGCATGAGGTGCAGGTTCAGCACGGGGGGAACGGTACGAATGCACACCCTCCTGGTGGCATCTGTCTTGCGCCCACACTGCTCGCAGCACATCTGGTTACCACCCTCCAGCCGCTCCTCCGCTGTGTAACGCTCAAGACACTGCTGCACAGACACACCGGCTTTCTCCCCTGCTGCCGCCGCTGCTGCTGCTCCACCCTTCATTTTGGCAGCCCCCTTCTCTGTTGCTGCTCCTCCCTTGGCCTTGCGTTTCAGAGGTCCCTTGGTCTGGGGAGACGCTGGTAGTTGTGCGGATTCCTGTGCTGGAGTGTACAGTGGTAGCTCGAGCTCATAGAAGGGAACGAGGCGGGAGGACGAGGCTGACGGCTGGCCACACTCGCAGCACCTGGTGGGGGGGGGTGGAGTGTGGTGTAGTGCGGTACGGCGTGGTGGGGTGGGGTGGGGTTAGTTGGTGATTGCCTTGCTATTCGAGCTGGTGCTGTACTGAGTGTGCAGAGGCAGCTCGAGCTCATAGAAGGGAACGAGGCGGGAAGACGAGGCTGACGGCTGCTCGCACTCGCAGCACCTGGTGGGGGGAGGTGGGGTGTGGTGTGGCGTGATGCGGTGTGGTATAATATGGTGGAAGGATGGGCTTACAACACGACTGAGCAAACAGGCAGACGTGCTAGCACATGCTTTAAGGCAAAGCAACAGAGGGTGCACGTGGCAAGCACAAGCCACTCACGTGGTCACATAGGAGTACGTCCCTCGGAACAGATGCGCCAGAAAGCCACCTGGCACCACAGGATTGGCCGCAGGAACGGAAGCTGAGGAGGAGGAGGCGAGTGAGGAGGAGAAAGAGGAGGAGGAAAGGGAGGAGGAAGAGAGGAGGGATTCTAGGAGGGAGAGAAAGAGTTTCATGAACTCTTGGCCGTCCTGCTGCACGTCGCTGTCTAGCTGAAGCACGTCCGTCAACTTTGACGGATTCACCACTGACCGGCAGCCAACCGTCAGGTTGACGAAAATGCGAGCTAACTCTAACAGGACCGGGTGCTGACGTAGCGTGACGTCATCCGTGGCGAAAAATCCGCGCAGGAAACCCGGGATTCGATATAAGCACTGGAGGATGCTGTTGATGTAGCAGGTCGCGCCGAGATTGGTCAAGCCTACGGGGGATGACATGGATTCGCGAAGCTCCGCGGAAAGATCGTCTGTATCTCGGGAAATATTAGAAATATTCCGCCATAAGCCGCGTTTGCGGAAGGTTCCAGGAAGCGGGGCGAGGCAGCAGAAACAGTTGGGGTTATCTTTTGAGTTGACTCGACAGCCATGGCAGACGGGAGACGACAAGCGGAATGCGATATCGCGTTGCTTAGATGTGACTGTAACGGTGGCTGCTATTTCCCTGCACGCACCGGCAATCAGAGTGACATTGGAAACGTCGGACATAAAAGTCGTGTCAGAGCGAGAAATTATGTTATTAAAAAAATAAAAAACAGAGGAAACAGAGAAAATGCAGGAGAGGTTAGAGCTACGGCGGGAAGTACCTGAAGGCGAGGAGAAGAGGGTCGACCGCCTCTCCCTGATCGCGCTTCTTACGCGCGCGAGAGCTGCTCGCACTGCCGGCTCGTCGCTTCATGGTGTCCGGTCAGATCGCCTAGGGAAAGGATTATTATGAAAGAGGCTTCAAGGTGAAGCTACAACAAAATATATATTAAAAATAATCTACAAGAAAAGTAATGACATCGGGTGCTTGGTCTAGTGGTATGATTCTCGCTTCGGGTGCGAGAGGTCCCGAGTTCGATTCTCGGAGCACCCCTGATTTTGCTTTTGTCCCCTTTGCTGCTTTGCGTGGGAGGATGCTCCCCTTCTTGATGGGTACTCTTTGGCAAGGATTGACAACAGAATGGGACTGTTAGGAAATTAACGAGTAATAACTTAGTCAACTTCAATCCCAGCAATCTCACATCACCATCCCCCCATTTGCTCTCCTCCCCACCTTAAATTTCCAACTCGTACGCTGTTTAGAGCTCTCCCTCTTCAACTTTCGAGTTGTATTGTACCGTATGTATCCCGCTCAGCCACGCATCTATCGCTGCATTATCACTCCTAAGATACACTCCATTACCTTTGGGTCGACGCAAAAGATACCATTCAGCACCCCACACCAGACCCATTTCCCTTGCGCCCAACCAGCTGCCTCTTCCTCGCCCTCATAGCCTGCCCCCTCAGGCACGCATCAATCGCCGCATTGTCACTCCTGATGCACTCCCTTAGCCACTGGTGCTGCTCTGCTTCTCTGCTACCATCAGCACCCCCCACCAGACCCGCTTCCCTTGCGCCCTGTCAACTTCCACTTCCTCGCCCTCATAGCCTGTCCTCTCAGGCACGCATCAATCGCCGCATTGTCACTCCTGATGCACTCCCTTAGCCGCTGGTGCTGCTCTGCTTCTCTGCTACCTCTCAGCACCCCCCACCAGACCCGCTGCCCTTGCGCCCAACCAACTGCCTCTTCCTCGCCCTCATAGCCTGCCCCCTCAGACACGCATCGATCGCCGCATTGTCACTCCTGATGCACTCCCTTAGCCACTGGTGCTGCTCTGCTTCTCTGCTACCTCTCAGCACCCCACACCAGACCCACTGCCTTTGCGCCCAACCAACTGCCTCTTCCTCGCCCTCATAGCCTGCCCCCTCAGACACGCATCGATCGCCGCATTGTCACCCCGTATACACTCCATAAGCTGCTGCTCTGCTGCCATAAGTGCCGCCTCCGCTGCTGCCCTCTGCTTCCTAAGCGTCGCCACCGCACTTAGCAAAGCGGCGGTGGACATGCTGCTGATGTCAGCTCCGGGCTCCAGGCCCGGAATCCGAACCACCAGCGGCCGAGGCTGGGCAGGTTCGGGAGGAGTCGGTGGCTCGGGAAGAGGTGGGAGGTCAGGAAGGGAGATCGGTTTGGGGTCTGAGGAAAGCGAGACTGGGTGAGTTTGAAGGACAGCATTTTGAGGGGCAGCAGTTTGAGGACCTGTCTGCTGGGAATCAGGATTGAGTGCTTCTAAAGAGGCAGGCAGAGCACTGGATGCTGGTTCCACAAAATCAGCAGCAGGCTGAGCAGGTTCGGCAACAGCAGGCTCGGCAGACTCTGAGACAGCAGGTTCAGAAGGCTCAACAGCAGCAGGTTCGGCAGAATCAGCGACAGCAGTTTCGGCAGAATCAGCAGCAGCAGGCTCGGCAGACTCAGCAGCAACAGGCTCGGTAGACTCAGCAGCGGCTGGTTCGGCAGGCTCAGCAACAGCAGGTTCGGCAGACTCAGCGGCAGCAGGTTCGGCAGACTCAGCAACGGCAGCTTCAGCAGACTCAGCAGCAGCAGGTTCAGCGGACTCAGAAACAGCAGGCTCGGCAGACTCAGCAGCGGCAGGCTCAGCAAATTTAGCAGCAGCAGGTTCAGCGGACTCAGAAACGGCAGGCTCGGCAGACTCAGAAGCAGCAGGTTCGGCAGACTCAGCAGCGGCAGGTTCGGCAGACTCAGCAGCGGTTGGTTTGGCAGGCTCAGAAACGGCAGGCTCGGCAGACTCAGCAGCGGCAGGTTCAGCAGACTCAGCAGTGGCAGGCTCGGCAGACTCAGCAGCGGCAGGTTCGGCAGACTCAGAAACAGCAGGCTCGGCAGACTCAGCAGCAGCAGGTTCGGCAGACTCAGCAGCGGCTAGCTCGGCAGATTCGGCAGCAGAAGGTCCGGCAGACCCAGCAGCGGCAGGCTCGGCAGACTCAGCAGCGGCAGGTTCGGCAGACTTAGCAACGGCAGGCTCGGCAGACTCAGCAGCGGCAGGTTCGGCAGACTCAGCAGTGGCAGGCTCGGCAGACTCAGCAGCGGCAGGTTCGGCAGACTCAGCAGCGGCAGGTTCAGCAGACTCAGCAGTGGCAGGCTCGGCAGATTCAGCAGCGGCAGGTTCGGCAGACTCAGCAACGGCAGGTTCGGCAGACTCAGCAGCGGCAGGTTCGGCCGAATCAGCAGCGGCAGGTTCGGCAGACCCAGCAGCGGCAGGCTCGGCAGATTCAGCAGCGGCAGGTTCAGCAGACTCAGCAACGGCAGGCTCGGCAGACTCAGCAGCGGCAGGTTTGGCAGAATCAGCAGCGGCAGTTTCGGCAGACTCAGCAGCGGCACGCTCGGCAGATTCAGCAGCAGCAGGTTCGGCAGACTCAGCAACAGCAGGTTCGGCAGACTCAGCAGCGGCAGGTTCGGCCGAATCAGCAGCGGCAGGTTCGGCAGACCCAGCAGCAGGCTCGGCAGATTCAGCAGCGGCAGGTTCAGCAGACTCAGCAGTGGCAGGCTCGGCAGATTCAGCAGCAGCAGGTTTGGCAGACTCAGCAGTGGCAGGCTCGGCAGACTCAGCAGCGGCAGGTTTGGCAGACTCAGCAACAGCAGGTTCGGCAGACTCAGCAGCGGTACGTTCGGCAGCATCAGCAGCGGCACGTTCGGCAGACTCAGCAGCGGCAGGTTCTGCAGAAGCAGCAGCAGGTTTGGCAGACTCAGCAACTGCAGGTTCGGCAGACTCTGCAGCAACAGGTTCTGCAAACTCAGCATCAGCAGGTTCGGCAGATTCAGCAGCGGCAGGTTTGGCAGACTCAGCAACTGCAGGTTCAGCAGACTCTGCAGCGACAGGCTCGGCAGACTCAGCAACTGCAGGCTCGGCAGACTCGGCAGCTGCAGGTTCGGCAGACTTTGCAGCAACAGACTCAGCATCAGCAGGTTCAGCAGACTCGGCAGCTGCAGGCTCGGAAGACCCAGCAACAGCACTCTCGGCAGACTCAGCCGCGGCAGGTTCGGCAGCCGCAGAAACTGCAGGCTCGACAGACTCAGCAACAGCAGGTTCGGCAGACTCAGCAGTGGCAGGCTTGGCAGGCTCAGAAGGAGCAGGTTCGGCAGCGACAGCAGCAACCGGCAGGGCAGACTCAGCAACAGCAGGGTTGGAAGCACCAGCAGCAGCACCACCAGCAGCAGCACCAGCAGCAGCAGCAGCAGCAGCAGCAGCGGCGCTCAGCTGTCTGGTGAGGCCGGCACGTGCCTGCACGGCCTTGAAGTGAGTGAAGAGTGCTGAGAGGTATGTCTGAGACGAACCCAGTAGCTGGTGGTGGGGAGGGAGGGGGGAGGGGGGAGGGGATGGGGACGGGACGGGAAATTTCAGACGTCTCGAGACAGCAGCACCACCAGCAACAGAAGCACCAGCAGCAGCAGCAGCAGCAGCGGCGCTCAGCTGTCTGGTGAGGCCGGCACGGGCCTGCACAGCCTTGAAGTGAGAGAAGAGCGCCGAGAGGTATGTCTGAGATGAGCCCAGTAGCTGATGGGGGTGGAAGGGGGGGGGAGGTGAAAGGGACGAGGGCTTTGAGAGGTCTCAAGGCAGGGACGGCCTTGAAGTGAGAGGAGTGCCGAGAGGTATGTCTGAGATGAGCCCAGTAGCTGGTGGTGGGAAGGGGGAGGAGGAAGGGGGGGGGGGGGGGGGGGGGTGGAGAGGGGATAGAGACAGGGGCTTTGAGACGTCTCAAGATTGCAGCAGCACCAGCCAGACTCCAGTCAGACCCCAGTCAGACCCCAAGGCAGTCACCTCATTTCAAGAGCGTGCAGCAGTTCGCCCTCCATCTCCTGCCTGTCACGCTCCCATGACTATGCATGCCACCTCGCTCGCCTCTGCCTACTTGCACACAGTATGTTCCCTCGAAGCCTGTCTGTCTGTTTGTGAGTCACTAAAGACTCCAAGTTCCTCACTGCAATCACCCCCCAATCTCCTCACCTCGAGTGCGTGCAGCAGTTCTCCTTCCATCTCCTGCCTGTCTCGCTCCCACGACTCTGCCGCCACGCATGCATGAGTCTCGTGCGCCGCTCAACTACATCCCAAGCGTCCTCCCACTTGAGAGCCCCACATCTCACCTCGAGTGCGTGCAGCAGCTCCCCCTCCATCTCCTGCCTGTCGCGCTCCCACGACTCTATGACTCACCAGAGGCCACAGGCATCCCAAGCAGACCCCAGGCATCTCACCTCGAGCGCATGCAGCAGCTCGCCCTCCATCTCCTGCCTGTCGCGCTCCCATGACTCTGCAGCCACCTCGCTCGCCTCTGCTGCTGCCTGCACCTCCTGTGCCGCCACCGCCGCTTCCCCTGCCAGCTGGTCGTACTCTGCAGGTAGAAGGGCGTTTAAAAAGCAGGGCATTTGAGGGATAAGAAATCAGGAGGACGCGACATGGTTGGTTCATTGCTTTGACTCAACTCAGCAGCCATTTCACTCCCTTCTGCTGCCTGCCTGCACCTCCTGTGCTGCCACCACTGCTTCCCCTGCCAGCTGGTCGTACTCTGCAGGTACAGGGTGGAAGGAATAACAAGGGCATTATAAGGGCGAGACATGGATGACCTATTGCCTTGACTCCGCAGTCACCTCACTCAATTTCGCCCACTTGCCTTGCCTTGACCTGCTGTCTGCACCTCCTGATCGCCCACTTTCCTCACTCTCGAAGTTCCCCCTGTCTCCCCTTGCCCCCCGCCCCCCTGCTCTCACCTGCTTCCAGCCGCAGCACGCTCTCAAAATGACAGGCGCACCCTCAGCGCCTTGGAGACACACTCTCCTCTCCAAGCCCAGGAACAACCTTTCCCTGCTCTCTCACCTTCCCCAGTCCTGACCACCCCTTGTCCCACTCCCTCCCCCTGCTCTCGCCTGCTTCCAGCCGCAGCACGCTCTCAAACGGCAGGCGCACCCTCTGTGCCTTGTAGACCACCCCCTGTTCCCACTCCCTTCCCCTTATCCCACCTGCCTCTGCTCACCTCGCCCTGCTCTCACCTGCTTCCAGCCGCAACACGCTCTCAAACGGCAGGCGCACCCTCAGCGCCTTGGAGACCAGCTCCTCCACTTCCCTGTCGGGGAGGAGCTGAGAGGGGGGAAGGGCAAGGAGGGAGGGAGGGAGGGAGGGCGGGAAGGAAGGAGAGGAGCGGTGTGGTGAGTAAACAAGTGTCTTTCACATGGCAGGCGCACCCTCAGCGCCTTGGAGACCAGCTCCTCCACTTCCCTGTCGGGGAGGAGCTGATGGGTGGGGCAGGGGAAAGGAGGGATGAAGGAATAGGGGTGGTTTCTGAGTGCAATCTCTTAAAGAGAAGTGTCTTCATAAGTGTTGAAACCAGTGCATCGCCCAGCCATCCAACCTCTACCGTCTGTACATGTTGTTCGACGGCTACCATTCCATCATTGCGAGAGTTTCGGTGAGCTTAGATCACACACATCAAGCCACCTGAAGAGTCCCAACTCACTCACATTGAGCTCCAGAGGCAGCTCGGAGTGAAGGAAGTGCAGACAGTACCGGCGTCTTCAAGTGCTGTGTGTGCACTGAGGCAATCACCGTCACTCACTTACTCACTCACTCACTCACATTGAGTTCGAGAGGCAGCTCGGAGTGCAGGAAGTGAAGACAGTGCAGGAAGCTAAGTGACCATATACGCGTTTAGCGTATATACGCGTGTCGTATATACGCTCGCGTTTATACGCTATACGCAGAGGTCCCGAGACCCTCGATACGCTATTTCGGGCAGGTTTTAAAAAAGTTCGGGCAGCTAAATTTTGACCCCCCTGATATACTTCTGGGGTCAGTTTCCACAGGGGTTGGATTTCCCAGATTTTTTTCCCGACTCAAACTTATTCACCACCAACATTACAATGACACATACTCATCTCATACTACTACCACACATACTACTACTCACGCTACTCCATCAATAACGCCACCTACTCATACTCATCCTCCAGAATGTCGTCTTCCCCCTCCTCCTCCTCCTCGTCCCCCTCCACCACATTGTAGCCCTCGGGCACGGGAGGCTCCGGCATGTTTCCGAGCACCACACCCGGCATGACATCTGCACGGGAATGCCACTTGCGCACAACGTTCCAGTTGTGCGCAACAAAAACCAAATCCCGGCACTTGGCAGAGCCAAGCCGGTTCCGGCGGGCCGTGTGCACCCCCTCCCACGTTGACCATCCCCTCTCACATGGTGAAGCTGACACGGGCTGAGAGAGAGTCCTGATGGCGAGGGCCGCCAGCTTTGGTGCGTCAGTGCCGTGCCACTGCCACCACTTTACCATGTCATACTTGCCCTCCTTGACCAAGTTCCTCTGAGCAATTGCATCCCCCATCCCGAAACTTCCCTTCATATCCAGAAATGCCCTCACCCCGTCCTGCAGTTCCATCAAAACCTCCCCAATGTCATCCCCATCTTCCCCCTCCTTCCCGTGATTGCAAAGGTGCTCGGCGTGCTGAGTGATGAAGGCTTTGAATACCTTTGTGCACTCCGCGTCTGAGCCGAAGATGTCCTCATCCTGGTTCGCCGGGTTGAGAATCCGCCCCGCAACGTGCATGGGGCAGGCGAGGCTGCCGTCCCACCTGTCCCTCAGCAGGCGGCGGATCTGCACCTTGTCGGAGTGGGAGAGCTGCTCCTCATCCTCCTCCACCACTGTCCCCACATCCTCGGTCAACTGCAACATAATGTCATACATACGGCCCATGATCCCCTTGGCATCCGCATCGGTCTTACGCATTGCGAAGAACGGGAGCTTCATCAACTTGCAGAAAAACTCCGCCGTCTTCCACCACGCGTCATCAAGAATTTGCGCTGCAAATTTCTCCGCAGGCTTCTTCCTGTCCCCAACTGCCCAGCCCTTCCACACATCAGACACCACCATCTGTGCAAGCGACTGCCGCAGCTGACAGAGACGGGACACAACAATGTATTGTGTCCCGAATCTGGTTCCCGCCGGTTTCAGCGCCTGCAGCATCCTTGCACCCACCATTTGCGGGTTCCGCAAGTATCCCCTCGTCCAGTGGTGGTTGCGGACGAAGGAGCTGATATCGCCCGCAGGGTCCACCACATTCTTGGCCCACGGCATCTTGCCGACGTCCTCCATGAAGAGGTCCAACACGTGGGTGCCGCAGGGCACGTGTTGAATGTGCGGCCATTCCGCGATCAGTTGGTTGCACGCCACTGCGTAGTTGGACCCCCCGTCCGTGCAGAACGCCACCACGTTCTCCGGTCCGACCTCCTCCACCACGGGCCTGAGGATGCTGGCGACGTAACCGCCGGTCTTACTCTCCATGCGGCAGTCCACGCAGTCCTTGAACACCGCGCCACTCTCGTTGACGAGAAACACGTTCGCCTGGGGGCGACCGTTCTTATCGGTCATCATGTCAGAAGAAATTTTCACGCCGGTCCGCTTCCAGCTCGCCTTCACTCCAGAAAGCCCCCTGTCGATGCTGTCGCAGCACAGTCGCAAGCCCGCCCCGCCGATGAACCCCTTCTTTGGTGGGACGTATCCTGTGCCGGCGTCCCGAATGGCACAAACGGCGTTGATGAAGAGCGGGTGATCCGCGACGCGCTCAGGGATGCGACACCCCGCGAACATGAGCGCCAACGCCTCATGTGCTTCGCGCTTCCCAGCTGCCGCATCCGTCTCCAAGTAGTCAGTAATGCGGCTCCTTTTGCCGCTGCTGGTAACCGAGGCAATGGCATCCGATGTCGCCTCGCGGCGCAAAGCCGCCGCTGCAGCCTTAGCCTCGTATTTCTTCCGCATGGCCGCCCGCGCTTCAGGGGGGGCTTCCTTGCATAGCGCCACTTCGCGGCGCTTCATCTTCCGCCAACTCGCCAAGTGCTGCGCGCAGCGGATGGCGGCACCAGAAAAAACTTTGCAGCAGTACCTGCACTCGTACTGCTGCGATTTCCCCTCGTCCACCTTTATGCGGCGGAAATGCTTGAACACCTCGTGGTCGACATCTGGAAGGTAAACTCGCGTCGCACGATCAGGACTGGCCGTGCCGGTATCAGGAGGGGGAGTGGGCTGGGTCGGGTTAACAACTGCAGAAGCCATTCTAAGGAGCTCTGAACAATGACGGGAGGATGAATTGACGAGAGAGAATTATACCTGCTTGTAGCGTGGGATTTGTTGGTGGGAACAAAGTTGGATTGGAGGGAGGTTGTAGATCGAGAGCGGTTGAAATGGGTGGAACCCCAATGTGAAATGTCAAGGACATCGCGACTCCAAAGACTGGTGCCACGTAACCCAACTCACAATCCCGGCGCCGCGAATTGAAAGCACGGAAACAAACCCACCTCCACACATTGAAGGCACGTCCAGGCCAGGGTAGACCTCGGACGTGCATTTCGAGCACGGCATCTTCTTCGCCGTGAAAAGACGGAACTTTCTAGATATACTCGAAAATTTTCGATTTTGGGCAGCCCAAAAAAAAACCCCCGAGCGTATTGCGTATTCGTTAGCGTATAGCGTTTTGCGTGTATACGCAAGCGGATAAACGCTATACGCTTAAAGGCAAAAGCGTTTTTGGTCACCTAGGCAGGAAGTGCCATATGTAACGTTTTTTAACTCTGCAGCAAAGCAATCACTCACATTGAGTTCCAGAGGCAGCTCAGAGTGCAGGAAGTGCAGGCAGTAGTCGAACTCTGGACACAGCATCAGCTGACGCCGGGTGACCTGAATCATGAGAGAGAGGGGAGCGAGCAGGCAGAGGGGAGAGGAGAATGGGAGTAGGAAGAGGGAGGAGGCACGGGAGAAAGAAGAGGAGAAAAGAGGAGGTCGATGGATCAACAACGTCAAGTTCCAGAGGCAGCTGAGAGTGAAGGAAAGGAAGTGCAGACAGTAGTCGAACTCGGGACACAGCATCAGCTGACGCCGGGTGACCTGGGGGAGGGGAAGAAAGGGGAGAAGTGAATGGGAGTAGGAAGAGGCAGTGGGGGACAACTTTGGAGGCGCCTCAAAAGAGGCAGTGAGAGGCGAGGGAAAGAATGCAAGAAAAAACAACTGCATGTAGATTTTTAGCCGGTTTGAGTTGCTTCAAAATTCGTACCTGCAGCAGCACTATTGCGAGCTTGAACACGACTGACATGGTCTTCTCAGCTGTAGATGTGGGCAGGACGGGAGCACAAGCACGAGAGGAAGGTATGAGTGGAGTGGAGTGGAGTGGAGTGGAGTGGAGTGGAGTGGAGTGCATAAGATGCGTGTTGCTTCGAAGAGCACGAGGCTCAAGACACGCATGAGACATGCAATAGGAACATACCGATGTCAAACACGCGGTGCACGAGGTACTGGGGCATGTGGCGAGCACAGGGCATATTGCATTCATCCAGCACACGAAGCACAAGCAAGAGGGACAAGGCATCTACCCAGCACAATGTCAAACACGCGGTGCACGAGGTACTGGGGCATGTGACGGGCGAAGCGCATACATTGCATACAAGGCAATGGGCGCGGGTTGCATTGCAACCAGCAACACACAACACGAGGCACCTACCCAGCACAATGTCAAAGACACGGTACACGAGGTACTGAGGCATGTGGCGGGCGAAGAGGACACATCACATTGCATACACCCAGCTCACATCACAAGGTGCAAGCAAGAGGGGCAAGGGGCGTACCCAGCACAATGTCAAAGACGTGATACAAGAGGTACTGAGGCATGTGGCGGGCACAGGGCACACACTGCGTACAAGGCAAAGCGCTTGTTGCACCCACCAATGCACCAGGCACAAGGCATGAGGCACAACACACGAGCCACGCACCCAGCACAATGTCAAAGACGCGATACACGAGGTATTGAGGCATGTGGCGGGCGAAGAGGGAGAGCAGCCAGTCCGCTGCATACATGCTCTGGTGGAGGAAGAAGAGGGTAGGGGGGTGGGGGGTGGAGAAGAGGGAGGTAAGGAAGGGGAGCGGCATGCGGCGGGCGAAGAGGGAGAGCAGCCGGTCCGCTGCATACATGCTCTGGTGGAGGCCGGGTGGAGGAAGGCAAGGAGGAGGCAGGGGAGGGTGGAAAGGGAGAGGCGGAGGAGAGAGGAGAGGGACGTAATGAGGGGGAACAGCAAGTGGCGGGCGAATAGGGAGAGAAGCCAGTTTGCTGCATACATGCTCTTGTTGAGAGGCATGGGATAGAGGGCAGTGGAGTAGGAAAGGGGCCAAGAAGAATGTGGAGAGGATTTATGCAAGCCTCCTAGACCAACCAGTTACCAGTTAAGTCAACTCACACCCTCAAAGAAGGAGTGCACGCGAGGCGAGTATTTTATAGTCGACTCAAAGGTCTACCAGTCAAGTGAGGCCCTCAAAAGAAGGCGTGCAGGCGAGGCGAGTAAGTAGGACTGGACAAGCCAACACATATGCAACACAAGTTCATGTGAGTCAACTCAAGTCAAGTCAAGTAAAGATCAATGGGCTCACGGGTTTGAGCTGCAGGACCTTGAAGAAAGAGAGTGTAGGCGAGGCAAGTAAGAGCAGACAACTCAACACAAAGGCAACACAAAACATAGATAGTCAACTCGAGCCCGTTCCGGTCAACTCAATTCAGCGCAGCGGACTCACTGGTTTGAGCTGCAGGTCCTCAAAGAAGGAGTGCAGGCTAGGCGTGGACTCAAGTCAATTGAAGTCAATGCAAGTTAACTCAAGTCAATGTGAGTCAACTCACTGGTTTGAGCTGCAGGTCCTCAAAGAAGGAGTGCAGGCGAGGTGTTGACTCCGCCAGGAACTGGGAGAGCTGCGAGAGACGCGTGTTGAGCTGGAGGAAGGGGGGGAGGGGGAGGGGGAGAGCAAAGGAGGAGAGGTGGTATTGAAAGTTGAACTGGGAGAGGTGAGTGGTGAGCAGGAAAGGGGAGAAGGAGGAGAGGGGGAGAGAGACTGCTAACACTACACCCATTCAGCGTGTGTAAGTGCCATATTTTCTCTCTCTCTCTCATCTCCCACCTGGTGCATGTTGGGTGCAAAGAGCCCGCGGAGGCCGCAGCGGTGCATGAGGAAGAGGAGGGAGAGGAAGGCGTCCTCCTCCGCCATGAGGGAGAGCAGAGTGAGCGCCATCCACGCCATGCCGCTGCAGTACCACGTGTCCGGGTCACACACCTGAAGGGGGGGGGGTGGTATGGGGAGGGAAATGGGAGAAAAGGAGGAGGGGGGGAGTGAAATACAAGGCTGGAGAGCGGAAGGAGAGGGGGCCACCTCGTGCTCCTGCAGTTCCATGTCCCTTGGGACCACCAAAACACCTGAAGGGGACGAGGGGGAGAGGGGGGAGGAGAGGCGGTGCATGAGGAAGAGGAGGGAGAGGAAGGCGTCCTCCTCCGCCATGAGGGAGAGCAGTGTGAGCGCCATCCACGCCATGCCGCTACAGTACCACGTGTCCGGGTCACACACCTGGGGGGGTTGGGGGGGATTGGGGAAGGAAGGAAGGGGAGGGCGAGGAGAGCAGCGAATGAGGGAGAGCAGAGCAGTGTGAGCGCCATCCACCCCATGCCGCTGCAGTACCACGTGTCCGGGTCACACACCTGAGAGAGAGGGGAGGAAAGGGGAGTGGGGGGAAGGATGAAGGAGGAATGAGATATGGGGGTGGAAAGAGAAGGAAGAAAAAACCACACCATGCCACTGCAGTACCACGTGTCCGGGTCACACACCTGAGGGTGAGAGGGGGGATGGGAGGGGAGTCGGGGGAGAGAGAGGAAAGGGAAGGGGAGAAAAGTGGGAGAGGTAAAGGGGTTAGAAGGGGAGAGAGGCCAAGGGCACTGAAGGAGTCTCGGACTTTAATATAAACTGACCAATGGCCCACCTTTGGGCAATTCTGCGCCCACAATTCACGGAGTATGCTTTGATGAGGTTCAGCAGCGACTGGTGTAGAGCTGCGTCCTCCTCTCCTCACTCAGCCCATCCTCCACCCCCACCACCACCACCACCACCACCACAATACTCACACCTTTGCCACGAGTATTATTTACAAGGAAATGTACTGCAGAACCCCCAGTGGAAATGACATGTGTGTGATGGATGGATGGATGGATGGATGGATGGATGGATGGATGGATGGATGGATGGATGGATGGATGGATGGATGGATGGATGGATGGATGGATGGATGGATGGATGGATGGATGGATGGATGGATGGATGGATGGATGGATGGATGGATGGATGGATGGATGGATGGATGGATGGATGGATGGATGGATGGATGGATTGGATGGATGGATGGATGGATGGATGGATGGATGGATGGATGGATGGATGGACCGTCGTCAGCTCACAGAGTATGCTTTGATGAGGTTCAGCAGTGACTGGTGTAGTGCTGCGTCCTCCTCTCCTCACTCAGCCCATCCTCCACCCCCACCACCACCACCACCACCACCACAATACTCACACCTTTGCCACGAGTACCACTGACAAGGAAATGTGCTGCACTGCCCCCAGTGGAAATGACATGTGATGGACCGTCGTCAACTCACAGAGTATGCTTTGATGAGGTTCAGCAGTGACTGGTGTAGAGCTGCGTCCTCCTCACTCAGCCCATCCTCCACCCCCACCACCACCACACTCATGCCTTCCCCACCAGCATCAGCAGCAGCAGCATCGACAGCAGCAGCAACAGCGGCAGCGGCAGCAGCAGCGGCAACAACGGCATCGGCATCGGCAGCGTCAGGAGCAGATTCAGCAGCAGCAGCAGCAGCAGCAGCAGCAGCAGATGCGATCTGTGCTGCTTCCCGAGCCTGCCTCTCTGCTGCAGCAGCCATCAGCTTAACCACTTTCTCAGCAGCCACAGCAGCAGGGGCGCGCTTAGCGGAGAAAGCTATAGAGGGTACAGATGCCCCGTTGCCTGATGCTGCTGCCGCTGCGTCCTGCTCACCCTCCTGGTTACCCTCCTGCGCTTTCTCCTGGTTGCTATCGCTGTGCCATTTCTCCTGCTGCTGCTGTTGCTGTTGCTCCTGCTGCTGCTGTTGCTTCAGGTGGAGTGCTTGGGCCTGCTTCTCCCTCCACTCCAGCACCACACAGAGTGTGTCACGGTATACCTCTCTGGAGGGGCGGGAGAAGCGGAAGGAAGGGGAGGAGAGAGGAATTAAGGGGAGGAGAGAGGAAGGAAGGGGAGGAGAGAGGAAGGAATGGGCGGAGCAACATGATAGAGAGGAGACAAAGAAGTGAAGGGAGGAAGACAGAGAAGCTAAGGGGAGGAGAGGAGAGGGAGGCGAAGCAGAGGAGAGAAAGAGTTAGTGGATGAGATGAGAACATACGCAGTGGGAGGTGAAAATCACTTTTAAGAATTCTCAAAAGCAGAGGAGAGAGAAAGAGCTTGTGGATGAGATGAGAACATACGCAGTGGGAGGTGAAAATCACTTTTAAGAATTCTCAAAAGCAGAGGAGAGAGAAAGAGCTTGTGGATGAGATGAGAACATACGCAGTGGGAGGTGAAAATCACTTTTAAGAATTCTCAAAAGCAGAGGAGAGAGAAAGAGCTTGTGGATGAGATGAGAACATACGCAGTGGGAGGTGCAGAGGCAGCTCGCTCCTTGAGCTGCGAGTAGCTGGTGCGGTTGATCAGGTCGTCCTGGTGTGGGGAGCACGGAGGGGAAAGGCGGATAGTAGGGAGTGAGGAGCGAGGAAAGGACAGACTTAGAACGAGGAAGGCTCAGCAGAAGCTCGCTCCTTGAGCTGCGAGTAGCTGGTGCAGTTGATGAGTTCGTCCTGGTGTGGGGAGAGGAGAGTGAGGCAATGGGAAGGGAGGGACGGATAGTAGGGAGAGGAGTTGGAAAAGGGGGAGGCTCGGCTCAGCAGCTTGTAGCTGGTGCGATTGATTAGGTCGTCCTGTGAAATTAGAAGTGTTTTGAGACGTCTCAGCTCAGCAGCGTGTAGCTGGTGCGATTGATAAGGTCGTCCTGTGAAATTAGAAGTGTTTTGAGACGTCTCAAAACACTTCTAAGTTCACGAGGCTCAGCTCAGCAGTGTGTAGCTGGTGCGATTGATAAGGTCGTCCTGGTAGAGAGCAGGTGGGGAGAATAAAGACATCAGGAAAACACAACTACTAGTTTCTCATTAAAGGACATATGAAAATGAGGAACTAGAGGGAACACTAAAACAGCCAATCACGGGATACATGACAACAGAGATTTGCCAAGAAAGTTGCAGAACGACGGTAATGAATGACTGCGGATGATGACGCAGGTAGGCATTGGTGTGGGGTGGGTACAGTGCCTTTTGAGACATCTCAAAAGTGGTCTTTCGAGACGTCTCAAAAGTCAGAACGACGGTAATGACTGACTGACTGCGTATGATGACGCAGGTAGGCATTGGTGTGTGGGGTGGGTGCCGTGCAGGCCTCGACTCGACTGTTTGAGTGTGAAAGACAAGTTGTTTGCTTGCTTAAAGCATGCCGTACGTACCTCAGGTTCGGAATGTGCCATACCTCAGGCCCATACCTCAGGCTCACGGTCGGAGCATGCCATACCTCAGGGTCGGAGACGCCATACCTCAGGGTCGGAGACGCCGTACCTCAGGGTCGGAACACGCCATGGCAATCCAGGAGGGGCCTCTCTGGTCGGCAGGAATGAGTCCAGCCGAGAGCGACTGGCTCAGGTGGCTGCGATGACACGCCTGGTGGCAGACAAGGGGAGATGGGAAAGGGGAAGATAATCAGACCACTTGAGTGCAACACGGCAATCCAGGAGGAGGCTCTCTCTCTGGTCGGCAGGAATGAGTCCAGCCGAGAGCGACTGGCTCAGGTGGCTGCGATGACACGCCTGGTGGCAGACAAGGGGAGATGGGAAAGGGGAAGATAATCAGACCACTTGAGTGCAACACGGCAATCCAGGAGGAGGCTCTCTCTCTGGTCGGCAGGAATGAGTCCAGCCGAGAGCGACTGGCTCAGGTGGCTGCGATGACACGCCTGGTGGGGGTGGGAGAGAGGAGGGAGGGAAGGGGGGAGGGATGCGCAGGGAGGAGATAATCAGACAACATGAGCTGGTGGTCCCTTTCAGTCAGTGGAGGGAGGGGATGAGTCCAGCCGAGAGCGACTGGCGCAGATGCCTGCAATGACACGCCTGGTGGGGGTGGGGTGGTGACGGGGGAGAAGGAAGGGGAGGGGTACGGGGGGAGCAATGCGTCGCCTTTTTTAGGCGTCCTTAAAAGATATAGTAGAGTCAGGTCCTTAATATCCAGCCAATCGTCCTCCTCCTGACCCATTCCTGCCCCCTTACTATAGAAACTAAACCCATACTATGGAGACCTGGATCCGCGTGTAGTAAATCGATTTTTGAGTCGACTCAAAAATCAACTTACTACCTGCCCCCTTACTATAGAAACTAAACCCATGCTATGGTGACCTTTTATTCTATCCTGAATGACCAGACCCACCTCTGGAAGAAACGCGCTGTTACCACCACCAGCGTCAGCAGCATCATGATAAGTTGTTTTGAGACGTCTCAGCGTCAGCAGCATCATGATAAGTTGTTTTGAGACGTCTCAAAACAACCTTCCATATCCTGAATGACCAGACTCACCTCTGGAAGAAACGCGCTGTTACCACCAGCAGCGTCAGCACCAGGCAGCAGCAGCGGCAGCAGAGGAGGGGTTGTTGGGGATAATGCGCTTCATCCTCTCCCACACGCGAATCATCCTCTGCCCACCCGTTGTCGCCGCCTCTGCTGCTACCTCGCCTGCCTTTCACATTTTTGTCGTTTCTCTTGACATCTTGACCCATACTCTTTCCACCCTTCACATCAAATCCTGACTCACCTCTGGGAGGAATTCGTTGCTGCTATTGCCACCACCACCAGCGGCGGCATCAGAAGCAGCAGCGGCAGCAGAGGAGGGGTTGTTGGGGATGATGCGTTTCATCCTCTCCCACACGCGAATCATCCTCTGCCCGCCCGTTGTCGCCGCCTCTGCTGCTGCCTTGGCCGCCCTCTCCCCACTCGACGCACGCCGGGCTGTGGAAAAGGGGGAAAGGAGGGAGAGAGTGAGGTCGAATCGAAAGCAAGCACCAATCATCTCCCACGGGGCTTCTTCCAATCAAACGAGAAACCTTAAAAGTGAAACCAACTGTCTGCTGGCTCCGAAATGTGGTAAGCTAAGGGGCTTTCAGGATGGGCACATGCCAGCAGCAGTAGAACCAGCAGCAGTAGAACCAAGCACCAGCAGCAGCAGTAGCAGTATCAGCGTGGCCCCAGTCAGTCACATCACATCATCCACACCACCGCAGAATTCCTGAGGCGCCTCACAACTTGAGACATCTCAAAACTCAGTGACTCAGTCACATCACATCATCAATAGCAGCAGCAGCAGCAGCAGCAGCAGCAGCAGCAGCAGTTTTTGAGTCGTCTCAAAAGTCGTCTCAAAAGTCTTCTCAAAAGTCGTCTCAAAAGTCGTCTCAAAAGTTGTCTCAAAACTCAGTGACTTAGTCACATCACATCATCCATAGCAGCAGCAGCAGCAGCTTTGCTGGAATCTGGCGAAGCAGCATCCGAAAGGAGCAACACTGGTTGATGGATGGGCTTACAGAATGGGTCAGCGCCAGCAGCGGTAGAATCAGCAGCAGCAGGACCAGCAGCCGCCACAGCTGCAGGTGCAACAGCAGCAGCAGCAGCAGCAGCAGCAGCAGCAGCAGCAGTCGAGGTGCTCTCACCAGGGGTCTCAAGGAAACCAACAACACAACACAAGACTGGTGGATGGGCATGGGCTTACAGAATTGGTCAGCGCCAGCAGCAGCGGTAGAATCAGCAGCAGCAGGACCAGCAGCCGCCACAGCTGCAGCAACAGCAGCAGCCGTTGCTCTGCCAGTGCTTGAACCACCAGCACCAAACACACCACTGACACCACCAATGCCACCAGTGCCACCAGAGCCACCAGCAGCATCACCACCAGCACCAGCAGCGCCATCAACGGAAGCAGATGCAAACTCAATTGTAGCACTGCCGGAAACCACACCACCCTCCTCCTCCTCCTCGTCCTCCTCACCAATCCCTCCCTCCCCTCCACTCTTAACCCTGCCCATTCTCCTCCCTTCCATCACCGGACCACCATGCACCCGCGTAGACTGGGACACCTGCAAAACCGCCCTATTTTCGTACAGACTTTCCCCTGATCCATCAGGGGCAGAGCTCTTTTTGCGTCGAAGTTCCCCCTTGGCAGCGGCAGCAGCAGTGGCAGAGGCAGCAGCAGAGGGGCGGGTCTTGAACTGAGGCATTTCAACGTCTAGCTTGGCTTGGAGCATGGCTGCTGGGTCGTTGGTTGGCGCCCACACGGCCCTGCTGCTGGCTGCTGCTAAAGAAAAGGGTGAATGGGAGGGGGGGAAGAAAATTGGGGAGAGGGGAGGGGCAGCAGCAGGGGGACGGGACTTGAACTGAGGCATTTCAACATCGAGTTTTGCCTGGAGCATGGCTGCTGGGTCGTTGGTTGGCGCCCACACGCTCCTGCTGCTGGTTGCTGCTGGAGAGAAGGGGCGAGAAGGGGGAAGGAGACGTGGGGACTCGAAAATGCACTCACCAGCAGCGGCAGCATTGGGTGTGCCTTGAAAATGCACTCACCAGCAATGGCAGCATTGGGTGTGCCTTGAAAATGCACTCACCAGCAGTGGTAGCATTGGGTGTGCCTTGAAAATGCACTCACCAGCAGCGGCAACAGTGGGTGTGCCTTGAAAATGCACTCACCAGCAGCGGCAGCAGTGGGTGTGCCTCCGCCTTTCTTCTTCTGCTGCTGCTGGGCCGCCACCAGCTCGTTCTGACGCTCAATCTGCCACAGGAAGGGGAAGGGTGAGAGCGCAGGTGGAATGACTGAGAATATCTTACTCACGTGCAGCAGCAGCAGCAGTAATTACTCCCTCAGCGAACTCACCTAGCTAAGATGAAACGTGACTCACGTGCAGCAGCAGTATCTCTTCCCTCAAATACTACATCCACTCTCTATGTGCCTCAAACGAATAGAGCATAGAGCAGATGCTATGAGAGGAGATAAGCTCAGAAAAGCTCTCACTCACATGCAGCAGCAGTATCTCTTCCCTCAAATACGACATCCACTCGTGCCGAGCAGCCATCGCAAACAGTGCCTCCTTCTCCTCCTCGCTCACCCCTCCCCTCTCCCCTCCCCTCTCCCTCCCATCCTCCCCTCCCCCTCCTCCGCCTCCCCCTGTCCCCCTCCCCACGCCCCCGTTGGCCCCTCTTCCCCGCCCGCCCTCCCCACCACTAGCACCACCACCACCAGCAGTGCCAGTGTCTCGCCGGCGCACTATACGGATGTCATTCCCTGCCAGCAGCGTTGTGAGAGCGTCTGTGCCACTGACTGTGCCCGTGTTGATTGTGGGACGAGTAACTGGATGGATGGGGGTGAGGGAGGGTAGAAGGAGGAGAGGGATAGTTGAAGCGCTTAAAAAAACACCACCAGCACCAGCAGCAGCACTAGTACCAGCACCACCACCACCACCAGCAGCACCACCACCACCACCACCGCCAGCAGCAGCAGCAGTGGCAGCGTCTCGGCGGCGCACTATACGGATGTCATTGCCTGCCAGCAGCGTTGTGAGGGCGTATGTGCCGCTGACTGTGCTGGTGTTGATTGAGGGACGAGTAACTGGATGGATGGGGAGAGAGGAGAGCCTCAAAATCCACCCGTACACCCACTCTCACCCCCTCCCCTCTCTCCCCCCCGCCCCCTATTTCCGGGGGGAGTTCCGCCATGAACTGTATGGCTCTCATGAACACGCTCGCCCCTTATTTCCGGGGGGGTATGGCGCTCATCAACACGCTCCGCGCTTACACCCCTCCCCCCTTTCCCCCCATCCCCCCCAATCCCCCCACTTCCCCACCTTCTCTGCGGATCTCCGGGGGTGGTTCCGCCAGTATTGCGCTCATGAACACGCTCCGCGCCTACAACCCTTCCCCCCCTCTCCCCCTCCCCCCCATCCCCCCATGTCCGCACCTTCTCTGCGAATCTCTGGGGGAGGTTCCGCCAGTATTGCGCTCATGAACACACTCCGCGCCTGCCCCCACAGGTTCCCCTCCTGCCGCCCCGCGCCTCCGCCCGCGGAGCCATGTCTGGGGACGGGGGGAGGTGCGCGCGGGGAAGGGGGAATCCCGGGTGGAGAGTGGAGAGGGGGGGAAGGATGGGGGGGAGGGAGGGCAGGGAGGGTTGAGGAGGGAGGGGAAGGGAAGGTCAGAGAAAGGTAGGTTATGGTAAAGGGAGGGGAGTGGGAATGGGGGTAGGTGGCGGGAGAGGGAGTGGAGGGGAGGGGAGAGCAAGTGGGAGGTGGATAGAGAAGAGGAGCCGGCGGGAATGGCGGGATGCACGGTAACGTCAGATAGTGTGTCAGATAGTGGGTCAGATAGCATGTCAGATAGTGTGTCAGATTTAGTGTCTGCTAGTGCCATGATTGACACTTAAACTGGCACAATGTCAGACACAATGACTGACATGACACTTGAACTACAATGTCTGATGTCAGTCACAATGTCAGCTACAGTGTCACATACATCAACCGACACGACACCGTGACTGACACAATGACCGACACAATGACCGACACAATGTTAAACACATCGTTCGAGACTCAGCGTCCCGTGGGTGCTTCAAGCGTCACATTTAAGAGTCTCAATGCCCTTGGCTACCCATGCCGCAATGGCGAATATATTCAGATTTGAGGCGCCTCAGAAGTCGCCATGTCGCAACGCAACGGCGTATATATTCAGACACTTGAATACAGAGTGGGGGTCACGAGCGACGAACATAAGGACTGTTATGGGAGACCAGATGGAAGGAACCGCGAAGAGGCTCGGAAATGAGGCCCTGCTAGCACATGTTTTTAGAGAATTCTCAAAAACACCCTGAACATAGGGAATGCCATGAAGACCAGAAGGAGAGAAGCGCGTAGAGGCAAGTCAATGAGGCTATGCTAGCACATGTCATAACCGAGGAAGCTCGTAAGACAACTAGGGTTGAGCTCCTAAGACGAGTTCGACGCATCCTTACGTCATTCCTATTGCCTACCTCTGGTGATGCCTTCCGTCCATGGCGGTTAATCAATGTCAGAAATGTGGGAAGAGATACAGACGCTGAGCTCAACTTTCACATAATATTATGTGTACTTACTCGAGAAAAACAGCTCTCATAGCTCAGTTGGTTAGAGCACCCGTTTAGTAAGCGGGAGGTCTTGAGTTCAACTCTCAATGAGAGCAAAGAATTTCTCTTCCTGTTTTTCATCTCTGCTTAGTTCATCTCTTCTTAGAAGTCCTTGTCTTGCTCTCATCACTAGTGATTCACAAGTGCTAGACGTGCTGGTCTGTCTTGTCGTGGCGAAATCAGGGAGCTGTTCAGTAGGCACTCAGCTCCGAGTGGGACCAGCTTGAGTGGCGGAGAAATTATATTTAGAGGTTTGCAGCCTTCAGTGCACGTGGTTGGGAGAGGTGTAAGGAAGGGAATGGAAAAGTGGAAATGCTGGATTTCTTGACGAGTGTTTCCGTGTAATTTGGAGAGGCGGATGATGTTTGCGGGCTATGCAATGTCATCACATTATTGTGGGATGCGATTTTGTGCCTTTTAGGACAGCTCTGATACACTTTATTACTTTTGGGTAGGGTTTTGAGCGCGAACGAGATCATATGACACGCCCTCAATAACTCCGGCTTTTATGTTTATGAAGTGAAAAGTAGAGTTTCTCCAATTGAAGCAAAGGTGCTAAACAATCTTTAATTTTAAAATACGAAATTGTATAAAACAGCTCTCATAGCTCAGTTGGTTAGAGCACCCGTTTAGTAAGCGGGAGGTCTTGAGTTCAACTCTCTATGAGAGCATGATCAGCGCTGTGCATGTCATTTTAATAGCATCATTTTGCTTACAGCACAGAACACCTCCAATTTTCTAAGCAGGTACATTTGCACCCCTATGCTGTGCATACCCCTTTTGGAGGCGAAAGTAGCAAGAACTATAATGTCCCTGCTCCCAGTAGTAATCAACTTACTTGCAAGACCTGTACATGTAACATTCACAGCACCTGTCCATCAAACCAGTCACGGTATAACTGCCGGATGAGCAGCAAATAGTGGATTTGGAGGATGTGGCAGAGGCATAGAAGAGGAAACGGTAAGAACATGAGGAGGAAGAGGGGCGAGGGGAGGAGTGCGAGGAGGAGCGACAGGAGGAGCAAGTAGAGGAGGAGGGAGGAAAGTGCGGGGGGGAGGAACACAGAGGAAGCTCATCACGCCTTCATGCATCCAACTCTCCAGCCTATCAGATCCTGCCACATCATGTCTCTCCGCGTGCCTTCCCACCACATGTCTTGCCTCAATCATGCCGCCACCGCCGCCGCTGCTGCTGCCACCGCCGCCGCTGTTGCCGCCACTGATTATTGTGCTGCTCTTGCCGCTGCTGCTAGGCTGCCTGGCAACAGAAGTGCCAGCTCCAGTCTGCTGGCAACCACATATCCACTCATGCACCAATGCTGATGATGCTGACAATGGTGCAGATGCTCCTGCTAGTGCTGTTGCTGGTGCTCTTGCTGATGCTAATGCTCCTGCTAGTGCTGTTGCTGGTGCTGTTGCTGATGCTGGTACTGATGCTAAAGCTGATGCTCCCTGTAGTGAGAGTGGTAAAGAAGCGGGCCATTCTGTTGGTGGCCGTGATATTGGTGGTAACTCCGTTGGCACCCGTGGCAAAGCAGAATAATTTGTCGATGAGAGCGTGAAACCCTGTTGATGTGATTGCTGAGTAGTTGCTGTTCCCCCACTTACTCCCTCTCTCCCTCTGCTACCTCGCTCCCAGCTCCCTTCTCCCCCCCCCGATCGAAGACCCCTTCCTCTTCCTCTGCCACGTTCTCCCGTTCCTTCGTTCCTATCCCAACCACCACTTGCCAGGGCACGATTGCCGGAGCTGCTGGCTCGGTGGCTAGGTTCGGACGCCGTGCCTGGGTAGGTTCGGAGGATGTTGAGAGCAAGGGCGTTGGTTCGGCAGAGAAGGCGAGGCTCGTTGGGTGGGGAGAGCAGATGAAAAGTGGCTGTTGTTGAGAGGGGAGAAAGCAGGAAGGCAAAAGCAGTGGGGACGAGCGATACGGGAGAGGCTGGAGCATGGACGGATGGACGAGGATCATGGAGAGAGAAGACTGCAATAGCTGCAGCTTTTGTCAACAAAAGAAAGTCTAATCGTTTTTTTTAGTCCCAACAAAAAAAAAAACGCAAGTCTAATCCAAAGCTAACAAGCCCCCAGCTCACATCTCAACTTGCTCAGCACATTGCCTTTCACCAGTGTATCTCTCAAGTCCAGACAGAACATGCCGTCCAGAGGCACTGTAGCACTCAGACCTGCATGACAGGCGGGGAAGACTCAGGGAAACGAGTCAGTCAGCGTTCAGGGCGACGTGGCTTTTGAGAAAATCCAAAAGTGGCCCACGAAACTCCCAAGGAGACGTGGCTCACACACAAGCCTGCATGACGTGGCTTTTGGTTCACACGCAAGCCTCTGTAGCATACGTGTACTTTGAGTGTGCATATTGTAGCCGTGATTGTGCATTTTTGGGTGTGCTGTGAGTGTGTGTATCCTGATGGGTTTCAAAGTGTATAACACAGCGCACCTAGCAGGTGTGTGGCTCCAACCCTATCCACAAGCGTCCCTTGCAGCCGCAGGTATACCAGACAGCACTCACGCCACTCCGACTGCTCTTGTCCCTCAACCTCCTGCTGCTGCTGCTGCTCGGATACTGCCTGCGGCTGCTCCTCTGGTAACGACTGCTGCTGCTGTTCCTGGTTCAGGCGAGATCGCTTCGTAGTAAAGGAGGCGTATGGGTTGGGGTCAGCGATTGCCGTTGTGTGTGTGGCCGCCTCCCACCACGGGCGCTTGGCTGGACAGCGGTGCAGCAGAGCAGAGATGGGGGTAGAGAGGCTGATGGATGGGGAGCAAATCGAGTTAATTTCAGTCGGACCCCTCCCGAGTTGACTATGAGTCGACTCAGAAGTCAACTCGAGCTCACCACTGGCGCTTGGCTGGACAGAGGTGCAGCAGAGCAGAGACGGGGTTATAGACGTGGAGGGTTGGGAAGTGTGTGTGTGAGAGAAAGGGAGGAATCATTGCAGCAGTGTCGTAACGATGGAGCATAGAGGTGGGGGAATGGAACGAGTTTTAAGTCAGACTACAGCCTTCCTTAAGCACATCTCTCTCGTTTCTTCCTGGAAGCTTCTTCAGCACTGTTCGTCCATCCCACTAGCACCGCTCTATACCCTTTGAGTTCGGCTCACAACCTCACTCACAATCCCTCTCCCCCTTCCACCCACCTGCTTTCCGTGCTTCCGCCTTCCTAGAAGCTTCCTGAGCATTGTTCCGCCACCCCTTCAGCCGTGCACCGTAGGTGAGTGAATCGAGAAATGAGCTGGTGACTGCTGTGTGGCTCATGTCCAGATGCCGGAGAGAAGGGATCCCTGAGAAGGGAAAGGTGACAGGAGAATGGGAGAAGGGGGATAAGTGACCATTGAGGGCGCATCAAGGAACGAGGTGGTGACTGCTGTGTGACTCAGGTCTAAATGCCGGAGAGAATGTATCCCTGAGGAGAGAAAGATGAGAGGAAGGAGAGAAGCGGGACAAGGTGAGCGTTGCGGGCGAATCAAGGAACGAGGCCTGGGAGGAGGGGTGGGGGTGGGGGGGGGATGGCACAAGGGGAGGCTTACACGGGATGACAGCAGTGTTAGTGCCGTCATTGACTTGCGGGTTGCGCGAGAGGTCACGGCATATTTTTTAGATGTCTCAGAATATATTCCTTCACCGTTCACTTTGTTTTTTTCCTGGTCCGAAGTGCCCCTGACGCTCTGAACCGGCTTACACGGGATGACAGCAGTGGCAGTGGTGTCATTGACTTGCGGGTTGCGCGAGAGGTTAAGGCATGCGAGCGATGGGAGGTCTGGGAGGAGGGGAGGGGGGCACAAGAGGGAGGATGGAGAGGGCATTGCGTAGAGTGTGAGCGACCGAAGAGGGGCAAAGCAGAGAAGGCATTGGGTGAAGGAGGGAGAAACGAAAATAAAAAAAAACGAGTGTTTTCACGCTTCAGAAAGCGGTTGAAAGAGGAAAGGGCATGAATAGAGAGTTACGCGAACATGGGAGTTTACGCGAGCATGAGTGGAGAGAGGCAGTGGCAGGTGGGAGGGGAACGTACAGCAGAGCATGTTGAGAGCTGATTGGTGGAGAGACGGGCAGGCGGCAATCCCAAGGCAGGACAGGCGAGGCAGCGCTGTGGGATGGGGATGGGGATCGGTGGAACGGGGTGGAAGGGCGTGGAAGGGTTGGAAGGGCGTGAAAGCAAGAAAACTACAACTCGCTCGTCCAGCAAATCAGAAACATATGTTCTTGAAAGCAAAAGCGCGCTTACCGCTGAGCGGTTCGAGGTCAGTGAGGCAGCGACTGTCGCCCAGATTCACGCGGCGCAACGACGACGCGAACGCAGCTAGCCGTTCCAGCGGAACCCGCGCCGGAAATTCCGCCGGGAATCCCGCCGGAAATCTCGCAGGATGTTGTTTGAATAAGTCATCATTGAGGTTAAGGGATTCTGGTTGCCAGAAGCCGGCGCGAGCGAAGGCATCTATCGCGGCGAATTCAAGGGGCCGCGGGAGGAGGGAGTACACGAGGCGCGCTAGTTCCGGCGGTAAGATGCGGAGATCAGCGGCAAGTGCGGGGACGTTCGCAGCCGCGGCGCGAGCCGCGAGATCGAGAATCGGCAGCGGTGGGAAGGAACGCGGAGGACAAGGAGCAGATAAGGGAAGATTTGCGACAAGATACGCCATTGGTGGGTGGCTAGGAACTGTTATGAGTGCGTGCGTGGTAGGCGCGTGTGGGTACCGTAGCAGGGCGAAAGCTCCTCCTGAATTCAACTGAGCCTCGGCTGCCTGTTCAGACTGCAATATCACTACCTCGCCGCGCCTCGCCTCAACATGGCTTGTTTGACCTTGATTGAGGCGTGCTGTTTTGAGTCGACTCATCAGCAAGTCACAAATTCAAAGCCCAAGTCGAATTGGAGGGAGGATGTGTATGTCTGTCGACAAGAGTCCGGCTTAGTGCGGTTCAATGAGTTGTTTTTTCGCTTCTGAACGTTTTGTTTAGATTTCCAGACGGTTGAAAATGGTGTTAGCAGGAGCATGTTTTCTGGATGGCACACGTATTCCCCAGTCCGTCACCGCTCCCCACCCATCTGCGCTTGCCTTCGATATTGGCAACTTGGCAGGACTACTGAGAGCATCACCTTTCTGTACGCATTGCTAACATCATGGTCAGAAGCTGCCCATAGCCAGATCTACACATGTTAATAATATTCGCTCTTTCATGAGTGGGTGGCCAGTGAATTAAGAAACACTACAGTGACCTTAGGAGGGAGTATCTCATTGAAATGCTAAGACCTGGAAAAACATGCTATGGACAAGAGAGTAGACTAAGCAACAATTCCTACATATTCTACCTAAAACTAGGCTGCTGCAGCAAGCAGAGCCATGAGCTTGCTAGGCACAACATTGCCAAGTCGTCAAGTCTAAACTTGGCACCCAGAACGAAAACTAGTGACAGAAAATTGCAGCTTTCAGAGAGGCTCATTCATCCCCAAATTCGGGTCTTAACTCTCCCGGGATGACTCAAAATCCGTGCGTCTCGCTGTTGAACCCCTTCTGCGGCTGCCAATCCAGCATTTTCAGCACCTCAATCTCACACACAGCCAGACGCGATACAGGCACCTTCGCTACAGCAGCAACCGCCTTCGCTTTCGGTACACTCTTCTGGTTCTCCTCGTTCTTAGCCGCGACCCACAGACACGCAGCCAGCAGCACGCGCAGCGACTCCGCCGCCATATCCGTCGGCTGTAGCCGCAGCAGCACGCGCTGAAGCATGTGGAATGCCAACGCGCGAACCGTGGGTACCTGGAGGCCCAGTCGTGACTGCCACGTCAGCAACACGTGGCGGAGCCGCGCGGACGCAGTCTTGCCCAGCTTTCCCCGCGCAGGCTCCGCTCCTGGTGCTGCTGCCCCTGTTGCCTCCGCAGTTGATGGAAATTGCTGTTTCTCGCACGCTTCGTACGGCCTCTTTCCCAAGCCCATCCCAACCACCGTCGCTGCACCATCGGACTGCTTAAACCCGGTGCAAAGAGGCCTTACAAAGGGGAGAAACGCAGACGCTGCTAGCGGCGCGTCGACGCCACTCCCTGCCTGCACCCGCTGCCGCTTGCTCTGGGGCTCGTCGACCGGAATCAGCGGCGGGACAGCGCAGCACGACACGCGGCTATCGTCGGTTACATCAGTGTGAATTCTGCGCGCCATCTTCCCGGCGGACGAACCTTCGTCGGCGGAAAGTGGAAAAAGAGACAAAGTGAGTGGGCTGTGTTCACGTTGCTGCTGCTGCTGCTGCTGCTCGCAGGCTCGATACGACTCAGCTTCCTCCTGTCGAATCAACCCCTCTGGCCGGAACGACCCAGGAAACATGATGTCTTGAGACGGTACTCTATGAAACATTCCTTCCTGGGGCATCTTCTCTCGCGGTTGTTGGTTGACGAAATCCGTCGCACGGAAAGCGTCAGACTCCGTCGTGAGCACGCTAACCGGAGAGTTGTCGTCAATTTGAGCCGCAGTCGCCGCCTGGACAATCCCACCCCGGACACCCGTCACGAACCCCGCCGGGCGCGGAAGATGTGTCATGAGAGGCGGCGCGGCAGCAGCGGAGTTCCCGAGGGAGAAACTCGAGCTAGCGTTTAAGAACCCCTGCAGAAGCCGCTCCGAACCAGACGTAAGCCCTTCCGGCAGAAGGCTACCCGTAGCAGCCGCTAAGCTCTGTGGGCACGGCCCAGACGTCTGCGCGCTGGTAACCAGGTTACCAGCGTTCGTTGCAGGGAATCCCGTGGACGGCCAGAGCAGAGGCATCATGCAGGACGCGCAGATGCAAGGGGGAGTGGCGGCAGTGGAGGCGGGCAGGCCGCAGATCTGCACGGTCGTGGGGGCGGCGCAGCAGCGGCAGAGGACGGTGCGCACGTGTCTGTGCACGATGGTGTTGGCGCTGTGCACTGCGAGATCGCACGACGCGCAGAGATTAGCGCTGTCCGCGGGGCAGTGCACGGTCGCGGGTGCCGGGCACAAGGCGCAAACAGCGGGAGGTGACATGGCGGAAGGCGCGCGCGAGACCAAGGAAAAGGCTGAGGGGAGGAGAGTGGGAACTACGGAATGTGCTGGGAAAGCTGTCATATTTGTCATATGTTGTACGACTCTATATGTGATACGACTCTTTAGGAGAAGAGGACCCTGTGGCTGACAGAATTCAAATGCAGTCTGGAACAAAGGATGTGTTGAAGGTCGAGGCTTGTGAGACGGAGAATAGATGAAACAGCCGACTTTATTCTATTGTGTGGAGACCAGAAGGTTGAGGAGAGGTGAGGAGACAAGCAGGTGCCAAGAGGATCGCGAGCGAAAGACAGAAAATTGTGGAGCAGGGAAGGGTGGCGTGGCGTGGCGTTGATGGTTCGTTGGGAGTCTACGGCTGAGCGAGAGACTGGATGCGGGAATACGGGCAGGCGTGAGAAGCAGGGGCAGGAATGAGAGGCAGGGGCAGGAGTGAGGCATGGGCGTTGGCAACAATTACCCAGGTAAGCAAACAGAAGCACGGTGGCGAATGCAGGCAAGATTCATGGCAACTCGCATATCATTTTCCTGAAATATCTGTGGTCGTCGTGTTCCCGTCCCGTGCCAGGTCTTCTTTCACCGAAACCCAACCCCCGATTTTTATGGTTTGCAACCCAGGCAAAGCGGCGACCCAGGCGACGCGTCGCCCTACCTGCTAGCGCGCAGGGAAAATGGATACGAGCGGCTTGCAATGTCTGGGAATATCAAGGAATGGACAGGGACAGGCTACCGCTTCAGGCACGCCTTGAGTCATTCTCGTTTATGGTTGGTCAGTTTCTCGTCAGTTGCCACGGTGTACAGAAAACGGAAGTGAGAGCAGACTATGGCCACATGACGAAGGAGCTCTCCTGCGGTCGCACGTGACACAGGGCAGTGAACACAACACGCACTTGCTGCACACCAGAAAACACTTGTAATTTCGGGGTTCCGTTCCGTTCCAGCGCAGTTCATGGCTTGAATTCGCCGCATGCTGTAACCCACTTTGCTGCCGGATCATAATAAAAAATGTGACAAAATGCATTCGCGTGGCTGCGGCGACTCTCTTCTGTTCTGTTCCGCCCTCGACAGGTTTCCACCCACACAACCTTGACCTGACCTGCTCCCGTTGTGGCTGGCTTGAGGAGGCAGGAAGCAGCCACATCAGCAAGTCACATGGATGGAAAGGATTCGGCTGGACGGTCGCTGCTTCTGGTTGGGGAACAAAACGGCATCACCAACTTGGGTGCATGGGCACCAGGCAGTGCATCATCTTCCCCTCGGCAGCATCTTGTTCGTGGATGGGAGTGGTTCACACCTTACGCACAGCTGGTTAGGCAGGTGATTGGAATTATGAGCACCTTGCCCAGTATTTTCACGAAGGAGTGCTTTCGATTGTGTGGAACATCAAAGTTTTAAGGGCTGATTGCCCTCAGAAATGCTAAAAGTTCGAGAATATGTAGAATGAGGTGTACAAGATCCAGGCGAGAACCCAGAAATGTTTTCACTCCGTCTACGAAAATCTGAAGCGAGATCCGGGGGAGCGGCGGCGGAATGTGATGCCGACGTGTCATGTGAACGGCTATGATTCCATCCCATTCGAGGAGCCATTCGCTCTGACATTCGAGATCCACAAGATGAAGCCATTATCATTGCTTGCGTGGATTCAGCTTTCAGGCTGGCAGAGACAATTCAGCCTTTAAAAAACTTGTGGAAGAGGCAAAATGTGAGATTTCAAAATCAAAGGTGACGTATGCTAGAAGTAAAAATCACCTAAGAGACTGTAGTCGTGGTCGCAGATCCTTACAGGAAGTAATTATGACCCTGTCAACGTGCGATTGGTTAGTGCTGCCACCTGTCGGGCCTCACTCACTCTGATAGGCACGCTTGGCACTCCCACAAGCATCGCGCATTGTAAAATCTGTAAAATCTCCAGGGTCTACGGACAAAGTAGCTTCTCCATGCTAGGAACAAATATCGAAACCTTATTCTGTGGCGGAGATTGAGCGGTAAAATATCGCTCTCGAGAAACAGCTTGTTGTGACCCTACAAATTGGTTGACCTGGCATTGACGCCACGAGCTCACGCTCATCCCATTCCAACAAGAAAAACGTAAGCAAGCAAAATCCAGTCCAGGGAGACCACGTGTCGTGGAATTCTTGAAGGCACAAGTTCATGAGTAGACCAACCACCACCTCAAGAGCTCCTTCCTACGCGATATGTACAATTCCACCTCAGATCCGCTTATGCGAACAAGAAGTGAATAACAGTTATTAATAAAAGGTTCCATCTTATTAAGCACTCAGCAGCTAACCTGCTGGCACTGGTTTTGCAGCTCATTTTTTTAGTGTTTACCTTAAGAACGAGCTTGGAAGTGCACGGTATCAATTTGCAGGGCTAGAACGATACACGGTACCGTATCATGATAAAGCTGAACATAACAGAACTGTACATAACGCGTATGTTCTTGATTTGCATCATCACAGCCACTATACTCATACCACCCTAACCTTCTATTCATGCTTCAGGTTTCCTTGCAGCATCCCATTCCGAATCTGGGCAGAAATGTCAGCAATCTGAGAAGGTGCATGTGGAATGAACACCGTGTTGCTCTTGGCCGACGCTCCTATATCCTTCATTGTGTCAAAGTACTGCGTTACAAGCACCATATCCAACACGTCCTTGGGTGTTGTTCCCTCCACTTCGTGCGAGAATGCGAGGACGCTCTCTCTCAGCCCATCCACAATTGCCTGCACAGGTGGGCAACACAGGCGGACGACAGATACAGGAAGATGTGGGGAAATGAGAATGTGGTTAGCATACGCAGATTTGACAGAATCAAGGAAAAGCTCAGTAGCACTAATGACAAAGAAGAACACAGAGGCAGCACAGAGTGGCATGTTAGCTGACCGAAATAACACAGCAGGTTGGCTTCAAAAGGTATGTAAAAGGTTGGCTTCACAAGGTACACAGCAGGAGGGCTTTTGAAATCGTACCTGTCTCTGCCGAGCCACACCAACACCCGAGAGGTACTTTGCCTCGGCATCAGCCTCGGCACGCTTCACTTGGAGAATCTTCTCAGCCTCTGCCTTCTCCTGTGCTGCCATGCGCATGCGCTGAGCTGCTCGCATTTGGGCAAGAAAAGGGATCAGAATAAGAAAGTGAGAGAAAGGATAATCAAAACAGAAGGGCAGCCAGCCTCACATGACAGGAAACAAAAAACTTCAGCAGGTCAGCGAGCAATGAGCTATGGCTTTACCAGCGTTGATCTCGTTCATGGCTTTGCGCACGGTGGCGTCAGGCTCAATGTCCACAATAAGGGTCTGCTGAATGGTGTAGCCATACGTTGTCATCACCTGAACAACAGTAAAGGAGCCGCAGAGTAGCAAGGAAAATTTTAGAGACAGTGATTTCTCAGCGCAAGCAAACTTGTAAGCAAATGAAAATCTGACAAAGGGGAGGTAACAATATAGAAGACACAAGGTACTGTGCCACTAGAACAGTAGGTCTCATGCATGAGACAATTAACCCCACACAGCCATCCACCCTTCTTAAACCTGCTGGAAAAAGTTTACCTTTTCAAGTTCCTCCTCCACACTCTTGGCAATCTCGTTCTTTTGTTCAAACACTTGATCCAGCTCTATGCGGGGGACACTGGCTCGCACCACTGTAGTGGGGTGCACACACACACACACACACACACACACACACACACACACACACACACCATTCCCCCACCCACACACACGCACGCACGCACACGCGCACGCACGCACGCACGCAGACACACCCACACACACACATACACACACGCAGAGTCAGCATTTTCACAACCGTCCACAGTGCAACGTCAAAAGAAGGGTAGCAGAACAAGCCTCTTGCAATCCTCTAACCGAGGATTCTGAGACAATGCTCGTAAGACTCTGCATACCATCAAAGACGTAGGACTGGATCTGCTCGCGAGGATTTTGGAGCTCGTAGAATGCATCGTCTGCATGGTCCTTCATCACCCGGTACTGGACGGAACACACCACCGTCACAAAAACATTGTCCTGCAAAACAACGAATTTGAACAATGTGAAAGAACGTGTAACCGAACAACAAGTTAACATATGGTCCTTCATCACCCGGTACTGAACTAAAACACTCAACCGTCACAGAAACTTCGTTCTGCAAGCAAAGGATGTGTTTCATTTGACCAAAAGTTTCCATATGTGAAGTTGTGGAAAACAAGGGTTACGACCTGGATGACCCCTACAGGAATGGAAATATATACTGGGCCGAGCATTCCTATAGCCACAAGCATGTTATGCTGTGAAGTAACGCATATTCACCCCTTTCCTGAAAAGCACTTCTAGCTTGGAAGGCGGAGGAGCCACAAGGGCATGACAAGGAGATGAAGATATAAGCAATTTACCTTCGTTTTAGTTTCGCAGCGCACGTCTAGCTGCTGCACGCGGAGCGACAGCTTTCCCGCCAACCAAGTCCCAGCGAGGGGATTAAAGCAGTGCAGCCCGGGCTCTGCCACGTGGGTGAATCTCCCCCATTTCTCGAAGATTCCAACCTGCAACATCCACACACGGAAACATATAACATAATGTAACGCTAAAAAACGTTTCTAATGTGCATCGATAACGAAGTACGCTATAACGAGGATGATTGATCAGAAGCTGACCTGCGACTGCGGGATGCAAGCGAAGAAGCCACACGACGCTGGAAGCTCAGAGGTGCTCCCGTCCGCCATGGAAGTTGACGGGTGGAGGAGGGGAGACGAAAGCCGAGAGGACTCCAGCAAGAATTCCGTTAGCAAGATTCGAGGTAAGGTGAGAACAAAAATCAGATCGTATCTGTCACGTATTAGCGGACTAGCAACAAAACAAGACGTGGAGGCCTGGCTAAAAAACACTGTCCCTTGTAATGTGTGATGCAAAGGCAGTCGCTTCTGTCAGGTAAGAACCGTGCAAGCTTCAAAGATTCACGACAGAAACACGTCTGAAAAGCACTGGAGG